GATGTGCCCACACTACATCAACCACCAGCGCCAGAAAACGTCACCAGAATAGTCCGTCGGGAACTCGAGGCTATGGCTCCCGCTATGTCTAGCGTCAGCGCACCAGGACACAACCTCGATGCTGTTTCAATGATACAGGCCGTGGTTCGCCAAGAGATCGCGAATATGGGCATTTCGCCACCTCATCAAAATGCCCCTGGTACTTCCAGCTCGGCTCCAGTTGTTGCGGCTGCCACTCCAAACCGCACGTTCGCGCCGCGACGAAACCCAGCTGAATGGCGCACTCATGATGATCGGCCCATATGTTTCACGTGCCATCGGATAGGACACATCGCTCGCCATTGCCGCAGCCGTTGGACCTCATCACCTCGACCGAGCTTCTATGATTGGCGGGCTCACTCTGAATGTGCACCTTATGCCCCGTCCTACCGTGCTGAGACAGGTGCAGAGCACAATTCAGAACGTCGGACCAGCCGCTTGCCATCGCCCGTGCGTCATCAGTCCCGCTCGCCCCAACCCCGCCGTTTTCGGTCTCCCTACGACCGAGAACGAACTTTTCATCACCGTCGAACTTTTCATCAACGTCGTTCTCGTCACGTTCCTCTTCCGACCTTTTCAAGCCAATGCTATCTGACAAGCTCACCTCTGAACAAGTCTCTGCTTTCTGCCGTGTGCTTGCTTCTTATCAGGACATCTTTGACTTCGGCGACCGTAATTTGGGCCAGACATCCGTCGTAACCCATCGCATCGACACCGGTGACGCTCGACCCATTCGCCGACGACCCTACCGTGTGTCAGCCCTGGAGCGTGCGATTATACAGCGAGAAGTTGATAAAATGCTTGATAAGGGCATAATCGAACCCTCATCTAGTCCCTGGTCCTCACCCGTTGTACTTGTTAAAAAGAAGGACAATAGCTGGAGATTCTGTGTTGATTACCGCCATCTCAGCCATATTACCAAGAAAGATGTCTATCCCCTACCGCGCATAGATGATGCACTCGATTGCTTGCACGGTGCCAAATATTTCTCTTCAATAGACCTTCGCTCAGGCTACTGGCAGATCGCTGTGGGCGACAAAGACAGAGAGAAGACGGCCTTCGTGACTCCTGATGGACTTTATCAGTTCAAGATGATGCCTTTTGGATTATGCAATGCCCCCGCGACATTTGAGCGCATGATGGACTCTTTCCTTCGAGGCATGAAGTGGACCATCTGCCTCTGCTATCTTGACGAAGTTATTGTTTTTTCGACTACTTTCGACGACCATCTTACCCGTCTGTCCACAGTGCTTGATGTTTTTTGACGTGCCAACTTGCAACTTAACTCGTCCAAGTGCCGCTTTGGGCAACGCCAAATCTGCGTACTCGGCCATCTTGTTAACGCTGCGGGCATTCAACCAGACCCTGCGAAAGTCCGAGCAGTTTGCGACTTCCCCACACCCCGCTCAGCCAAGGACGTCCGAAGCTTTCTGGGACTGTGCTCCTATTTCCGTCGTTTTGTCGAGAAGTTTGCTGAAGTAGCCCGTCCTCTAACCTGCCTCCTCGAAACGGATGGCGCATTCACCTGGGGCCAACAGCAAGCAAACGCCTTCTCGTCGCTCGTTGACATTCTCACCAATCCACCAGTCCTAGCACACTTCGACCCATCTGCCACCACGGAGCTTCGTACTGACGCCAGTGGCCACGGCATAGGCGCAGTGCTGGCGCAGCGGCAACAAGGCATGCACCGCGTCGTCACGTATGCTAGCCAACTGTTGTCGCGCTCGGAACAAAATTATTCCATCACAGAATGCGAGTGCTTAGCTTTCGTCTGGGCCATTGCGAAATTCCGACCGTACCTGTATGGCCGACCATTCTCAGTTATTACGGACCACCATGCGCTTTGCTGGCTCTCCTCACTCAAGGACCCTACGGGACGCCTTGGTCGCTGGGCGCTGCGCTTACAAAAGTACACTTTTTTCGTATCCTATAAATCCGGACAACTTCACAAGGATGCCGACTGCTTGTCCCGTTACCCAGTCGATCCCCCTGACACGAGGGAAGATGAACAAGAGGCCCTCGTTCTTTCAATTACCGACTTCACCGACATAGCTGCTGAACAAAGCCGCGACCCCTTTTTGCGTGCTATTATTAATGGTCTGCACTCTCCCCACCCTGACCACTCCTTACAACTGTTCGTTCTTCACAACGACATCTTGCATCGTTACAACGCCCGCCCTGATGGTGCTGAGCTTTTACTCGTTGTTCCTGGGCATCTTCGCTCAGACGTTTTGGCCCAGCTGCATGATGCCCCCTCTGCTGGACACCTAGGGGTGTCACGCACGTATGACCGCATTCGCCGCCGATTCTTTTGGCCTGGCCTCTACCGTTCTGTGCGACAGTACGTTGCGGCATGCGACCTCTGCCAGCGCCGCAAGACACCTGCTCTGAGACCTGCTGGTACCCTTCAGCCCATTGAAGTACCAGATGAGCCATTTTTCCGAGTCGGCCTCGATCTTCTAGGACCTTTTCCCGTGTCGGCCGCCGGTAATAAGTGGATTGCTATTGCTACCGACTACGCAACGCGGTATGCCGTTACACGCGCCCTCCCCATTAGCTGCGCTACTGATGTAGCCTATTTCCTTCTTCATGACATCATTCTGCGTCATGGTGCTCCTCGTCAGTTGATCACCGACCGCGGCAGCTGTTTTCTATCTAAAGTAGTCGACGAGCTCCTGCGATCCTGCTCTACCCACCACAAGTTCACTACATCGTACCATCCGCAAACCAACGGCCTCACGGAACGCCTCAATTGTACCCTGACGAATATGTTAGCGATGTACGTCTCCAAGGATCACAAAGATTGGGACATCCACTTACCTTTCGTTACCTTTGCATACAACAGTTCACGTCATGATACAGCTGGATTTTCACCTTTTTACCTACTGTTTGGTTATGACCCGCCTTTGCCCATGGACACCATGCTCCAATCTGATGCCCCCTCATCGACTGCTTATGCTCGTGATGCCCTGGCCCGAGCTGACATCGCCCGCCAAGTCGCCCGGGATCGGTTATGTGCCTCGCAGCTTAACCAAAAGAGTGCTTACGATCGCCGGCACCGCGACGTACAGTACTCTCTGGGGTCACTCGTCTTGCTGTGGTTACCATCACGTCGTGTTGGTCTCTGCGAAAAACTGATGTCCCGTTACGTTGGCCTCTACCGCGTCATACGCAAGGTCACCAGCGTGACCTATGAGATAGCTCCACTCCATACCACGTCAGTACAAGCTTCAGTCCCGACCGATATAGTGCACGTCTCGCGGCTTAAACCATACTGCTCACACCTCGAGAATTGATCGCACCGGGACGGTGCTTCTGCCGCCGGCGGGTAATGTCACGGGCTAAGTAGATGCCTGAGGATGACGACGACGAAGTGCTGAACGTGAACGTGCTCGGACTGCAGCAGCGTTGTACGCATTAGCTCGCCAGTATATTCGCCAGTACGCATTTGCTCGCCAGTGTATACTTCATTCCCTGTAACAATATACAGCATGCCCGTGCATTCGCAGCGTGCGTAGTGTGCGTGCATGTATCTGTTTGAGTATCATCTACTGCCAACATGAACAAGCAAGTGTTCGAAAGCACACGACTGTATTCATTAGAAACCTAATAACATTGATCGACGAAAGAAAAAAAGGAGCACTCCTATTGCTACCGAAACTACGATTTGCCTTATATCAAAATACACTGGCCCAAGCATAGCTACACTATGTAATCAAGCGAACGTATTCAGCTTTTGAAGGCACAACGGAACACAATAGGGTACATGCAATCGGGAACACAAGTAGCAGCACAGAGTTACCTCGAAAACCGGGCCTTGCCTGTAGCAGTTTAGCAGCACAATGCAAGAGTGCTAGCACCTTTCGGAGAGGCCCGCTACACATGAGGAGTTGCCATCTTCAACCTCGAGCTCGCTAGACAGGTTCTTTAATGTGAATTAAATATAATGCTGTTTAACATGAAGTAAATATGATGCTGTGGCATCCATGCTCTCCATAACTGGTCCCGCCTTGTATTCCGTGGAATAATTTTCGTGCCAAGAGGTGGCATGGGTCAGTGCATATAATTTGCAAAAAAATCCACAAAAAAGTTCATAGAATAAGAAATGTTCTTTTATTCTGTAAGCGATTTTTCACTGCATCAACTATTTCAGTACAAGTTTCGTGTGTGAAAAACTTCAAAGCACACAGGCATGTGAAGAGCAACCTTGCATTTTTCGTACTCCGATCAGCTCTCAGACTTTTTGCCGTGTGCTTTGCTAACTAAGCACAACCTTGATGGACTCTTTTTTCATTTTTTTGTTAGGATATGATTAGAAAAGCGAGTTCACTCAGCGGCTTGTAGGTGCATTGGTGAGGCCGTGACAAGTGAGCTTTTGCGTGAAGCTGTGTTTAGAAGTCGAGAACTTGCACCCTTCGCCACTAAAAAAAAATACAGCTCCAACAATAGACAACTACGTTCATCTAGTGGACAACATATCCAGCAAACATCAAATAATGTTCTGACATCTATGAAACATTGTCAAAAACAACCGTTTTCTTAACGGCTAGCAATTCGCCGGTCGAAGTGCTTTTGGCCTCGTCATCACGGCCAAATTGCCGGCTGCGAAAGCCAGTGAGTTAAAGAAAGGTATAATAATCATGATTGCTGTTTTTCTTTCTGAACACCTCATTTTACCTAAGTAGGATTACTGTTTCATTTAATTAAGCCATCTTTAGAGACTGCCACATCTTTTACAATGACATTGCAAAATTTTTTTTGTCTCAGAAAATTTGTTTTTGTGGCTCTTCTCAAAGTGAAAGCATCAAGTGTATTACTCATCTTTGAATTATTATTGATGTGCATTTGGCAGCTTGCATGCTGTGTGAGAAAAATCAAAGTTTATGTTCAATAAAATGTTATGATTAGCAAAATATTAGTGCTCAAACTTCTGTATAGCTGTTCTGCACTATTTTCTTCAGGTCGGCTTTCCCAATGTCGGTAAATCTACTTTGCTGCGCGCCATCTCAAGAGCACGGCCTAAAGTCGCCGCCTACCCTTTTACAACGCTGAGGCCACATGTAGGTGTTGTGACCTACGACGATTACCTCCAGTTGGCTGGTAAGCATAGTTTCTGGTGCTTTGCATACTTTCACAGCATTGTGACAGTTGGAATGGACTGAATATCGCAAAAGAGTCCCCACTGAATATAGTGCAGACTCTTTGGCTCATAGAACAGCGGAGAAAGCACACACCCTAGCGCAAACAAACAAATTTGCATTTATTTGTACCTTTTCCACAATAAAGCTTGCTCTAAAGCATACAAATCATAACTTGCCAATATAATTCTCATAATGAGCCCACTAACCGAATCGTACAAGCAACACCATAGAATATCAATATAATACATACAATGTAACACAAATGTGACATTGATGGGCTTCGACTCGCCACGATACATACAATGTAACACAAATGTGACATTGATGGGCTTCGACTCGCCACGAGAGGGCGTCCTGGAGATGACCTGCAAAGTTGCCCCACAGATGCTCGTGCACGACTGCCCACGACCAGCTCCAAGAGCCAAGACAGAAAGTGCCACTCCACATGGCCCTGCCATCTTTGCCTCCAGATGGTGCCATCGCAAGAACACAGTGCTATCTCTCACGCAGCGGTGACTATGCCGACATTTGTGTCCCACGATGAAGCCGTCCTGCCATACACACATGTGCCACTTAGTAAATACTGCTACTCAGGGGATGTGAGCATCCCCACAATATACATTGGGTATGTGACACATCGCATTACCATTGAAATAACATTGATTGCACTGAAAAAAAAAAAAGTGATGCTGCAAAATGTATGGTCAGTTTGTGCAAGCCTTTGAATAGACCTTTTTTTTTTTGCTGTTTTCACACTCTGTGTCTGCTTATGTTTATCCCATAGTAATAATCAGGAGACCATGGTGAGGCAATATGCCTTTGAATAAATGTATGTAATACCCATCATAATTTGACTCTATAGTCAGCAGCATATTTTCAAAGGTTACCTTGACAGAATTGCAGGAAGGTCCATGGGCTATTAAACATCATGGACATTAGAGAATGGTTGCAATGGCAAAGAATTAGCTTTTCGGTGAAATTTCTGTAGGTGAATTTAGCTCACCACTATAGTAAAGCTTGAGATTATTGTAATGAAATTCATGCTTATCACTTTTTCTCATCATGTTTCTCTTCTGTCATCTTTACATAATAGTAATGATAGGTTTGTGCAGTCCCCCAATTTAATTTGTTCATTCAAACTGACAGTTTCAGCTGGCAACTATGAAACAAAACTTTTTTTTTACCTTGAAATCAGCTTTTGCTGAATTCAGCTGAATGGTCAGCAAGCATGTGATTTGTACCAATGGTGACAGCAACGCCTGCGGCATGTGCTTCATTGGAACTTAAAGACAGCAAATGCTTTCAGCACATAGAAAAAAATCTCATGTAAAGAATGAGCAGAAATGGCAGTTTACAAAAACAGACTACATGTTCACCTAATTCTAATGTTAATCTTTTTTTTTTTTTTCAAATTAGTTTAAAGTAGGGATGTGCAAATGTTCAAATATTTTAATATTTTTCGAATAGTGTTTGCTGTTCGATTTGCACTGGAATTTTACTATTCGGAGTATTCAAACTTTCCAAATACAAATACAGTCAACATTCGATTGGAAGTAACTTCTTCAGATTTTCAATATCCTTCACCTCATCAAACTATCGTATTTTGGCAAAGCTGCCTTTCAGTCTCTGCTACGGTCGCAAATGTATTGACTCAAGAAAACGCTGGTTCTAACATGGAAATGATAGATGTGGCAGAGGTGGGGGCTCATTCAATGCTGTTTTGGACCGAAAATTTGGGAAGGAACTCCGAAAGATCAGACACCAAAAATATTTTGCATCCAAAATTTCAGATATTCTTATATAGGTATTGACGTGTACGAGGCAAATTTTGAGCTTTGGATTTGAAGGGAACACACACTTTTCTACCAATTCAGTCAGGCTTCAACAAAAGTTGGAAGAGGAGGAGAGGCTGAAAAAATAGTATACTCGCCTTTCATATCTATATTGTTGTCGCAAACAGTTCGGTTGCCCCAAATTATGTACATAAATATAATTTGGGAACCACTTTCGTGTTGCTTTTTCAGAAAAGTATGCATAAAAATTACATTAAAATGTTAGGAATCACCTTTTTTTGCAATTTTACTTCAAAGTATTCAAAAAGTATTCTAGAAATATTTGAGAAATATTAGAAAATATTCAATTTGACTTGCACTTGCACTTCCAGTATTCGAATTCGCTGTGCACCCAATATTTTACTATTTGCACAGGTTTAGTTTGAAGCTTACCTGCACGTTTCCATTAGGTAAGAAACCAAAATGGTATTCATGGCAACAGCAACAGCCTGTTGCTAGAGCCAGTATCATTAAATTTGTCTCATGAAATGCGGGCTCAACAAGCTTTTGTACATGATGGCATGAATTACAGTGTGCTTCCAGGTTTGAATAAATAATTATCCAAAAGACATTATTTTAAATGCTAAACTTGTGCAGGGATGGGATGCTGCTCCAAACTGCTCCAAAAAATAAATGCTGCTTCATTATGCTCTGAAATGGTGTTGAGAAATTGAAAACAACGAACTTAAACCATGGAAATGTTGTAGGCCCGTGTGCTCAGATATGGGTGCACGTTAAAGAACACCAGGTGGTCGAAATTTCCGGAGCCCTCCACTACGGCGTCTCTCATAATCATATGATGATTTTGGGAGGTTAAGCCCCACATATCAATCAAATCAAATGAACTTAAACTATGTGACTATCCAGGAAGCCTTAACAAAACCAAGAGCAAGCGGTATATGCTGTCAAAATTTGGGCTTGTTGGTGCATTGTGACGACTGAAAATAGCGCTAAGAAACGGGGACACAAGACGAGCGCCTGTGCGCCTGTCTTGTGCCTGTGCCGTCTTAGCACCTGTGCCGTGTGTCCTCGTCTTGTGTCCCCGTTTCTTAGCGCTATTTTCAGTCGGTATATGCTGTCATTCTAGTATGCTAGTATGCAGCTTGCTTACTGGCTGCATATTAGCATATGGACAGTGCCACGAGTACTGGCACTATATATGTCTGATTTAGCTTTATATTTGTACTTGAAAAGCAGACTGTTTTGGTGAAATGTGTGTGATCAGTTGGGTATCATACTGTCACTGATTATTAGTTTCTGTTATGACGACTTTGATGTGTGACTGACTACATTTACCATTTTATCATCTCAGACCTCATTTATGCCACAAGAACTAGTATTTCAAGTGTATAGTTCATAAGTGTGCTCTTCTTTTTTTTTTTTAATTTTGCAGTGCTGGCTATTTTGCTGAAATATGAAAGTAGCATAGTTTACATCTCGTACCGATTATATACTGCTTTGGCGAGAGTTACAAGTGATTGTGGCTACTTTTACAATTTCATGCTCTGCTTTATCACTTTTAATTATTTCTGCCACAAGTACTGGAATTTTAATTAAATATACTAGCTCATTTTACTTAAGTGTTAAATGACCACCCATGTGCTTAATTAGTCTTTTCTTGAAATTTTTTGTGATTATCATATGTGCAATACATTCAATATTAAATATTAATATTTATGAGATGCTTAACTAGTGCTTTAAAACTCCATGAGTCATTTGGAATATTTTGCCATTTGCTCTGAAAACACTAATAGCTGCTCCGAAGCACCATTTTTTCTGCTCCAGAATCTTCTCCAAAAAGCAAAATATCACTTCCATCACTGCTTGTGGCAAGGAATTTTCACCTTGTTTTCAGCAGTTTGGAGACTTGATGGCAGATGAACTAGCAAGTTAGTATGTCTAGGTGTGGGTCACCAACCCATTTGAAGTTGTAGCTGATTCGTTAAAAAAAAAATACAGAACATCAGGAAAGGTCTGGTGGTCTATAAACAGCAATGAAAAGCTGTCTAGGAATCACGGTGAGCATGAGGTGTACATAAATATGTATGTTCATATAGTGTTCCATAAGTTTTGCTAAGCTCGATTGATTGATTTTTTAAATTTTCAGGAGAGAGGATGTGATGTTAGTGAGTAGAAAGGAGGAAAAGAAAGCTTGAACAAGCATCCTAATGGAGCACAGAGGTTATGAGACATGCTATACTGGAAAAATTCAGAACAAATTTGATCACTTGGAGTTCTCTAACGTCCACCCTTAGTGTGGTACTTGAAACATGTTCACATTTTACTTCCATCAAAATGTGACTGCTGTCCCTGTGGTGATTCAATGGCTATAACGTTCTGTAAGTTCATTCTTAATGCATTATAATAACCCCGAAGCATTAGAAGCCTCACTACAAGTGAAAAAGCACAGGACCACGGCAAATAAGTTGTTGGTTTGGATAGCTGTATTTTCGAATGAAACAAATTAAAAATCAAATGAAAGAAAAATAAATTTAAAAAGTGAAGTTTTCATAGGACTCTTAACCCTAAAATGCCAGAATTATGAAACCGCTGAGCAAAATACTTTTTTTATTTTGCAGCTTTAAGTAGCGATGTTTAATTGATTTCATAGTTAAATTATCTGAAATTCAACCTTGATGCACACTTTTGCATATGTCACAAATTTTCCATATGCCACAGAAGTGAGGACCTTGCAACAAAAACCATACTTCAGAACTACCAGCATGTTGTATGCCACTTCTTGAGTGTGCACACACCAACTAAAAAAAATTATTGAAGATAGAACTCGAGTCACCAAGGCAAAAAAAAAAACGAAAAAGTGAGAGTTGTTGCACATGCTTCGCGCTCTCTTTAATGAGCTCCAAAACAATTGGTTCTAGCTTAAAGTACCTTGGACGAGACTGCGCTAGAGTTTTCACGCTGAAAGCTACATGCTTCGTAAGTACTTTATCGTGACTTACTTGCTCGAAGTTTTTCTGTATGTCGCGAATTCGCGACATCCGGCAGTACCATTAATCAACGAACACATGCATCGGCAGGCTGAATTACAGTACAATAATGATTTTTGCATGCATATTTTGGGACAGCCTACATGTTTTAATTTTGTCGTAGATGCATGGGCTGAACTAGATCACCACATCTTTGTCTTGTGGTGCAACAATTTGCACAATGCTTTGCCAGTTGGTAGAGTGGCCAATGTAGTGCCGTGTCAGAATTCAGTGTCATGCTTAGACAGACATTAAAGGTTACTTCTCCTATGAAGAAGCCCTAATTTATTTATTTCCTGTTTTCTTTTTGGATGAAGCACAGAAAAAACTTCTCTGTACCCCTATCATGTTAAAGGTACATGTTTGCATAAAAACGCTTTCAATAAGCAAAATCATGTTTAAAGCAGTCCACCATGATGGCTTAGAAATATCTTACAAACAACCTACTGTGACCTCGCTCGCAAACCCACCAATTTGATTCCCTGCAATGGCAGCCATGTTTCATTGAAAACTAGTAAGTGCAAAAATGTTCATTATTTATATTTGGATGAACATTGAAGGGAACCTAGGTAGTATAAATTAATCTGCAGTCCCCCACTACAGTGCGCTATATTGAGGTTTTGGCATGTAATTACCCTAGAATATATTATTCTTAATTTTTTACATTATAAGTGGAACTGGATCAGGCTCTGCCAAAAAAAGTGGTTCTCTAAAGTGCTTGCCTGTGCACTTTTTCATCTCATTGATGCTTTGTTGAATCTGTAACATGCACCAACCTGCTCAGAAGAAAGTTCGGCTTTTCATACAGCTAGCAGTAATTTAGTAACTAGCATGGACTGGGAAAAAGTGCAGCTGTGCTAATACCTTGAAAAATATATTAAATAACAAAAAATGATTGTTTTATGAAGTATTATACTGCTGAAATCTTAATTACAGCATTTAGATTGGACAGTGGCTCGCGATGACTATGAGTTTTACCAACTTGGCTTACTGAGAGCATCACAAAATGCCACCACCAGCACTGTTGCATCAATGCAATATAGCATTCTCATTGCAAAGTCAGCGAGCCAAATTGAGCTAGCTGAAGTTTTTCACTGAATAGTTGGATTTGTAATGCACGTGGCAATCTTTGTGATTTTATTTTGTGTTAAAACTATGCAATTATTGTTAGTACTGTTAGGCATGCATGACCAAAATTTTTAGTGAAGAACTCTACGATGCAATTTTAGTTGAAACTTGGAACTTCAATTTTTATGTTTGCCCTTTAAAGGTACACCAAAGAGAAACAATGACTTGGTTTATATTGACAAACTGTACTCTTAAAAATTTAATGCCATAAGTTTCACTATTATAAGCTCATTATTAGCAGATAAAATCAAGGTTGAAGTTTCATTTTTAAATTTCGGGCAGAAATCTCCAAGTGTGATATCAAAAATTTCAAAATGTATACTTCATATTTTCATGGCAATTACTACTGAATGAAATTTTGTGAACTGTTTTTCTTTTTAGTGTCTGTTTAATGATATTGTAAGGTAGCATAATCTATTGCCTTGCACAACTACTTGCGATCATACTTTGGTCGTGTTACACGAGTCAAGGCTGAAATAGGCAATGCTTAATCATTTTGTTTTATGTAAAATAATGGTTAAAAAAATCAGAAAGCCACCTTATCAAACTGATGATAAAAAGGCTTATTTTTCTGCTATATTACAAGCTGTGAGAAAAAGCATGCAGATACTATTTTTTTTAATTTGTATGTCCAGTTGCTGATCTTCCAGGCCTGGTGGAAGGGGCCCACAAAAATAGAGGCCTGGGCCATGCTTTCTTACGGCATGCAGAGCGATGTGGCTGCCTTCTTTTTGTCATAGACCTGCAGTGCCCTGACCCAGCAAGTCAGTACAGTGTGCTGCTCTCTGAGCTAGAACTCTACCGTCAGGCAAGATTCTTTTGAGGCCTTTTCTTGTTCATGCTAAACTATAGTGCATGTGTTGGGATGCTACTAGTTCATTCCAAAAGAAGAGTGCAGACAAATGCCATGCTTAAGGGCAGAATAACGAGTTGTCACCATTATTCACTTTCTTGCCTTGATTTATTGAAGCTTCAGCTATCAAATAGACCAAAAGTGATTATGTAGTGTCAGTTTTATGACTAAATTTCATGATTTCTTGCATTAAATAATGTTCTAATAGTTGAGTTTATCGAAAATTTGTGACTGTATTAATGAATAGTAATTTTTTACAGCTTGTGCAGATTCATTAGATATAGTGTGATAAATGTTCTAGTTTTATAAGAGCCTTGTGTATTTCTCTATCTTGCTAAAGCACATAGCCAGCCACAGAATGTTCTGCTGGACTGAAGCACCACTCATCAACATGAGAGCTATACACTGTAAGCTTAAAATTTGTACAGTGCTATGCTATGTTCATATGTGACGGTGATGCAAATTTTTTTTAACCAACTCTGCTTATAAACTATGGTTATACAATGAAAGTTTGAAGTCTCTGTCCAGGAAGTATTGTACTACATCAAAAATTTTACGCATAGCTGCTAAGGGGAGCTGCACAACAGCTTCGTACCCCTCTCATTTTTAATTTCGTACCCCTCTCATTTAAATTTTTTTTACAAAGTTTAAAGGCTTTTTAATGAAGGTGCATTGCCTTGCTGACACACGGCACCGACCATCTTTTTTTAGTGTTTTCTTCGGAACGCACAACCAAAAGTGTGGCACAAGCTTTTGAAACAAAACCAGTCAATACAAAATTACGTGTATCGATATATAAAATCCAATGTCCCTCTCCGATCACTGTAGGTGTTGTTTTTGTGTGCGTCCAGGGCTGTTCGGTCATCAGCATTGGCCATGTTACGATGCTGCGCTTCTTGTGGCCATGCCTGCAATGCGCTAAGTGTCACCACATATTCTTGAGCTTATGGACCTGCTTATGGTAGTACTCAAAAGATAAGCTTTAAAGGCTTATAACGCATTCTATAAGTTGTGAAACTTATTTGTATGATGAGCCCAGGTGACAGAATTAACATTTGCAAGTTTTTTTCACTGATTCATAATCGCTGGTGCCCAATGGTTTCAAGACTACTTTTTCACAGTCGTGAAAGCGATAGACAAACGCTGTTTCCAGAAAAGACCGCTTCTGAAAAAGAGGTCACCTGCTGTCTAGTGTTTGTGGGCAAAACTTTTTTTCAGAAGAAGTCTTCTCGCTCAAAAGACTTTCAAGTGCCCGTTTAACAAAGGTATAATGCAGGGGTATGTGAGTAGAAAAATTTTATCTTGAATCGAATAGTGCTGAATAGTGGGAAATATTGTTGAATGTTGAATCGAATACCAAAATTTCGTAAAAAATTTCAATAAAATACAAAAAAATTAATCTACTCATGTTCTCAATCACATAACACGGCGAGTGACTGCCACCAAAAGATTAGAACTTTTCATGCAGAAACGCTAGCTAATTAACACAACCTTGCTTCAAACTTTCTCGCAGTGATATTTTGGCATTTCCAGCAGTTGAAAAAATGCACTCACTTAGTGTCTCAGTAGCAAAGATGGAAAGGTATCGTAAAGCAATTTTGGCGATACTCGGATAATGTGGAGCTCTGTGTACTTTCCAGTATTTCAAAGGATCATTCTTTCTTGGGGTCAGGAGGTCAGTCAAGAATTTTTGAACCTCTTGGATATAAGGTCTGAGTTCAGTGCTATTTCGATGGTGTCCCACACTGTTCTCTGGCCTTTTCTGCCGTTACGTACTGAAATGACGTACTGCCATGACGTACTGAAATTACACAATTTCCTTTAAAATAAACATGTGCTCCCTTTTGTACCTGTATATCGGTGAAAGTTTTAACGGAAGGTCTTCCGTAATGAGGTTAGCATTAGTTTTAGCCACCTCACCCTAACCAAGTTGCACCTTTGGCCTTTCTTGCTCTTCAGATATTCGTCCAGTCAGATTTTTTGAAACTTCGTGTACTAGTTATTTGAAAGTCGAATTATATAATTAAGTATAATTAGGCATTATCTAGTTTGAATTTGAAACTCAAATCTTTGCACACCCCTTCTCTTATGTGGTGGTTAAGAAAACCAATCATTACATAATTGGTATCAAATATTCGTAAAAGAACAAACAGCTAGCAGTAGAAGCTGCGTCAGAGTCCCAAATTTGCTTTGAAAGTGCTGTGCCTGTTTCACCAGCACCACATTAAAGGTGACTGAGAGGCACTACTGTCCATAAGCAAACATGCATGTACATTCTGGTTCATTGTTAAAAGGAACACTCGAATGAACACCATCAATATTGTTGGCCCTGTAACAGCAAGTGGATAAAGAAACAATCTTCGTGCACATCACTAGTCTGTCAAGAGGAGTCGAAACTCTCAACCACCAATAGTCTTATGCAAGTCACTGTGCTTCTGTTAGATAAAAAATAAATAAATATCTAGACATGCTGTGTACACAGGTGTTCCCTTTAATAGTGAATGAATCTTTAGATTAATGCCATGCTGTACAATTTCTTCATTATAAGCAATAACTATAAAAAATTCAAGTTCCTGTACAAACCTTGCATTGTATGAAGAACATGAATAGAACCTGACTATAGCAATGTGACGGTGTCAGATATTGTGAAGCATTTACGAAGTCTTTAGTAGATTTCAGACAGGGCAAAACAGACTCAGACTTTCAAAAGATGTGAAGATTCTGTTATCGTTTATGTACAGTTAAAGCTGTACAATTAACATCCCCTACTCTTCAGTTGGCTTCATTCCCTGTTGGTTTTCATTAAGTTTGTATCAACAAAGACATGAAGGCTTTTATTGTTCAGCTGTCTGCTCGTTAGCAGATCACATGTTATGTGATGCCAGCTGGCAAAAAAAAAAAAAAGAGTTGTCTGCACTCACACTCGCCACCATGGCAACAAGTGGCAGTGACTAACACTTCCACATTTTCATTCACATGAATACTTGATAATGTAAATGAGAAATCGATCGCCGCCTTAGCTCAGTTGGTAAAGCATCGGGTGCATTATCTGAAGGTTACAGGTTCGGTTCCTGCTGGCGGCAAGTTGTCTTTTCATCAACTTTACCTTTTTGACATTTATGTCGTAATCACTACAATACAGTTCAATTGATGTACTCTATGCCATCCTTGATTTTATTGTCTGTTGATTTTCATTAATAGTGTATTATACAGTTTTTGGTGTACAAGTTGCTCAAATTCTTACATGCCTACAAAATTTTTTCAGGGGTTTAATAATGCCCAATGCAGGACCAAATAAATGTTACGAGGCGATGGTTTTCTAGAGTAAGCAACACTACCTGTAGCAGATATGTGGTGTTATATGATGCAAGGGCCATATTAATAGGAGATGCTTTTCTCCATTGTCTGACTCACTGTAGCGACTAACATTCCTCCAATGTGTTCTGTGTCAGAACCAAGGGCCCTCACGGCATAAACAATCTTGCCTACTTTTTTCTTTTCTTGCTGCATTACGCATTTCTAATCATGACATTTACACATTTCACATTTCATGTGGGACTTGCCTTGTTTATCAGCTGTTTGCTACACGAGCGCTACAGGTAAGACTTGGTACGTGATAGGCAGGAGCATTTCCTGGCGGTCAGGGCCATATTCACTGCTTGCTGCCTTCAGCACTTTTCATATTCTTCAGTAAGCATACAGCTAAGAGATTATACAAAGTCAGCTTACTGGATATAACATTCATCATGAACTTGTCTGATGAATGTTCGTATTTGTTCAGTTTTTTTCTATGTGTGCACCGGATATATTTTGAAAAAGTGCTTTATATTTTTAGAATCTTTATGAATTTGCACAAACAGTTGGACAAGTAAAAGATGTTTCTTATATGTTTCTCTTTCAGGGGTTTACTGATGGCGCCCATGCTGTGATCGCCAACAAGATTGACCTGCCTGGTGCACTTGACCACCTAGAAATCCTGCGAGAAGAAATTGGTGGCCGTTATCCCCTGTTTCCAGTGTCTGCAAAATATGGCACGAACCTTTTAGATGTTTTGAAGTATATCAGATGTGCGTACGATGCTTCCACGCACCAAAAGTCTTGAGAATTTGTATATTATAGGGATAAACTATCTTTATATAATATCGTATTGATGTTATTTCCACTGTGTCATTTTGCAACACTTGTTGTATCAAGTGAACTGTGGGCACATTGAATTTAACTTCAATTTTACAACTTTTAAACGCTTTCTCAAATAGCTGAACTGTGTGCTATATACCTGTGTCTATAAACCTATATACCTGTGTCTGTATACCTCCATAAAGCTGACTCCTGACCTTCACAAAGCTTACTCCAAAAAATATGGCTGTCATGCCTGTGAAGCTCACACAAGAGAAAACTGTCATCCACCTAATTTTAACACGATGCTGCCAAAAAATCTATAGGTCGTTTTTGGGAAGAAAACTGAAGTTAAAGCATTTGCAGTGGCTCAAGAATTGTGTATCATCACACCCCAGTTTTTTTTTTCTTTCACAACCACCATCTGACCAATTCTGACAAGGACATCACACCAAATTAATTTTGTTTGAATGAAAACAATCTATAAAACAGTTAACTGTATTATCAGACAGTATATAGCCCTTGTAAAATAATGTATGCCATTTTACAGCATACACACAAAAAAATAGACTGATGAGCTCGGTAATGCAGCACTGTATATTATAGCGCTTGTGCAATAATATGACAAGTATAGTGGAAGGGGCAGTCAAAATCTGTTTGTTGAGGTATCAGTTAAGGTCGAGGCCTGCACTTGAGTTTTTTTTTTTTTTTTTTTTTTTTAACTTGAGCGTGCTAAGCTAAGAAATCATGTCGAAGTGGCTGGTGGAAAAGTTTAGGGACATGTTTTGTGCAGCATATGTACCTGCTATGCACAACTGCAGTTGCCTGCTGTACCGCTGTTTGTGCAAAAAAGTGAATGCCATTGGACAGATACAATTTTGGCCTAATCGAAGGCACTCTGAGCTTTTTGTAGGTATACTTTGATGCATTTCCAATGGTTAGGGCGAAACAGCAATGACAGTGGTTGGGACCTTAAAGGGGGGGGGGGGGGGGGGGGGGGATACTGTTCTTGCAAAAATTTTTTACAATGAAGCTGTCGTTAGTCATTGTATCGTAGTATAGTAGTAGGCATCCAGTGAAATGACAAAGGCTCAGCCGGCAGCAAGTCATATGACTGTGTGTGCAGTCATAAGGTATATGACTGCACACATTTCAAATTTAGTGGCGAATTAACCTAATGTGACCTTGCTAGACAATCGTAGATGCACGCTCCAATAATGTAAACTATCAAACAACAGCCATTCTTACTATTACATTATTGAAATCTACTGTTATTCTGTCACATGTAAAGCCTTAATGTAGTCTTAAAAGATCAGTGTTTTATCCAAAGTTTAGATTCATGACATGAGTACAAGCTGAATACAAGATGTTTTGGGTGACTTATTTGGCTTGTTGGAGTGATATCTCATTATCTATACCAGCTAGAACTGTAATTGAGTTTTTTAACATAAAGCTTAAACCGTGTATCATAAAGTCTGAGAGTAGTATTCTAATTTTATACTAATTTTTAACATTTGGTTTTGGTTTTTCTTCACGGTAGTCCAGATACAAACCATAAATTTCGATTAACTGTAAAATGACTACAATAATTGAAATTTGATTTGAAAGCTGTCTGCAGCATTGCACTTATTGCTTACTATAGTATCTACCTAACTTTTTTTATAATGTAATGTCTCCAGAAACAACAGAGAGGCAACTCTGTGTGTCTCAAACTGGAGGATACGCAAGAAAAATTATTGGATATTTGTGTCAAGTTTTATCAGCTTAGGACATGAAGTACAGCCTAATATTTCCTCAAACTCTGTCCCCTGTTAATGACCATATACAGAACATTTAGAATCATATTGCCGAACTTGTTATGGCAGGTAATCAATGTGCATGAAATGTGTCACGGATGTAAACTTCCGTTTCTAAACTGGAAAGTGTGAACCAAGAATGCCGATCGGCTAACTAGACATTTCAGAAGCTACTGAAATGATAACAGAAGCAATTGAGATGATGCATGAGCTACGATTTTTTTTTTTTCAGAAAAAAAAATTTTTTTTGCACTATCATACTCAGACTAGTCAATTTGGTTGCATTTTTCTTTTTTCTCTGTTTCTTGTTTAATGGTATCATATAAATAATCTAGTACAATAAATTTTTGCATGTTCTCATTTTTCTGTACTTCATATAAACCACATAGGATCTAATTTCAAGCCGGCCGACGTGCACTGTGGTAATTCAGCAAAGGAAATTTTTTTTACACTTGTACAACTCCGAGATTAACTGGTTAGCTCGTAATTTTTTTCAAATAAATATATAGTCTTTTTGCCCTTGTTTCCTTCACATAAAACAGGTTAATGATTGCTCCTAGTGACATCATTATAAAGGTTTATTTTCCAAAATGACAGCATGGAAAGCAGGAGCAGTATCCAGGAACAAGCTGCTACAAGCATGATGCCACAAAGGAGAATAGGTAACACACAATCCAAAGGTGACCTACACAAGTTATTAAAACACTGTAACCAACAATGCTACAAAAGCTCAAGTATTAATTATTATAGTAAACATTAGCTTCCACTTTTTCTCACTTTAGCCTGTTCAATATTCGTTCATTATACCTTTATGTTTACAAGAATACGTTAGTAGAAACATTGCTATGGCATGTAGCACATGGTTTCATGCTTTCATGGTTTCAAAAGGAGCCTATGAAGTATGTTAGAAGTGTTCAAACAAGATTATTTTTCCAAATGGTTGAAAGCATGATGAATGAAGGTGTGGTTATCACAATCATCACAGCACAGGTTACTGCCCTCAGCACCTTGAATCCATTATGTTCTCGTTGCTTTCTCGGAGATTCATCACCATGCTCAGATTCATAGCTTTTTCACTTCAGTGCATGGTGGTTCCTTTTTCTTTGGGTTTGAGGGCATATTAAACAGATCTTGAAGCACACCAGCACACAAATGAGAGGTTAAGGAAGGCAGATCTGGATGCCTTGCTAACACGGTACGCTTTACGCTCAGTCTGTATACTTCAGTGTCTTCTTTTTATAATAAAAAACATGATGAAATCCTTTTAAAGATTTCCACCTGGTCATTCTTAATGTTACCATAAGCTGCCTTGGTAGGTACACCCAAATGATTGAATAATATTGTTACGTAGCATGCTGACAATATTACTTAACAATAATGCCATCTTACCTTACTGCTTAAAATGCAGTATCTCTGTTGCTCATAAGAAGAAAGTTAGTGTATAGAATAGCTTAAGGGAGCAATAAGTGTATATACACAAAAATATATTTTTTTTTTCTTTTTTTCACATAAACCTGATATGAATACCCTTGTGGAACTACATTAAAGGAAAGGATGGCCATCATGTTAAGACTCCATGAAACAATGCAAAACGAGTTTGCTGAAAAACGGCCTTTTTCAGAAAAGGAAAAAAAATTACAGACCACCATCTGTCATATTAAATGGTTAAAAGAACTTGTACATGTCACTAATTTAGATATAGAAAGATTTATTACACTCAGCTGCATTGATATCGCCTATCTTTACAAAACAGTCTCAAGAAACTTTATAATACACTTCACTGAATAGGCGCGAGCAAAAAGCTTTGTGACCTTTTGTAAATAATGCCAGCAGGGGAGCTATTCTCGATGAGTCTACATTGCAGACTGTCCACTTCGGCCGCCCGCTTATTGGCTGGAGCTTGGCAAGAAATGCACCTCCAGTGTCCGGTCCTTCTTTTGCAACATTATTTTGATGTCAAGAAGCTTTCACAGCTATGGGCACAAATAAGAGGCACGGAATGTACTTCACCGCAACAAACGCAGCCCCCAGATATCCACTTTTGAACGCACATGTCTAAGACTACGCATCAACTTTGATCACGTTAGCTCTCAAATTGGGTTCAACGCAGTCACCTGCTTGAAGCACCTGGAAAGTTGGTACATGTTCCCTGCATCATTCTCAAACATCTGAACATGCTTGTATTCAAGTTTTGACATGTCAAGTTTGTATAGGTATACTGTTACTGTACACTTTGTCCACTTTTGTTTTGTTTTTTTCGCTGTGAATGTGCTGGCGGGTTTGGTGCGTCGATGTGGTCAAGAGCACCATGACATCACGGTTTGCCGCTTTTTCGAGCAACTGAATGCGCTCCACTGCAGCGTACTTGTCCACAAGATGGACACATCACATCAAAATTGGCTTCCTAGCAATGCCTACAACGAAATGAATAAAAAAATTTGCAGGGCACAAATAAAAGATCAAAGTGAAATTAGGAAGACAATGCGACATAAAACGTTCTACAGATCATAAGTTAGTTGAAATGACTAGAAAGTTGACTTGAGCTTCAATCACAATTCAAGCTACAATATACATATTTCAGTCATCCACAATCACAATTCAAGCTACAATATGCATATTTCAGTCATCCACAATCACAATTCAAGCTACAATATGCATATTTCAGTCATCCAAAGTATATCTGGATGCTGTTCGGCTTCAATAGTAGGTGTACCATCAGTCAATAAATCGTATTTTATGGGCCTATTGTAGTGCACATACAGTAGATGCTTACTTAAAAGGCCCCAAAAACACCTCCAATATTTTTTCAAACATTTTAAGCAAACACGCGCATTATGTGCAGAATGCCGTCACGATCAATGATGCCACAAGGGGCAGCGCTACAAGCCATGGGCGCACAACAAATTCCAAGAAACAATTCCTCCTCCTCTCTAGGCCCTCTGTAGTGACGTGAGTGATGTCGTGACGTTGAACCTGTGACGTTGAGTGCAAGTCATGCTGCAAATGGTCGAACAAGAACCTATACCTTCCAGTTTGTCTGTAAGCTGCTGGCCGAGCTTTTTGTTCTTCGTTCGGTTGCTGTGACATTGGCTCATCTAGCACAAACAAACTTCTCTGGCACGGCATGTGAACATAAGGATCCATCATGCTGGCGATACAGTGAAGGTGAGCACGCAACACAGGGACCATATTCGTAGGAGCTTGGCCCGGCACGGCAACATGGGTTAGCCAATAAGCACAGAGTTGATGGAGTTGCGGCAACCAGAAGTAGACAGTGTTTCAAACGGAATATGCCATGACATATGCCAGGTGAGATCAGAAGGGGCACTCGGCAAGGAGGGCAAAATGACCCTCAGAGGGTAGCGAAGGAAGACCTAAAGTAGGGATTGCTGCGTTTTGATCAAACGTGCCTGACTCTGCTATTATGGCACCATTTTGAAAAATTCTCATGGATAAGTGCTCATTGCACACTTACGCACAACTGCTCCACCACAACAATTCAACCTCTGAGTGTTAAAGGGGCCTTTAAAGAATTTTACGGGTGCGGCTATTAAGCTTACCATGGAGTTGTACAAAGATGGCATATCTTAATGTCATTAAAATTGCATAGTTACACAGCAAAAAAGGCCCTGCAATACTTAAGAAATTGGTAGATAAACCTACCCAGTCATTAGACTGTGTTGTTGTAAATGGCCAGACAATATTTTCTTATGAGCAGCAGAGAGCACACAAGTTCGCTCAAAACTACTTTGAAATATCAATCGAATTCTAGGCTTCATGAGACAAGCAGTAAAACTCATTGCCTATTGGCAAGATTTCAGATTATTCACTGCTTTTGGCAAGGGGGAGAATACTCCCAGCCACACCTTATTATAGCGTAGCCTCTTTGCTAAATACTAACTGGGAACATTGATTTTCTTAGACCGACTAATCAAGCACTTCATTTTTGCATTTCTGGTTTTGCAGTGGTTGTCTTCTCAAGTTGCACTGCCTCCATCTGTTCAACGAACACCGCCACCATAAAGTTGACTTTTTTAAGCTTCAGTTATTATGAGTGTACAGGTGAATTGGCACTGTGGAATCATAACTGCACAGGCTGAGAAGCTGTTTCCAATGTTGTAGCATTTCACTGGGCCATGTTTTTGCTCAAAAAGTAAAGGGGGGGAGAGAAAAAAAAAAAGAAAGGAGGCAGGTTTAGGTCATTTGTGTGTTAACCATCATAACTGGCAGTAATAACTGTTTCCTTAATAAATACAAGCTTAAATACAACAAGAACTGTGCCAAAATATGACAAAAAAATTTCATCAGCTGGTAAGCCAATGACATGAGAGTACCATTGCACCAATATCGCACCCTTGAGGATCCAGCAGCACACTATGAATCCTGTGGATTGCTACCTACCCTCAAAGGTCATACAAATATGAATTTAACAGTATGCTATTTGATTGATATCTGATTCGAGAATTCACTGTCTGAAGCTGTTGAATATATGTTTTGTCAAAACACTAATATAAGGAACAACACTTCTTACTGTGTGAATTGAGAATGATTCCATGGACCTTTCCATTTACTTTTTCTTTTAGAAATTGGAAACATCTGATGTTATATTTGCCACTCGCAGGCCATTTCGTTAAACTATTTGTGTTCACATTATTTAATGATTCTAGCCATTTAAGCATCCATCAGGCTTGCGCAAACAATTTCATTTGATATTCTACTCATTCAAACACCCACGAGACAAGTTCCTACATGTTTGCTTGTGTGAGAATAGAGTGAATATTTGGAGCTTACTAATGAAGGAAAGGGCACTGTCAAACATTTACAAGAACATAAAACCTTTTGTGGAGTATAATTTTGGTTATATATGTGTGCCTTGCCATTAACATTTTGACAATCTGAACACATTGGTGGCAATAACAGTCACTAATAAACTTCCCTACCTTGCTGCACATACAACTTGACTGGAACATGCCATCACAGGAATGAATAGGTAAGGAAGAAAACATTATGCTGATCTCATGAAATACTCCTAGGGTGCAATCTTGCACACATTCTGTAATAGAACACTCTAGCGCAACGCATGGGGCTGGTCCAGCCTCACCTGATGGTCAGACGTGATAACAGCAACAGGAAAAGGCAGTTCTGTAAATTGTTTTGTCATCTGCCAGGCGAGTAACAGGCACAGAACAGAGACACCGCTACTTTTGATAGAATGGATATAGAACAGTCTCCGGATGACTTGGATTAGATCAAAACATAAGCACTCGTACTGGAGAATCAAATTAGCCTGCTTTGTCTTTGGCTCAATCCGATCCAGCACTTAGAGTTTGTGAAAATGGCAAACAGGTGAACGTCTCGCGAAATGGCAACACTACCTAGCACCCAATCAACATCTATTAACACAAATAAATTTTTCAAAGTAATCGTGCTCTTCAATTTCAAGCTTTGAGATGCAGTGGCCCCAAATACTGATAATCAGTTATAATAATTCTATATTTCTTCATGCACTGAAAACTATTCCGAACTTCCTCAACAGACAATCAAAATATAACACATCTTTCTGGGGAGCTCGCTTTTCACCTACTAGTTGTTTTCTCCCTCTCATTCTCTCATGATGTGTTCTGTTCAGTCACAATGACTACAAGATTGCACCCCTAATGCAATTAACATAAAATCATGGAGAGCTACAACATTTCATTGCTGCAAAACAGAAAATATGCTTTCATAGTACTGTAAAACCAGAAACAAAATCCCAGACATGCAGTTGTTTTTTGTTACCAGCTTAGTGCAACATGTTAAAGTAGAGTTCTGGCTTGAGGTTTGTACTGGTCACGTATGCCACCCATCGGCGCAACAGAGAGCTCAGGTGGTGTCACAGACGCTTGAACAGGAAACCTGCAACCAGCAAGCTCCACCTGCATACATTGACGAATAATGATGCTCTGTCAGCACTGAAAATTCAAAAATTGCAACTTTGCCATATATCAACTACTAAGCATGATAATGCCTGTATCCGAAAGCTCAGTGCCTACTGTAAACTTCTAATCATTTACAAATTTATAAACCAGTTTTATTAAAACAAGGTTATTTTAAAAATAAAACAATATTATAGTACTTTATTGTCTTAAAATTCTTTTTGACTTTCAGAATATTTCACAAGTTTATGCCATTCTAAAAAACTCTGAATCTACATATCTACAAAGAATCCCCAGCAGGACATTGGTGAAGATGTTTCTCTTCCTGCATTGAGTTCTTCCAGGTCAGTGCTCAGTGGTACGACACATAATTATGCATTTGCTTAGCTTATTCCAACAAGAAAAGAAGTGCAGGGTATTAAATCAGGGCTGCATAAAAGTAAGTCACATAAACCAAGGCAGGAATTCGGAGTCACAATAATGTGGATACCAAGTTCCGCGCAGACAGGCTGTGCCTAATAGCAAGGTGAGTCATCTTGCACACAAATTTGGTCATGGATGTAATCAGCATTGGCATCATCCTATGTGTCCACTGCAAGGACTAAATTCTCTCCAAATGATTTTCAATTTACCCAGTCCAGCATGTACAGATTCAATTTTATACCTGCAAATTTCTTAATTTCATCACCCCAATTAACCCTCTATGACTTTTAGTTCTGTTCCCCAACCCTTGGTATCGATTCCATCAATTTAGCAGACCACTTGTTATCTGTCGAGTTCTGTGAACAGAAAAATTTTGAGTGCGAAGTGAATTTAAATATCATTCCATCAATTTAGCAGACCACTTGTTATATGTCGAACTCTGTGAACAGAAAAATTTTGAGTGCGAAGTGAATTCAAACATTAAAGTGCAAGTGTGAATCAATTAGAATATTTTTTAATATTTCTTGAATATTTCTAGAATACTTTTCTAATAATTTAAAGTGAAATTGTATTTTAAAAAGTTGGAGAAGATTCCTAGGCATATTTTCATGAGATATCAACATCAAAGTGTTTCTTTTGGCTGGGTTGATGAAGTGCTGGCGTAATGGAGTTTCAAAGTTGTCTTATGTAATTTATAAAACGTAAGTTGCTGAGGCATTCTCTTGTAATCATACTAGCAAAACTCATTGGTGGCCTAGCATGTTCAACATGCTTGAAATGACAAGATTGCACAAAAAAAGAAGATATGTTCAAATGGGAGGATACAGAGACAAGCACAAACTCTATTGTATTGATGCTGTAATAAATCTGAATGACAGACGCTCTACTGTTATTGAAGAAGACGATGATGATCGGTGGCTCCAGTAGTAGCTCGCGCACGCCGCTCGCTGATAGCCAGACTTGCTTCATAAAGCACCTTTCGCCAAGCTGCGTCTGAAGCTTGATTTCACAACCCACTTAACCCGCCTCAAGAAAGTCCTCGCTTGTCTCTCTGCCACAAGGCAGTAACTGAATCTGAAGAAGTGTCATTTCGCCGCTCGAAAGCTTACGATCCTTGGCCACGTAGTTTCGAAGGACGGCATTTTTCCTGGCCCTGCCAAACTTACAGCCGTTTCAGCATTTCCCAAACCGACCACCATGAAACAGGTCTGAAGTTTCATAGGCATTTGCTCCTACTTCCGGCGCTTCGTCCACAATTTCGCGATGATAATCGCTCTTTGACCAAGCTCCTCGCCAGCTCAGGGGACCTTTTAGCCTGGTCTGCCACCTGTGACGATTCTTTCAATGAATTGCGCCACCTCCTCACGTCGCCGCCTATTCCGCGACACTACGACCCATCGGCACCCACAGAGATCCAGACCGATGCTAGTGGTGCAGGGCTAGGCGCTAATAGACTGTTATAGTATACCGTGCTTACCGGGATACCGGGCATACCGTGAAACCAGAATCAAAGTGCGCATGCGCAGATATATACGTTACTCATACTGCCTACCGTACACACGGTATTTTTCAGATTTAAAGTTACCGTGGTAGCGTAAGTGTACAAGGTGTACGTAAACATGGCGGCGCTTTCGGACGCCCGCTTCGAAGTGATTTTGGTGTAGTTGTTGAAAGATTCACCTTGTTCGCAGCAAACATATGTTTAAAACGGCTTCGCTTGCCTTCAGTTAGCTTCGATGAGCAAGTATTACGGACAAGTTGGCGTAGTTTTTGAGATAGCTTCCCATTTCGAACGCGTCTAGGCCTAACTACAAGATCAATGTAAACAAATTGGCAACATAAACATTTTCATGTTTGGTGCGTGGTTCTTATTTGTTTATTTTTATTAGTACTAAAATAAACTTCTAACAATGCTTCACTCGATAGAATAGGCAAACATTCTCGTTTTCTTTTCCTTTTCACTGTTCTTTAACTTATTAACCATCCGATAGGTGGTGCCACCGCTGGGGACACGTAAACCACGTAAACGTTATACTGCGAAACTATAAGGCGCTGTCCACAAAAATTGTTTGGTGCACAGTAACGCCATTCTCTTAACACCTTCAAGAATATGACATTCGCGTGGTCTATCGCTCCGGCCGGAAACATTCGGACGCAGACGCCCTTTCCCGTTCGCCCCTACCTCCTGACCCTGCCTGCTGCGAAAGTCTCATCTGTGATCCCACTCCCGTCACCATCGCCGATATGCATTCTGAGCAACGCAAGGACCCTTGGGTTGCTTCGATTTTAGACAACTTGGCTGGGCGGACGGCTTCTCCCCCTACTCACACGATGTGCCGGCAAGTCGAGCACTTCACCACTCGCGACGACAAGCTGTACCGACGCAACTATGCACCTGATGGACCTCAGTGGCTACTCGTGATTCCACGTCATCTGCGATCCGAAATTTGTTCGTTTCATAATGATCGCCAATGTGGCCATGCAGGTTTCCTGAAGACTTATTCTCGCATACAGCTCCAATATTACTGGCGTGGCATGTACCATTTTATTCGACAGTATGTTCGGGCTTGCTCGACGTGCCAGAGACGAAAGACCCCCCCCCCATCATGCCAGCGGTACCTTATTAACTTTACCATGCCCCTCCCGACCATTCGACCGTGTCGGCATCGATATCTATGGTCCCCTTCCCAACACTGCAGATGGTAACCACTGGATCATAGTTGCCGTCAACCACCTCACGTGGTATACCGCCATTCAAAGCACTAGTGGGTTCTCTCCTTATTTCCTCCTTTACGGACGCGAACCTTGCACTATGGACACCAATCTTTTGAGACAGAGTCCACGACTCTGCCTCAAGTCCCTACATACGCTGAAGAATGCTGTCAACTGGCAAGATCATTCACAACACAAGACCAAGGACGCCAGAAGCACCACCATGACGCATCAAATAACACTACTTCCTACGATCCAGGTTCGCTCGTCTGGCTGCATGTCCCTTCTACTACACCTGGCCTTTCTACCAAGTTGGTCCCCAAGTATCATGGCCCATATCGTGTACTTAAAAAAACATCACCGGTGAATTACCTCATCGAGCCACTGGAACCATCTTCTGACCAATGTCGTCGTGGCCAGGAAATTATCCACATGTCCAGACTTAAGCACTACTATGACCCTCCCGTGTTTACTTGTCCATAGGTCGCCAGGATGGCTCCTTATTTCGTGGAGAGTAATTGTAATGAATCTGAATGACGGACGCTCTGCTGTTATTGAAGAAGACGATGATCGGTGGCTGCAGTAATAGCTCACGCAAGCCGCTCACTGGTAGCCAGACCTGCCTCATAAAGCACCTTTCGCCAAGCTGCATCTGAAACTTTCTCGACGTACAACACCCCTATTTTAATGCGTTTAAAGCCATCTTATTCCTATTTCTTCCCAATCTAGTCACCTAAATATTTCTAAGCATGCACTGAACACATTAGAGAGATTATATACTACTGTCTGATCCCTCAATCAATTATTTCTTGTTTTTTAGCTTTTTTTTTTGTGTGGAGAAGCAAAGGCAGCCAAGAAAATTTTGTATATTTTTAATAAGGTTACATATGCTCCAAGTACTCCTTGGCATCGCAAAGGTTCCAGGGCTGCTCTACTGCATTGAAGGCCTTTTCATGATCTATGAAAGCTATATATGTAGAGTGGTTTCTTGTGTTCAGCATATTTTCACCAATTACCTGATTGATAACATGACTGTGATCCATCATAGAGTTTACCATCCTGAGTGCAGCTTGCTCTCCAAGCTGATTATTTAAAGTCAGGTGTTTCTCTTACCCTATTTGAAAACTACCTTTGTGAATATTTCTATACAATGGGAAGTAAGATTGTGTGTCTGTCTTCAAGTCTTCTACATCTCTCTTTTTTTAATTCATATAGTGTTGGAAACTTTCGAACTCACTAGGACATTTGAAGTTTCAAGACATTGTGCATAAAGTATTGCAAGCTTCTTTGACACAAATCCTCTCTATATTCATTCAGGCCAACTTTTTTACCATCGGCTACCAAAACACAAAACAGCAAACTCTCCTGACCACTAAAGACATATATAAGAGCAACAATAAAGTCAGTTCCAGAAGACCAGCTTCAAGCCCCGCCGCGGTGGTCTAGTGGCTAAGGTACTCGGCTGCTGACCCGCAGGTCACGGGATTGAATCCCGGCTGCGGAGGCTGCATTTCTGATGGAGGCGGAAATTTTGTAGGCCCGTGTGCTCAGATTTGGGTGCACGTTAAAGACCCCAGGTGGTCGAAATTTCCGGAGCCCTCCACTACGGCGTCTCTCATAATCATATGGTGGTTTTGGGATGTTGAACCCCATATATCAATCAAGACCACCTTCAATACTACTTTTAGATTCAAACAAGGCACCACATTAACCTAATAAAGCTGCGGTATCTCTTGATATGATGTATAATGCATATATATATATATATATATATATATATATATATATATATATATATATATATATATATATATATATATATATATATATATATATATATATATATATATATATATATACATATATAAGGTCGCAGGTTCGGTTCCTGCCCACGGCAAGCTATCTTTTCACACACTTTTCTTCTTTCACATTTACCTTATAATGCGGTCTAATCACCTCCCCTATACTTTCCTTGGCATTATTGTCTGTTAGATTTCATTAATATGGTGTCAAAACACGGGAAAACGAGCCCTTAAGTATACAGTTCCTTTATATATATGTATATGTGAAAATGAGCTGTTTTCTCCACAATGTATGCATGCATTTGGTGAAAACAAGTGCTCTCATATCAGGTTTGGTTAATCGAGATGCAGGTGCACATGCAAAATGCAGCTAACTGTGGGTGTCTAGCATACAATGTTTCCACATAAAACATGCACAGCAAAAGCCACTCTAATACTACAAACCGTAACATGAATAGCACAGACAAGAAAATCGTGTGCAAAAGAACATAATGGAAGATTTGAAATTTAGAGTAGCAACTTGCCTCAAAACTCCCTTCGGAGAACAGGTTGTCTGGCAACAATTCAAGCTGCTTGCTGCTTGGGTTGAACCAATGAACGAAACCTTGGCAGACATTACGCCCCAAAGAGAAAGCATAGCTTCCTGATGTGGTGAGCCCCATGAAGCGGCCATCTCGAAATATAGGCTCTTGGCCCCATGCCCAAGGATCTCGTTCGGTGTCATGGCCAGTCAATTGGAAGAAGGCTAGTTGCCGACGCAGGCCTTCCACTGCCTGCTGCTGTAATGCCTCTTGGCCGATAAATCGCGGTTCTTTCTGCATTTAACAGAGAAATATTTTAAACTTGAAAGCCTATTCTTGGATGTACACATGGCACAGATGTCACTCTATGACACAAACAAGTAAAGAAGGATGAGGTGGACACACATAAAAAAGCTTCAATTTCCCTTGCCTGCTGGAAATGCTCAAGCCTGGTGAAGGGCCCTTTCACGTGTTCACGAAAAGAAGAGAAATTGACCTAGTGCGGTTAGACCAAGTTCATAAAAGGCTAAACAACCCTCCTGGCCTATTTGTACTCTGGCTATTTGCTCCTGTGTTGTCCTTCTCAGCCATGCCGAAAAGAAAGAGACCCAGAAGCGTGTTTATTCAGCGGTGGACACTCACCATGGAGAACTAGAAAAGGAGACAACGTATTCTACAAACCCTACGAGAAAAAAAAAATTGCGTGCCTATCTTAAACCATTGCTTGTGCAAGGAGGTCAGATGCGCGGGTGGGTCAACGAGTTCTACAGGAGAGGGGAGGCCGGCTGACGCGCACGCTCATGCCAGTTGCTGCGCGGGCGAGTCCATCAGTTGCAGAGAAGAAGGGAAGCAAGGAGACTCGCTCCTACGCGTGTGCAGGCAAGTGGCTCCCGGGAAGCGCAAGGCATGAGTTTTGAATTACCGCAGCCGTGATGAAACGTAAACCGTTGTGCACTATAAGATATTGAGAATTGACGTATACCAAAATGATCGGTAAATGCTTATTGTGAGTGAGGAATGGTTCGTTATATACATTATGGGGAACTTTCGCTTCGTTAAAACAAGGTTTTAAATACATGGGCATCTATAAGAATTTCAAGGAGAATTACAATTGCTTCGTGATATCCATTACTTTGTTATAACCAACTTAGTCATAATGAGGCTTTACTGCATTTAAATATAAACATCTTTACAGAAGTCGGTCTGACAGGGTGGAAGATTAAGGAAGTTGAATTACCTCCAGCCACAATCTTGGAAAAAAAAAAGATGTTTCGAGACCAGCTTGGTCCTTTCCTCGGGGAAATAATTGTTTTGTGTAGGCTTGTGCAAATAGGGAATTTTAGGTTAAAATCAAATTCAAAGTGAATAGTGATTTGTCAAATATTTTGAATCGAATTTGAATACTACATGTCTAATAAAAAAAAAATAGGCATATTTTTTATACCCTAACTAATCTGCACAATATTTTTTTTTTCCAAAGTGAAACATGGCCGGTACAAATTTCTTGTCTTTTTTTTTTCCAAAGAAAGTGAGAACTTTGAATAGTAGCAGGATTTGACTTTTGGGGAGAATGCAACTGATAACCCGTAAAACATGTTACATTTTAAAATTTACTATACTTCAATAATATGAGCCTGTATAACAACCTTTTAACTAAAAAAAATTATGAATCAATGTGAAGGTAGTACGTTCATTCAACCTTGAAGTGAGTCTTTGCGGCAGTCGGATTTCTTCTGGGTAAGTGTTTTCATAGTTTAGCACTCTTTTACTGCTGTGAAACCACCTTCACAAAGAATTGCATACCAACACTTTTTTGCAGATTAGTTGGTTCATACTTGAAAAAACGACTTGCTGCACAAATTTGAAGAAAAACGAGAAGGGAGACAGAAAAGAGTGCGGACTACCAACTGTTTATTGTTGTTTCGTGAAGCCAATATATATACGCATGCTATGCTGCGCTTTCACGGTGCGCACAAAACCAAAAATGCCGCAAACAAAGCTGTCACAAAATTCAATTGTGACAACCGCCACAATGACAAATGTGAAAAATAGCAAATGACAAATGTGACACCTGCCACAATCTAAACTGCGTATTCACAAGGTGTACACTCCTACTTTATCTATTACTTATCTTTTTTTATTTTTTATTGCACCAAGCATCATCAAAGGCATGAACATATGAAAACGTACTCTAAAAACTTTTTTTAAACACTTTAAAATAGCGCTTAGCCCCGAATAAAACAATAAAATAACATTTTTCTAGTCACCGTAAGCAGTACAAAATGAGCAAAGCCGATGAAGCAGTACGCTGAGAGAGTCAAGATAGAAAACCTTATAAAACATTACTTAGCATCGCATGGGGAAAAAACAGGGAAAATGACTATGCACTCATATAAAGGTCAACAAAAGAAACAAAGAAGAAAAATGGAACAGAACAGCTTGCAAGGTGTTACCCACAACATTAAACACGACTGAGAAGGAAGACTATTTCCCTGTCCGAAAGTAAAATTGAAGGCATGCTTATGCAATTGTCATTAAAGTGCCTGATAAAGTACGCTTCAATAATCTCCCTTTCGGTCTTGTCCCAAGCCTTAGCCATGACTGACACATTCTCAAATAGGGGGTTGCGTCCACATGTCCTACAGTGGAAATCTAAATGACCACCATTTTTTCCTTTTATGGCCAGACTGTGCACACGCAAGCGTTTGTTGAGGCATCGCACCGTCTGCCCTATGTACACCCTCTCACACGACAAAGGGATCAGATACACAACATCAAATACACATCTAATAAACAGGTTTGCAGGCTTTTTTGAGCATTCCACCTTCTTCTGTTTAGTCATTAATGAGCAGATCCGACCTAACTTAGTAGGTGCTGAAAACACTGCAAAACACTGCAAAACAGGCCTCCTCTCCCTTTATTCGACATTTAGACCCCCGCCCTTGTATTTTTTAAGAAAGCTTTTACAGGCACTAGATATAATCTGTGTTAGGTACCCAGCCGCGCCCAGACGAACAACTTGATTCTTAAAGCTTTCAAACATGAAATGTGGGTACGACTTGTCAAGGGCTGCTGCACAAGCTGACAACACAATGCCCCTTTTAATCAACTTTGAGTGCGCGCTTTCAAAAGGCAACAAGCCTTTCTTAAATTGCAGATGATATTTAAAGCATATGTGCTCCTTGGCAAACCTCAGCCGTAGGTCCAGAAACTGGATCTCATTTTCAACCGTCATTTCATGGGTGAACTTCAAGCCACTGGTGTGTCTGTTAAAAACCTCAATGACACCTTTCACAACACCGTGCACACGTTCACATGGTACCTTCCCAAGCACAATAAGGTAGTCGTCCACATACCTGAAGGCGCAAACGACATCCAAATGGGACAGCTCATCCTTCAGGATCTGGTCGAAGGCTGGCAAGATTATGTCACTGAGGACAGGTGAAACCGCAGAACCGACACAAATTCCGGCTTTTAGGACGTAGGTACCCTTCTGGTGGCTGGTTGCAGTGGACACAAGGTAAAATTTCGAAAGTTCCAAAAAGTTATTCGCGAAGATACAATGCTTGTTTTGGCAATTAACTTCCCCAAATTCATCGACTGCACTCCTAACAGCATCAAAAAATGCGGAATGTGGAATTGAGTAAAATAGTTCTTCCACATCAATTGAAAAAGCCGTGGACGCCACTGGTAAGCCTTCCTTCAAAGTAGAAACGATTTCCGAAGAACTTCACACTAAGAAAGGGTCACCGCTGTTAAGAGAACCAAGTATGCTTTGTAAGTGCTCTGACACTACCCTTTGCCAGCTGCCCTTCTCGGACACAATGAGGCGTAGTGAGTAGTAACACTTGTGCGTCTTGCAAGTGAAAAATAACTGGAGTGTCAATTCCTTGCTTTTACCACTTCTCTGCAAAGCGCATCAAGGTTCATTTCTTTCAACAGTTTTGTGCTGTGTTCTTCCATTTTTTTGGACAGAAATGCACCTCCTAGAAGTTTTTGTGCACTGCTTCTAGTGCCTTGTCCTCGTACATCCGTTCAGCTAAACCACATATCCACCCTCTTTGTTTGGGGTGAGAAGTAAGTAATAAGTAATGCTAAGTAATGATTTATAAAGTCTTTTATCCTGACTCTCTCGGCGTACTGTTTCATCAGGTTTCCTCATTTGATGCTGCTTAGGTTGACTAAAAAAAATGTTGTGTTATTGTTTTATTCGGTGCTAAGCTTTATTTGGTGCTAAACGTACTCCAAGTTTTTAGAGTATGTTTTCCTATGTTCACGCCTTTGATGATGCTTGGTGGAATAAAACAATAAAAAAGACCAGTAATAGATAAAGTAGTAGTGTACACCTTATGAATACACGGTTTAGATTGTGGCGGGTGTCACATTTGTCATTTGCCATTTTTTACATTTGTGAAAGTGGCGGTTGTCAAATTTGAATGGTTTTGTGACTGCTTTGTTTACTGCATCTTTAGTTTTCTGCGCACCGTGGAAGCGCAGCGTAGCAGGCGTATATATTGGCTTCACGAAACGACAATAAACAGTTGCTAGTCTACGTTCTTTCCTGTCTCCCTTCTCGTTTTCCTTCAAGTTTGCTCAGCAAGTCGATTTTTCAATGCATGCCGATTTATGCAGTACACAGGTGCTTTCACGGCTTAGCATCTTTCCAGTGCAATGAAACCATCATTACAGGATTAAATGTCGGCTAAAATACACTTGTTCATCTTGAATACTTCAAAATTTTCTATAATCTAAATTCAGATTGAAGCAAATTTGAATATTGTAATGTTCATTTAAATACTCAAAGTGTTCTATTATTTGAACCATTCCAATATTCGCACAAGCCTAGTTCTGTGCACGCATCATGCGTTTGAAAATGAATTTCACTAGTTTTTTTTATTACAAAAAATTTTGGATAATACGAATATTTTCGCTACTCTGTGAGAGTCGTATGACCAAGATTTTACTGTATAGAAACTGGCGAGTTTCCGGCTGCACTGAACATTGAATCCGGCACTTTCTGCATTGGAGGTATATGCTCTGCGATTCCACCATCACTGTTGATAAAAAGTTTTCGGCCTGCCACATAGTCTCCCCTGTCTTATGTGGATTGGGCAGCCATCCAGGGGCCTAACTTCCACAAGGAGAAGACCCTGATAACTACCTCCAAAGGCCAGTTCACTATCCAGACCACCTCCTGTACCAATTAGCACAGGGTCGAGATCAGACTAAAGGCCTTCCACCGAGACAACCACCTACCTGCGTACACCTCATTAGCAAGTGTTCGCATAGGACAAGAGCACAATACTCTGAATGGCCCAAGCAGTTCCAAACAGAAACAGCTTTCATAGCAAGAAAGCGAAATCTGAACTTACCTGAAGTTTAACACGGGAACTCCGGTTAGCCTCCAGGGGAGTTACACTACTGTCAAGCTCTTCAGCCCAAAATGGAACAAACTTTTCAATCCTCAGCATCCTCAATGCATAATAACCGACATCCAATATTCCATAGTCACGACCAGCCTTTTTTAACCTGCTGTAGACATTCTGAGCATACTACAGAGAGAAAGATGCACAAAATCAGCACAGTCAAGACAATAGTGTTTCATTCCAACATTAAACATTTAATAATAAACCAACAATTTTTAACTACATAGCTGTGAGCATAGCTTCATTATCGACAATTCAGTCCTGAGTATCAATGCAACACAATCCAAATCATCAGTTCACGGATTGAAAAAAAGACACAAAATCCTTATACATAATGAGTGGTGGGCACAACTACCACACATTACAGTGATACGACACAAACGGTGTCATATCACGAAATGTGTGGTATGATTACAGTGATGTGACAGTTATGGTAATCTGACTCGAACTGAAGACAGTGGAAACAAAAGTCTGTGCATTAGTCAGCCCTACAATGTCGCATTTCAATCTGTGACCACTGCACATATTCAACAGTGAAAAACAAGGTTTGCAGTTGCTTGTTCTATTTCACATATTCTCTGTATTACTATAATGATGGAAGAAACTGGTGCACTATTGCATTTACAATCCAGAGTGTGACCGCTGCACATATCCAACAGTGAAAAACAAGGTTTTACAGCTGCTTTTTCTATTTCAAATATTCTCTGTATTATAATGATGGAAGAAACTGGTGTGCTATCGCATTTATAATGCAAAGTGACAGGATAAATGTGTGAAGTGTGTCAAAGTATTATCACCTATGAACAAAGAATGGATGTGAGGCTGTTATTCACTCATGCCAAGGAAGCATCTGTAACATATTTAGGTACAGCATGGAGCTTTCATGCCAGAGGACCCTGTCTTATAACACCCACGTTCGAGAAGGTTTTTTTTGTTTGTTTGTTTGTTCGTGGTGTGTGTGTGTGTGTGTGTGTGTGTGTGTGTGTGTGTGTGTGTGTGTGTGTGTGTGTGTGTGTGCGCGCGCATATGTGTGTGTGTGAGAGAGAGAGAGATAGCTTGTGTTAAATCCCCCACTAAGCCCATTCGGTAAGACAACTACAAAATGACAAACAATTCTTTGCGGTGGGTGCCAAGGAAAGCCGACCATTAAAACTGTGCTTTACAGTCAATATTTGGTGCAACTACTCTTCATATTATATTCAGGAGTAAAGTATACAAGTATCAACATGCTTTTAAAAAAAATGTGTATAATTAGTACCTCTGATGGAATATAGATTGAGTATCCGGGTTCTAAAGTGTTGTTGTAACCCATCAGCAGCACATTCGTAGAATATGCAAAATCCATTTCCTGTAAAAAAAAATTAGAATTTTTTGACATGGTACAATAACAACTGAACATGGTACAGTCAAACCTGCATATATCGTACTCATAAAGAAAGAGGATTTACTTCATTATATTGAATGTACAGATATAGTACAGGGCATTGACGAAGCCTATATAAACATACTGGAAGACATTTACAGCAAATCTACAGCCACCATAGTCCTCCATAAAAAAAACAAGGGAATCCCAATAAAGAAGAGTGTAAGGCTGGGAAAGATGATCTCTCCAATACTATTCACCACGTGTTTACAAGAGGTTTTCAGGGCCCAGAATTGAGAAAAGTTAGGGATACAAGTTAATGAAAAGTATCTTAGTAATCTGTGATTCATTCATGCTTTTCTATTGATGAGTAACTCAGGGGATGAATTGCAGCTTATGATTACTGAACTGGACATGAAAAGCAGAAGAGTATGTTTAAAAATTATTATGCATAAAAGTAAAGTAATGTGCAACTGTCTCAGCAGAAAACAGCGCTGTGGGATAGGTTGCAAGACACTGTAAGTTGTAAAGGAATATGTTTACTTAGGACAGGTAGTAAACACAGAGCTGAACCATGAGAATGAAATAACCAGAAGAATAAGAATGGGGTGGAGCCCCTTCGTCCAGCACTCTCAAATCTTACCGGTGCTTACCTACAGAGCAGAAACCTGGAGGCTTACAAAGAGGGTTCAACTTAATTGAGTCGAACACAGCAAGTGATGGAAAGGAAAATGATAGATGTAACTTTAAGAGACAGGAAGAAGCAGAGTGGGTCAGGGAACAAACAGCTGTTAAGAACATCATAGTTGAAACCAAGACAAAATTGACATGGGCCAGGCACTAACACGTAGACAGGATAATCGCTGGTCATTAAGGGTAACTGACGAGATTCCAAGAAAAGGCAAACGCGTGAGAGGTAAACAGAAAATTAGGAGGGCAGATGAGATTAAAAAGTTGGCAGGAGTGGCTTGGCAGCAGAAAGCACAGGACCAGGCTGATTGGCAAAACACATGAGAGGTTTTTGCCCTGCACTTAGTATGATGATGATGGTGATTGTACAAGTTGATACAAAACCTTGAAAATCATTTCTGCATATCCGATGAACGAGTTCGCTTCACAGCACTACTTCACAATAATGCAAGGAAGGTAGTTTCAAGGAAATACAAGGGCAATTTTTTTTCTCGAGCTTTCATATTCTTAGATTTGCAGTAGGATATGCAAGTTATATGAAGGAACGAACTGTACGTGAAATGTAAACAGCACCTCAATATTGTCGCAGTGCAACGCGAACAAAAGATGACAGCAGCTTACGGCAGCGAAAAGAGCGTATTCAGGATCAGCTGTACATCAAGATGCCTGCTTCGTTGTCGTCCCGAAAAACCACCTGACCCACTAGCTGGAATCTACAAAACATTCCTATCATCGTTCTTTTTCATATAAACACGTGTCACTTTCCCCTCCTTATAAGAGCATCGCCCCGATGCTGATTCAGACCCACAGTATTTTTTTTTAACGTGCAGTCAGTGACTCACATACGGCTTCATACGCACTACATGAACAAGTTCAGGCTGGTGCTGGCGACGCTTCGGGCATTGGCGACTGTCGGAGACGACCTCGTAGGTGACGTCACTTAGCTGGCGCGATACTCGGTATGGCCCGAAATATCGCCTTAGCAGCTTCTCGGACAGTCCACGTTTTCATACGGGTGTCCAAACCCACACTCTGTCACCAATTTTGTACGTTACAGTTCTATGGCGAGCATTGTAGCGGCCTGCGTCGTAGTCTTGTCGCTGGTGGATCCGTAAGCGGGCGAGCTGCCTAGCTTCTTCCGCGTGTTCAGTGAACACGTCAGCGCCTGTGTCAGTAGCGTCCCATTCATGTGGCAACATCGCATCCAACATAGTCCGTACCTCCCGTCCGTGAACCAAGCTGAATGGAGTCATGCGAGTCGTCGCTTGTTTAGCCGTATTGTATGCGAACATGATATAGGGTAAAATTTCGTCCCAATTCTTATGTTAGACATCCACGTACATTGACAGCATGTCTTCAATTGTCTTGCTGAGGCGCTCCGTTAGTCCATTCGTTTGTAGGTGGTACGCATTGGTCTTACGGTGAGTCGTTCCACTAAGCATCAGGACATGGTCTAAAAGAGCTGCCGTAAATGCTGTTCCGCGGTCTGTGATCACGATAGTCGGGGCATTGTGGCGTAGCACAATATTTTCTATGAAAAATCTCACCACTTCCGCTGCGGTGCTCTTTTGGATAGCTTTTGTTTCAGCATACCTGGTTAGGTAGTCTGTTGCGACTATAACCCAGCGATTCCCTGCAGTAGAAGTAAGAAGGGGTCCCAAAATATCCATTCCTATCTGGTCGAACGGTGTACGTGGAACCTGAACTGGTTGCAGCTGACCGGCGGGTCTCTTTGGAGGTGACTTGCGTCGCTGGCAATTGAGGCAAGTGTGAATGTGGTGCTTGACGGCTGTTGTGAGTCGTGGCCAGTAGTATCCCTGCTGTACTCTTGCCAATGTGCGAGTGTAGCCTAAATGGCCAGACGTCGGCTCATTGTGACATGCTTGGAGCACTTCAGTTCGAAGGGGTGCAGGAATAACGAGCAAATAGGGAGCTCCGATAAATGAAAAGTTTCTTTTGTAGAGGACGCCATTGCGTAAGCAAAACGACGATAATGTCCTTGCAAAGACTCTAGGTGCCCTCGAAGAACGTTTGTCCACGTAATTAATCAAATCAAGCAATTCAGGGTCACTTCGTTGTTGTTGGGCAATCGTGGACGCGTCGAGAACACCAAGGAAGGCCATATCGTCGTCGTCAGAAAGAGAAGCTGACTGTACTGGTGATCGAGATAGGCGGTCGGCGTCCGTATGGCGCTTCCCAGACTTGTGTATGACCGTCATATCAAACTCTTGTAACTTCAGACTCCACCGTGCTAATCGGCCGGTTGGATCTCTTAAATTAGTCAACCAACAGAGCGAATGATGGTCACTTATAACTTTGAAAGGGCGGCCATACAAATACGGGCGAAATTTCATAACTGCCCACACCACGGCGAGGCATTCTTTCTCAGTTGTTGAATAATTGGCCTCAGCGCGTGTTAGCGTCCTGCTAGCGTAGGCGATCACTCGTTCCGTGTCTTCTTGTCACTGCACAAGCACAGCTCCGAGCCTACATTGCTTGCGTCAGTGTGAAGCATTCTTGGCCCTTGCTCGTCGAAGTGAGCAAGCACTGGAGGTGTTTGAAGACATTGGCAGAGGTCATTAAACGCTGCTTGCTGTTCGTGGTTCCACTCAAAGGTGGCGTCGTCTCTAGTGAGGCGAGTTAACGGCGACGCAATCCGTGCGAAGTCGGCGATGAACCGGCGATAGTAGGCGCATAGGCCCAGAAAGCGCCTGACAGCTTTCTTATCGGACGGTACTGGGAACTGTGCCACGGCCGGAAGTTTTTTGGGATCAGGCCGAACGCCAGTACAGCTGACGACATGACCAAGAAACAGCAGTTCTTCAAAACAAAGTGGCATTTCTCTGGTTTCAATGTGAGGCCTGCGGAGCGTATGGCTCGTAAAACAACTTCTAGCCTCTTGAGATGCTCGTCAAAAGTTGGGGAAAACACTATGGCGTCGTCTAGATAAACTAAACAGGTCTTCCATTTTAACCCTGAAAGTAGTGTCCATGAGCCTTTAAAAAGTAGCGGGCGCTGAGCACGAACCGAAGGGTAGAACTTTAAATTCATATAAACCATCAGGCGTCACAAAAGCGGTTTTTTCCCGATCTCTTGGGTCTACCTCGATCTGCCAATATCCACTTCTGAGGTCCATTGAAGAAAAGTAGCGAGCGTTTCGAAGCCTATCGAGGGAGTCATCAATACGTGGAAGCGGATACACGTCTTTCTTAGTCACTTGATTCAGCTTCCTGTAATCCACGCAAAAACGCAGGGTACCGTCCTTTTTCTTAACTAATACTACAGGCGATGCCCACGGGCTCTGTGAGGGCTGAATCACATCATCTTCAAGCATTTTAGCGACTTGTTGGTGTATCACTTCCCGTTCCTTTGGAGCCACACGATAAGGATTCTGGTGTATAGGCCTTGCTGCGTTGTGGGTAATTATTCGATGCTTTGTTAGCGGCGTTCGACCGACCCGTGATGTCGATGAAAAGCAGTGCTGGAATTCAGCTAGCAGCTCAAGAAGTCTCGTTCGTTTGTCCCTTGACAACGTAGTACCCACGTCAAGATTAGGTACTGATTCTTCTTGAGGTGCTTCGTCTAGGGCCGATAAATTGCCTTGGATTTCTGCAGTAGTGTCAAAGTAAGCGACGGCTGTACCCTTCGGGAGATGTCGGCGCTCAGTGCTGAAGTTAGTGAGCAGCAAGTTTGTGCATCCAGCAGTGACAGTGACTAGACCTCGAGCAACTGAAATACCATGGCTAAATATCAGCGAGCTTATTTGGTCAGCAATACCGTCGCCGTCAAACGGCTCATCCCCTGCCACCGAAACAAGCGTACACGATTGTGGCGGGACAACCACATCGTCATCCGTCAGACGCAATGGCCCTGAACAAGACGTGTGTCTCGGCTCTGAACAATCGACTAAAGTAGGGCTGTTGTTGCGAAATGTAATGACACTGTCAGGGATATTGATGACGGCGCCATGTTCTCTCAAGAAATCCATTCCGATAATCAGGTCTTTACAGCATAAAGCGAGAACGACGAACGTCGCCACGAAAGTAGAGTCACCGATGTCGAGCCTTGCTGTGCACATTCCGACAGGCATCAGTAATTGGCCGCCTGCCGTCCTTAAGTGAGGTCCCGTCCACGCTGTCTTCACTTTCTTGAGCGTACGGCAAGGTCATCACTGATAATAGAGAAGTCAGCCTCGGTGTCGACTAAAGCTTTGACTTGCTGTCCATCCACAAGAACGGTAAGGCCTGGGGTCACAGTTTCGTCGGTATTACGTCTTGTCGGCTTTACAGCGTCCTGAGGTGGGAGTAATGGGGGCTTTTTTTCTTTGTCTTGACAGCCTGCAACCTTACCCCCTGAGGTCGCCGCCTTCAGTTTCCCCGGTGTGGGCTGGGTGACCTCGCTCCTCTGGTCTCGGCAAAAGTGCGGCGCTGCAACGAAGGTGACTGGGCAGGAGAAGGAGAGCGTGGTCGATGTCGGAAGACCGGCTCATAATCAGTTATAGTCTCGTCATCATTGTTACGGCGGCCGTCGAATGAAGGTCGAGGTACCGGAGGTCCTTGAGAACCCACATCGCCACGGCGGGATACGTAGTTGTTGGCATGTCGAATTTCAAACCGTGGCCTGAGAGGGCGAGACGGATCGGCACGGCGCCAGCAATAGCGGGCTATGTGGCCTACACTTCCACAATTGAAACAGAGTGGACGCCTGTCGGCAGTGCGCCAGGTGTCTGTTCGGCGAAGCTGTGGTTGCCGTGATGACTCCTCACGCGACGAAGGCCATGGCAGGCCAGAAGACGACTGGTCGTATGGGGGCTGGATGGGTGGTCGCCACGATGTCTCCCCCTGTGGTGGTGACCAAGGAACAGTTGCAGGTGGCGGGTAGTATGAAGGCGGAGCGGGTGGGGGGCTTCGAAGGGCGACGGCGTACGTCATGGGACGTTGTTCGGGGGCAGGATCAGCTGTCGAGAATGCTTGGCGGATTTCGTCACGGACGACTTAAGCGAAAGATGCCATGGGTGTATCCACTACCGGAGTCCGCAGCCTTTGCAGTTCTTCACGAACAATCTCTCTAATCATGTCACGTAAGGAGCTATGACTGTCAAATGTCACAGCGGCGGCCTGAATTTGGGGGCTGCTACACAAGCGGTCATATTGTCGGCAACGTTGGTGAAGGGCCCGCTCGATAGCCGACGCTTCTTTGATGAAGTTCTCTACAGTGCTTGGCGGGTTGCGCAGAAGTCCGGCGAACAGCTGCTCTTTCACGCCACGCATGAGGTAGTGCAACTTCCTATCTTTGGTCATCTGCGGGTTAGCCCTCCGAAATAAACGTGTCATGTTTTCGGCGAACATGGCGACCGTTTCATTGAGTTTTTGGACCCTTAGCTCTAGTAGTTGGTGGGCGCGGTCACGTCTGTCGACATTGGCAAAAGTTTCAACCATCTTCTGGTGAAAGTCGGTCCATGTGGACAGGTTGCCTTCTCTGTTCTCGTACCAAGTACGAGCGCTGTCATCGAGATAGAAGTAGGCCCGGCCGAGCTTTTCCTGAGCAGACCACTGGTTGATCTTCGCAACACGGTCATAGTGGTCTAACCAGTCTTCTACATCTTCGTGTGCCCCACCACCAAAGCGTTTAGGCTCCAGTGATTGAAAAAACGTTACCTGGGATGGAGCGGGAGGACTGGTGCCGAGAAGTACAGGCTGGGGGCTGGTGTTAGCCATTTCTAGATGTCTGGTAGAGGTTTTCTGCGAGGGGTTGCAGTCTGGAGGAATACCTCGTAGCCGACGACTGAATCGATAGACAGGGGTTGTAGTAAACACGTCCGGGCTGGATGAACGGCTCCTACTAGGAGTGTGAAGCATCGGGCAGCGTCGCGGCCCAGCTCCTCCACCAGTGTCGCAGTGCAACGTGAACAAAAGATGACAGCAGCTTACGGCAGCGAAAAGAGCGTATTCAGGATCAGCTGTACAGCAAGATGCCTGCTTCGTTGTCGTCCCGAAAAACCACCTGACCCACTAGCTGGAATCTACAAAACATTCCTATCGTTCTTTTTCATATAAACACGTGTCAATATCTTCATGTGTAGCTGTGCAAACTTATCAAGTGCCAAAAGCCTCTAGTTCACCTTACACTGCTTGCTCTCCCAAATACATTAGAAAAAGCTAGGGGTGTGAGAATATTCAAAAGTTTCGAATATTCGTCAAATATTTCATTTGTAATAGTTATATTCGAACTAACTCGAATATTTTAGAATATTTGATCTTCACAAATATTCGTTCGCATATGTCGCTGTGAAGAACTTGCGATTTTACGCATTTGCGCTAAGAGTCTCAGTAGATCATGCAGGGATTACTAAGACTTCGGCGTGAGTGTGGTGATGCCTGCATGGAAATTAACGGAAATGTGATGACGGCTACCGACGAATGTGGTAGCACGTCATCGCGACAAACCTACCAACGATAAACATCTCAATCAGTCTAAGTCATGTACTGCCTGCACGGCAGTACATGTGGCTTAGAGGTTTAGCGCTGTTACAATTCGTGTAAGCGTACCGACCACGCCATCCGCTGCTTGTGCGCGGGACTGCAAGTGTGTATCGCTCATGCAAACAAAAGCAACTTGCCGCCGCCACATTGGCTTTGCTCGATCCCGTGCTGAGCGAGCACGAAAAAAAGATATATCTCTACACAAGGGCAAATTAACGCTTATATACATTACAGGGCCGGTGCTGATGGAGTGAGCTTAGTAGGCGATGCACTGCACGCAACTAGCTAGAGTCATGCTCAGTTTGACGTACGATGGTAACACGTTTCAAGTATAGTCACACCAGTTTTCATAAATGGATCGCTATACAAACGCACGCGCACATGTCGAAGACTGACAAGTCGTCCGTCAGCTGTGCCGCTACTTCAGCATGTATACTCTCTTCATAGTTCTGGAATGATTTCATCGTAGCGGATATAGTCATGCGAATGAGCTGAAGTTTTTTTTCGCGCAATGGCAAACATAGAAAGGGCCCTGCACTTTCGGTAACATTACAATGGCGTCATCACATATAGTTTTCCGTTGCTAACAGCGGCGCATGTAAGGTGAGGGACAAATTAATGCGTAGTTCCGCTGTGTTCTCGACAGCACCTTTGAAAATCTGTGGTACGCTCATCGCACTTGCGTGGCAATGTCTCCTGCAGTCAACCCTCTGTTAAACCGTTGCTGCGATCTTGCTCCTTTGTCAACGTTCGTTTACTGCCCTCGGCAGCAAGGCAACGAAAGCAAGCGAGGCGAGTACTGCTGGTTAGTTGAAAAACGCCTCAAGTACTCCTATTTCCCTTAGTGGCTTGACAGGTGAAAACAGGGGAGAAAATTAAAAAGAAAACTATAAAATTGGGGTCTTTTGAGCCAAAACTGATAGTGTGGGAACCTAGATGAATCATGACCACCTAGGCTGCTTTAATAATCGCTTACATTTAAGTACACAAGTGTTGACTGTTACACAATCAGACCAGTGGCCTCATGCTCACTAGTCATCATGGCAGGTACGAAAGCTTTTCTTTTTTTTGTGATAAGGTGCTACCACATAAAAAAAGATACAAAAGGTTTGTTCAACATGTAGACCGAAGCCCCCAAGACATCACAGTTAATATCTCAACTATTACAGTTTTATGCTTTCTGGCAAGTACAGATGGTGATTTTTTTATTTTTGTGCACAATAACTGACTATAATAACAATTGTACTGTTTCCAGCTTAAATATATGATTCAGTAAAAGATTACTGGTGGAAAAAAATTGCACCTCTTCATTATTCAATATTTGATTCATATTTGAAGCTATGTATTCGTATTCTATTCGTATTCGAAAAATTTTGCCAACTTCTTGAGACGTTTCGTGCTACCCGATGTTTGATGTATGACATGTTATGGCTGTTTTAGTTTGATGCATCAATACATTTTTCCACAAATTTACATTGAAGCGTTGTTGTTTTCAAACATTTTTTGATATAAGGGATAATTTGATTTACCCAAGGCCAATATACTAGTTGGGTTTGACTGCACAGCACAATTCAGTCACAAAAAAGATTCACAAAAGTAAAAAAAGCATTAGAGAAAAAAAAAAGAAACTTGATATGTATTTTTATAATTATTCACTAATAATCAATAGAACCTTCTAAATTTCTCTGCAAAACGAGAATATTCCTCAGAAATATGGCATAGTTTTTTTTTAATCACCTCATCAGAAATGTAGTATGTGTGTTTGAGAACATTCTTTTTGCTGAGATACTAAATATTGCCACGCTGTGTTAGTGGCAGAAGGGGAGAACAAAGAAGTGAATGGCTGTGTAGCTTAGTAAACAGTCACCCACTTCGAGTTCCTGTCTATCGTTTCCTCTCGCGACAATATAAAGGGTCAATATATATTAACTATGCGACTTCAACAGAGTCTACAGATTGGCTGGTTGTGGTAGGAAATATGCTGCGTGCATATGCAGTCAACAAGGCATGGCTGTTACATTATTATACAAGTTACCAGTCTATTAATATGGGAGCACTCAATCAAGATAATTAGCAAATATTTTTTACAGGTATGCTAACTACGAAAGAATACTGAGGAAGCAAAATGTAAAAGAAGAAAAAAGTGAAGCAAGAAGAAAAGATGCGAATCAAAACAGCCATGAAAACTTCAATTATTCTCACCAGTAAAACACTACAATAGTGAAGATAAGCAAGAAACAGCTTTCACTGTTGATTTGTGAAATTTACCCACACAAACAAGTTACTAAATTGAATAAATTATTTATTGCATGCAGAAATATATATGTGGATAATTGCAAGTAGACAATTTATTGAACATTTTACCTACTTGGCACGTAAATGGCTCTACTTGTATTTCTTGGTCAGTGACTTCTTCCAAAAGGGCCCTAGATTTGGGCCCCAGAATATACAACACTGTGTAAAGAGATGTAACATCTCGCAGTGAGACTGAACCATCTCGTGGCAGATGCCGCCGAACCCATTTGGCAATGCGGGTTTGCTGTGCTGTCGGTGAAACCATGAAATAACTGTAGAGAAAAGAACAATAAATAACATAACTTCAGATCCTTCCGGCTACATAAAAACATTTTCAGCAAGAAATCACAAACCATCAATTATACAGTATGTTCAAGTAGACCCAAGTCTCACTACAACAAAGCTGCACCTTCTGTGAAAAACGCTTTCTTAAGTTTACCACAAATTTATTACAAAACAAGACCAAACTTCATGTGTACTGCAACTAGAGCTAATGGTCTCTATTTTGAAAGATTATGTATATCTCACACGTTTAGACAAACCAGTGTAACGCAAAATATATGTTGTCGGCAACAGGCTATCAAGCATCACTTAAGGCTCTGCAAATAGTTACTACATGAACCAATGCATTTGTGTAAGACAAGCAATCACATATATGTTACGCGAGTACAGTTGTGACAACAGCAATCACATCACAGAGTGCACTATGGTGAAGAAATGTTGCAACTCGTTTCATTATAACCTAGGTTAACCCTGAAGACAGTACAATACTGCACAGTCTGCATAATGTTAGCTGCTATGAGAAAAAAACTAATGAATGTAAGCCAATCTTGAAGGTGTTGCAGCATCTCAAAAAGGAGCGTGAAATCATACTTCACACATTCAGACCTTGCAGTGAGCAGGCACATGCACAAACTCCTTTTTGTTTAAATTTCCCATTCCTTGGTTCATTCACTTGCAGTTCTATGGTAGTATAAATATTCTTATCAGGAGTAAGCACCAGATGGCTCCTGTATTGTTAGTAGCATCTTACATAAAATGTGGTTTCACCAGACTAAAACTTCTACACATTATGTCACTTGTAGCAGGCCAGGCATCAATGCCAAGGAACGTCCTTGGATGAGAGAAATAAACATTTGTTTCGAAAGAGTGTTCTGAGCGATGCCCAGTATCACTCTAAGGTGAAAGGGCTCCCTCGTCCAGAAACCCTCTGGCTTCGACTGCCTTCTTGCCCCTGGTGGCGAGTTGTCATTGGTCTTATAGATCCTCTAGGACGAGCTTGGCCTCCCACGTTTCGATTAGGTGGTTGTCGTTCGTTCTTGGTGCTTAATCCCACTCCGGTTGCATGTGGTGGTTTGCATGACACTGGCATTCCAGGAGCAAGTTTTCCAGGGTGTTCGGTACGCCGTTTTAAAATTTAATGATCACACTGTGCACATTACATGTGTGACCTGAGTTTACTCTAGAACTGAGACGAGAACCAGCAATAATGTTGGAATGTGTGGCGACACATGAATAAATGCCAGCATATTCCCCCCACAGAGAAGAATAACGGCAGCTGACATGTGTTCACCACAATCATTGTACTGTAAGAGTTAGTTGCCTGTATTGTAAGTGTTACAGTTAAACCTGGATATAACAATATTAATAAATTTGTGGAAAAATTTATTACAAAGAGGATTTCATTATTTGGAGGTGTGGTACGGAAATTCTGAAAATAAATGCACAAATTAAGCAAAAGGGGGAGTGATAACAGCTAACCCAAAACACATATTTTACAGCAAAAAATGCGATATTATTGTGATACCAATTATGTGGACACTATCGGCAAGTTTTTGCTGTCGCTTCCATGTTCCGTAACAAGTCTAAATTGATAACATGCCTGCCCATTGTAACTTTCAGGAGCGGGTAAAAGTAAAAGTGTGTGAGCGCTGCTGAAGCAGAGATCAAATGAGTTGGTCCGTCCCTATCGCCTGGAAAGTGCACAAGATACCATCTCCTGCATGTTAGAACTGCAGTCGAATGCTGAAACAAAGTAAACTACCCATCTAGAACGAGCATGAAACAATGCAGGGGGGGGGGGGGGAGTTCGCTTAAGTAGCAATAATGAACTTGAATTTTAAGAAGGGCGGTCGCGATCATTGGCGCGCTTGCTATCTCGGCGAGTAAATCAGTGTGCTTTCAACGCGAAGAGACTGTGTGAAAAGAGCGCTTTTCCCTGGAGCTGCCGTATTTGCTCACACCAGCGTTTTGTAGGAGTTCCGCGGTATCGGATACAAAAAAGTTGGCTGCCAGCTTTACTTCTTATAACATTAATTTTTCTGCTAACGAGTTCATTGCATTGCATTCAGCGCACCGTCGTATTGCCAGAACTAATTGGCTAATAGCGAAAGCTACCAGTTTGCGAACTCGTGGCGCGGTGCAAGATAGAAGGACATGATGAATCGACTTCCGAAGATCCGTTGTCTCCGTGGTCTTGAAGAGTTTCCATCAGTGCCTAATGTGACATTCTCTCAGTTGTGACGACACGGTTCACAGCTTTGCCGCAAGGGCCAAGCAATGAATGCGATAGCAACAACTTTGAATGTAACCCTCAGAAGGGCAAGCAGATCGAAATGTGCAGGGTGGTGCTCATGCACGAAATGACGCACAAGAACAACATACACAGGATGAGAGAAAACTAACAACGTTTACTGCTCGACACTTAGTGTACTGTTTAAACAGAAACGAGGCACGAAACCTAATCACAGGTACAGATATGAGTGCGAACTAACAAGTGCCCAAGCTGTTACTTCACCATATTTGAAAAGCGCACTCTTCACAAACGGCGCCTGTCCAGCGAGGGAAGTGATCTTTGCGTGCCTAGAAACCAAACACAATCGTTCCGGTCAAAGTCGAAGGCGAGCGATTCTCCCTACTGAAGGATAAGTGCACGCCCACAAACCATCTACCCCCCCCCCCCCCCTTCATGGGGCAAAGTATGCGTGGGAGATAAGCACGCATCAGTGCATCGTGACAAGCTCGGCGCCGAGTGCGGACAGCTTTTTTTTTTCTTTTTGAGTTTTCAATTACACATATACGTATACAGTGAATGACAGCGGCGATGGCAAAAAAACCAGCCGAGACTGTCCATATAATTGCTATTGCAATAAAAAAAAAAGAGCAAAGCTGAATGTCGTCGGGAGGCCACACCATGAGCGCCAAGTGAAACTATGCACGCGTGCATGGCATCAAAAACTAAGAGAGAACGATATGAACACAGACACCATGGAAAACTATTCGGTTAAGAGCCCTCCTTATGCAACGTGGCCCCACATATGTAATGCTAACTAAAAGTGCAGCACTGCCAACGTGCAAAAGTAGTTTTTGTTTTTGTATTGAGTGGAGGGGGAAGGGGGGGCACCCCCGCACATGCGCCCGCTGCGGCGAGAACGGCGGCAACGCCGGATCGCGGGGTGTTAGCCCGCCTGCCCACCTCGTGCTCACCCGCGCAGTGCTCGCACTTGCCTGAGGTGCCATGCGCGCTGATGCTGCTTCGTCTGGTCTGCAAGGCAGCTGCAGAAGACACATGCTTGTACCAAAATGCTAAAATGTAGAGAAAAATTCTTGGATTCTTTGTGGGGAAAATTCTTCATATGAAGGTTGTCTCCCACTTTTACTTTGTTACATAAAGGTCGCAAATACATGTGCTTCTATGGAGCAATAGCGGGGAATAGGAAAATTTCGTTATATTGAGGAATTCATTATATCGAGGTTTGTTATAAGCAGGTTTAACTATACTACTTTGCTGAGAACAAGTTCACCGAATATGATGAGAGACGTACTAGTGGACGCGGCTGGCCTGGCTGATCCAGGCCACACCCCCTGGTTCACTGAATAAAGAGTATTTACGAGTTTCAGGTCTACACTTTCAACTTTCACAACCATGTGATGATATTGTTAAGGGGTAATGATATTTGAAAGCTGGGTTGTCCCATTAAGTGTGATTTGGTCTGTTTTGTGTACATGTTTATGTGTGCCATATTTATAATCAGGTTCACACTTGATCATAAATTAGACAGCCGTGCCACTCTTGTCATCATGTTTGTGCTTTTTTAGTCCCAGCATCACATTCATCCTTGCCACTACTGTCAGCTCACAGAATTTAATACCTGTTTACTTACGAACTTACCGATTGCTAACAAAAAATATTACTTCCCCAACACGAAGTGTACTGTCCTCAGCAACATGCTTGGCTGCCAGATTATGCAGTCAATTATTTAACAGAGTAGTTTTTGTTTCCCACTAACTTCTAACCTCAAGCATAAATGGATAAATAATTAAAAAGGCCCTGACACAGTTTTGATGATTTTGTAGAAACACATTGAGCAAGCCAGTAAAGCAAGTTTTGAGAATAGTTTGTAGACCGATTTAAGCAACCTGCATCACCTGTGTAAATTATGACCAGACTTTAAACATGTGAACTGCTATAGATTGCAACAGCTCAGCCGAAGAAGTTTTCAACTTCTCAGGCCTTTTCCAAATAGCATTGTTCCATGTTTTGTGACACTAGGTGACCGATCTGATTGGATATGTTCAGCCTGTCATAGAACCTCCATTGAACAGCGAGCGTTGTCTGCCTCTGTTACAACATGCTCTGCACTGACGTCACCTGAGCTACAGTGTTTTTTTCAATGTTTTTTTTTTTCTCGGACACTGTTGCCCTAGCTGTGTTGTGTGCCACAAATCTAGTGACTGGAGACTCGTAAAGCTACAACATTGTGTAAGGTTTGTGAGGCAGCAGGCAAATGGAGTTACTTCAGCTCATTGTTGCAGTGAGTGTCAGGCTCTAACTGTCTGGTCAAATGCCATTATCCATGCGTGTGCAGCTATGGCTTCACCCCTCAAGACATAGCCAGATTGCCCGAGTTTGCACTTATTGGTGATCCTTCTCAAATACTTTTTGTTTGTCCACATGCCTTTGCAGGTGTTGCCATACAGAGGAATAAAATGAGAAAGGCTGGTTGCATGGTGGCACTTGTTGAAGCAGATATCCAGTGCTTCGTGAGCTTCATCTCTGCCAGATAGTGTGCTGTCAGCTGCACTTGACAGAGCTCAATCTGTTGAGTGCAAGACAATAGTGAGAAAGAGCGCATAGATATAATTTCCCGTAGTGACCTTGGTACACGGTGCATTGCTTAATTTTTAGTGCAAATGCTTTGATGATACTCAAGCCTAAATGCTGACAAAATTTCAGACACTATTTCAGGGTCCCTTTAAGCTTCTCTTAGCCGTTACTTCTTTTTCAATAACTCTCACTTACACCCTCTCTCTTTTTAAAGCTCACTCACTCAACAATAATAATCTCAGGGGTTTTATGTACAAAAACAATGATCTGAAAATGGGAGATGCCAGAGTGGAGGGTCCCAAAAATTTTTACCACCTGGTCTTCTTTAATGTGCTCTGAGATTGCACAGCACATGAACCTCTAGCACTTTGCCTACATCTAAATGCAACCGTCGTGGCTGGAATCAAAACTCGTGACCTTCGGGTCAGAAGCCGAGCATCCAAACTGCCACACCACCCTGCAGCGGAAACTCTCTCACTCACTCAGTCATTGATGCATGCGCACACGCATGTTATTTACAGGGTATTAATTTAGCAGAAAAGTCAGAGCTTTGCCGCAAAGATGAAGCAATGAATGCAATAGCAACAAATTGGAAGGTCACGCGCAGAATGGCTAGCTGATCGAAACGTGCCCTGCGTTTCTCATACATAAATGACGCACAAAACCCACTCATAGGTACAGATTGATTGATTTGTGGAGTTTAACGGCCCAAAACCACCATATGATTATGAGAGACACCGCAGTGGAGGGCTCCGGAAATTTTGACCACCTGGGGTTCTTTAACGTGCACCCAAATCTGAGTACACGGGCCTACAACATTTCCACCTCCATCGGAAATGCAGCCACCACAGCCGGGATTTCATCCCGCGCTCACAGGTACAGATGAATGCGAATAAGCGTCTCAGTTGTTACTTCGCTGTGTCTGAAAAGCACGCCCTTTTTGCAAACGGAGACTGTGCAATGATTGCAGTGACCTTTGTGCCCCCGGTAACTATACCCCGCGACAACTTTCTGTGGCAGCACAGCCAAGGCTACGGAGCCGAAGCACGCTTGTCTTACTGCGCCACAGCATGTAGTCCCTCAACGAAAACGTTTGTATACTGTTCTGGGTAACTAAGATTTTACCATTCGTTACTTACATTTTTCGCGGATTTATTTTTTAATTAGTGAATAAAATTGTTGCGCAGTAGAAAAAATTTCGTTTCACGCTCTCTCAGGTTTTTTGGGGGTTTTTTGGCTTCCATCGCCTTTTTACCTCACCGCATTCCTCACTGTCAAAGATGGCGTCCGCCGGTTACAGCTCGTCAACGTCGCTTACGGAGGAAACACCGCCGCGTGCCGCGAGTCCACCAGCTGTGCAGCCGTACCAGGCGTTTTCAAATCAAAAGCTGTCCGTACAGGCCAAGAAGGTGGCGTACAGCGTTTACGCGCAAGTAAGGAGAAGCGACCCGCAGCTGTCTGTGAGAGCCGCATGTCGGAAAGTCAGCGAGCTCACTGGTGTTAGCGAGCGCAGTGTCTTCCGGATTAAGCTCGACGTTAACAGTGGAACCCTGAAGTCACCGAAAACGGTACGTGCATGATGAGTTGTGTAACCATTACATGAATAATTGAATGTATCATTCACCCAGCAACCTGGGTCCACGCGTCAGTAAATCACGTCACAATATTATTAAAAATTGCTCTCGAGTTCCCAAAGATGCGACTCGCGTTTCCTGCAGCAAAACGCGAGCAAACGCGAGCCGACGCGGCCTGCGAGACGCGGACTGCGCTGGTGAAATCGAAACCGAAACACCCGTCGAAGCGGTCGGACTACTTGGCGCAGTAGCACATGTGCATAGGCTCCGCCCACGTAGCCTTGGCCGTGCTGCCACAGAAAGTTGTCGCCGGGGTATACAACAGAATCGTTCCGGTGAAAGTCCAAAGCCAGCCAACACTTATGATTCTCCCCACCACTAGATAAAGGTGCACGAGTGAGTGCAAACCCACCTCCTCTCTGTGGGGTAAAATATGCATGGGAGATGAGAGTGCGCGCCGCTGCGTCATGACGATGTGGCGACACGCACTCAATGTGCCATCTTGCTGGTAATGCTGAAAACACGATAGTTCCCTCTGAGATGCCTGTCAGCAGCGGCAAGTGATAGATATAAATAGCTTGCCCTTTGAATGTTGAAGGAGGTGCTCCTCTGTGGCTCAGTGGTTAATGTCTTGCACTCACAATTCAGAGGTCCCAAGTTCGATTGCGCGTGCTGGAGTCTTTCTCTCGATTATTCTTTTTTTCTTGTGTTTACATATATATAAATACGTATACATATACGTTGAGTGACGGCGATGCCGATGTCGACAGCGACACACCCGGCGGCAAAATCTAGCCGAGAGTGTCCATATAATTGCTATTGCAATAAAATGCAGTGCAAAATAATCTCTCAGATTAGAGAAAATTACTAATATTTTATAAATGTGGGATACTGTTTGTAGAGTTGAATATTGTTAGCCTTGAATTGAGAGTTGTTCTAGCATGAAGATGTGAGCTAGAAATGAGTAGGAAAAACAGCAAAACATAGTGGGAATTAGAACGACTGTTTTGAGCAAGTGGGTTAAAGAAAAATTTGAGGTAGCTTGAGGTCTCCATAATGACATACATAATGATGCACAGCCATCACATAATATCAGTTACACCTAGATTTACACGTGGGGACTAATGTTACTCAAGGCCACAACCTCTACTACATCAAACCAAAGAAACAATATGACAAACATACCGATTTACATCCATGCGCACCAAGATGCAATCATTTTCGTAGCCACCATAATCATTCTGCATGCCTGTTTGCACAATGTGCCCCACTGGAACATCCACATCATTTGAGCAGAGCAGCTGCAGAAAGTCCACAACCTCCAGTCCTCCGGACTGCAAAGAATTATTCTTAGATAACCCGACATAGAAGCTACAGTGCATGAAACTAGCATAACTGAGGGTACATGGTACTAGGTCAATACTAAAGAGAACAACATATTTCTACTTTAAAGCTGGCAATTTTCTGTCTTTCAAGTGACGTTGAAATTAAAAAGTTTCATGAGGGAAATCATCAACATGAGATGAATGCAAAAACTAGGAGTGAGATAGGTTCTGATCAAACTTATATATCCTAACCAACTTGCTGTACCTTCTGAAGGTATTTAAAATGTGTTACTTTTCTAAGTATTTTGGTGTCTTGAAAATACTCCTTGAGAGAATTATTTGGCTGTGACTTCAATACCTTTCAGGGTATCTCATAATTAGTAATCCGAATACTAGGCAGGAAAATTCAATCCCTTAGTAAGAAAGCACTAGACCAACCCACCCTATCACTACAAGTGCAATTCATTTGTCCAACGTAAGTAGAGTGTAGGGCTCTAAACACTCAAGCTCACTCAGCTTTTCTCACAGAAAAACTTGACAAAGCCCAGCCTGCCTTATGTCCTGGTAACATGGTAGACATGCTGATACCCAAAGGCACAATACTTGAAGTGACTCATGCACTCACAAAAAAAGAATCTGAATCCTTGACAAACACGCACAAGTTCCCTACAGCAAGACAAAACAAGATAACAGCACTCTGCCAAAGATCAGGATGACTTTTTTTTTTTTCCCTTCACCGAGTTGGCACCAGGTAAGAGCCAAAGGGTTTTAGCTGGCCTAGGCTATACATGTACTTTTGGAAAATGGAGATCTGAAAATCACAGATGTTTTAAAATAATCTCTACTTCCCAAACTTTAACTGCGGTATAACATAACTATCCCTTCTAGCACAAACAAGGTGCACCATTAAGCACTAGAAGCCATGTTAAAAAAAGGGCAAGTGCTCAATTAGCAGCTTGGGAAGCAACTAATCGAGTCCATAAACTTTTGGCAGTAGGTAGTTTCATTGCACTCCTTTTCAAATTTTACAAGAAAATGTATCATGAAATAAGTTTCAATAGAATGAAATACTTTTTCTGTGCATTTATACTCTACTTAAAGCACAAATTAGAATTTAATACAACACAAAACACTTTTAATGCTATTTTGGTGTTAAGTAAATTTTTGATATGTCTTGCACTGGTCTCACTCTGACATATACATATGCAAACTCACATCTATGGCTGGACGAATGTTTCAACAAACATTGAGATTTTCCAGGGATACTGGCAGAGTGAATTCCCTGTCCATACAACACAGCCTTGTGCATAATGTGAGAGGCTAACTCAGAGAGAGAGAGGCGAAAGACAAAAGCACAGAAAGAGATACTCTCTACTAGCTTCCTCTAATACAAGGACAAGATACTTCAGCATCAACCTTCATAGAACAGTCAGTACTTACCTCGAGGTAGAATTTAGTAAATGATGACATGTCACTTAGGCCGACTCTCTCTCGGCAAGCCACATACTCCCGATGCACATGCTCCAACCATGCAGGCTTTCCATATGTTGGCTCTGGGCTGGTGTGGTTCTCCCCTTCAAGTAAACAAACCCTGTGTTACAGCTTTCGTCTCTATACATTATACACAACAACATAACGTGGGCAACGTAATACGAGCAGCTTCAGTCACGCACTGCAAATTTACGGGTGTGCAAATTCACACCCCCCAATGATGATTCTCTCCTGAATAGATTTGAGTGCAGATGAAGAACACACAAGAACAGAGGATGACTTTACGAGCGCTCTCTGAACAATGATTCTCTCCAACTGAAACAGATCTTGAAAGTTGTACTATTTTTGGTAGCTGCACATGCCAGAAGTGATAGTAGGAGCTTCCAGAGAAGTGATTGCAGGTGCATCCGTTTTTCTTACGTCCCTTTCAAATGTGAAACATATGCATGAGAAATCATTCTTTGAATTAAGTACTTACACATGTACATTTATTTTATTTGTTCATGATATAAAGAGATTCTGCTAAGTCCAAGCAGGGCTGTCACAACCAGGTGTGCGTGTATGTGTGCATGTCTGTGCACGTGTGTGTGCACGTGTGTGTGTGTGTGTGTGTGTGTGCGTGCGTGCGCGCACGCGCGCACGTGCATGCTGTATTTTTTAGCATATCATCTGACCTAGTATATTACTTGCACCTTTAACTAAAAACATGAAAAACTAAAATTTTGAAAACATCAACCTCTCCACAGCAAAAAAGTTAAAACAGAACAGAACAGAACAGAAAAAAAAAGTAAAATCTCGCATACTACCGTGAAGCCGCCTTTTTTGCCTTACTGTAAAGTAGTGCCATGAACCACAAGGCCAACTTACAGAAACTCACATATAAACTGCAAGTCATGTTCAGCACTGATATTTCTGTATATTTTGTGTGGGTCTTATGCGAGAAAATACGGTAAATTTCTTTATATTATCATCAATTAATATAACAATTTCATCAACAGCCAGCAAGTATTTTTGAAAGCACTGGAAAGCTACATTTGGCGTTTCAAAGCCAAAAAAACAAAGTTCATTTTGTTAGCCACATCTGTAATATACAATGAAAAGCCATGTTCAAACCAATCCGTCTCATGCTGTGCTAGTCCAAATAATGAAACACAGCAGACCTGGCGACACTACACGCACAAGGAAAATAGGACTATCTGCGCTAATAAAAACTACTATTTCTCCACAGCAATATTACTAGCAAGAAAAATTACTTATTTGCAAACTTTAAACAAGTGCAACCTAGAAGAAAGAAACCAAGCTGACAGAGTCAGAAAGATTAATTTGGATTGAATCATAAATTTGTTTAGATGTTTTTAGAGTAAAATAAAGCAAAATGAATATGTGCAAAACGTCTCTTCTGAAAAATGAATTTTAAAAATCAGAATCCTACCGAGAATGTGCTGAGGATCAAAAAACAATGCTCGTTCAAAGCCCATTCTTTCACCAAGCACAGCGCCCTGCTGTTCCTGAAGTGGCAGCAGTGGTGAACAACGAAGGCGACGTCCTGTTCGAAATTCAGCCTGCAATTAAGGCATTTCGAAGAATATAACTTCGATAGAAGAAAGTCTCATGAAATGAAAGTAGCTTGAAAAATGACAAAAAAATGTCTCCTTTGTCAAACATACGCCTTTACAGGAATAACAGTAGTTTTCATTACCATCCATGACTATCATTCACCAACTTATACATTAACTATCGTTTGAAGACATTTCCCTATGATTACCAGTCACTCCTTTCTTTATTACAAGATGGCAAGCTAGGCAAGTTGGTATGACGTCCCACTGAAGAGCTATATAACCAGAGACAACGCACAAAACATCATACTTGGAATGTATTCTTCATGTGTTCTTTCCGAGTTGCAGCTCTAAATGTAAAGTAAGTTAGCAATCCCAAAGCATTTCATAAATCATAGAAACTTACTTTTATGCACAGAGCAAGACTGTTTCAAAAAAAAAAAAAGCAAACGGATGAAGATATTGTACACCTTGTACTGCACAATGAAACACACCTGTTTAAATTATATCGGGTGTCCCAGCTATCTTTAGGCAAGGGTAAAAAAATACAATATTAGAAACAGGTGAGCGGAATCAGTTGCATATCGTTGATAGTCACCTTGTGCACTACAGACAGTTTTTGTAAATAACTAAATTGTTAATTAGGTTATCTTAACTAACTCACTTAATATTGACTTTAAGCAAAAAATTAGACTTGCAAAGTTCGAGAGCGCCTTCAGAAACGTCCAGTGCACAATTTGCTATAAAGAAAATCTCACGTATATCTCACACGTAAGCCAAGACTCGCCGTATCCGCTGCAGTAATAGCCGTTAAGTTGTTGTTGGTTTTTTAGATCACTGCCAGCCAGTTGAGGTGCGTGATGGTGCAACTTGTAGCCAGCCACTGTCGAGTTAATGGCCTGCCGCTGAAACAGATTTGGCGGGTCACGGCTGCAGCTGATTTCGTTCCCTTAAACCCCAGCTGAGAGCAGCATGTGTGCAGCGCGCAGACGCACTAGTCACATGCTCTTTTTTGTATTTACCGGGCTCCCTTTGCTACTTGAAAAAAAATGGCATTTGCAAAATTTTCTTTACTGCAAATAATGCAATGCACGTTTCTGAAGACGTTCTACTACACTGCAAGTACCATTTCTTGCCTAAATTTAATACTCAACGAGTTAGTTCAGTCATTTTAATTAACAAAATTGATTAATTAGAAAACAAAAATTGTCTGTAGTGCACAAGGTGACTCTCGGCAATATGCAACTGATTTCACTTGCCTGCCACTAATGCTGTATTTTTTTATTCCTTGGCTAAAGATAGCTGGGATGTCCGGTATTTTGCAATTTTTGATTTTCCATTTAGAGATAAATGAAAAGAAACTTCCTTCTACGCTCCGTACACAACCAGTAATTAAATGCCTCCACTGATCAACACCTTTAGTGGGTACAGCTTGCACACTCTACTTTTTTCTTGGAGAAAAAAAAAGGGGTGCAGGATTAGATGGGGAAGGTCCGATTGAACCAGCTCTTGTGAACACAAGGAAACACACTTTAAAAAACTGTACAGGGCTTTTGTCGTCTGCGTATATAACAACATACTGCCACGTTCTTGTTCTCAAGTTTTGTTATCGCCCCAATACACTACGTAATTCTCAGCGCAAACCCCGCCTGCAGTCTTCGAGAAGCTTCATCACTGTAGTAGATCATTTCGATAAGATCACGCCCACTCCGCGAACTGTACAGATTATTCTGGAGCCTACGTCAACGCTAGTGGTAACGCTAGAACATTTGATGGCAAGTGTATAAGTGCCTACGTGCTTCGCCGCTTGTCAGTTGATCGACGACTGACGATCCGTTCGCCGCTATCAGTGCAGGTCTGCTACTGTGATCCAACTTTCCGTTTATCGAGCACAAGTTCGCCCAAATAAACAGTTTAACCTTCATCCTACTGTCTGTTTTTTTGTCGACGTCACCACCCTGTGACATCTGGTGGAGGTGCTGCTTCTTTGATGTTTAGGACGCCCCCTTCAAGCCGCGAGCCCAGCCCAAGCGGCAAAGAAGACACGGACGCCAACCCTGAACAGCGCACTAGTCGCAGGCAGAGGGTACTACAACCAGAGTACGGGCCCCTTCCTGAAGCAGCCAGGCAGACCCGGATCCCGACATCAACTACAGCAACCATGACCGCCCCCGTGCAGCCTGCCCCAGTCATTCTCCGGCAGCGCAAGGAACCCCCAACGTTCCATGGATCGTCAGGTGAGGACCTGGAAAGCTGGATCGAAATATATGACCAAGTCACCGCCTTGAACAGCTGGGACCGAGAAAAAATTACGCCCCGTCTATTTTTACTTAAAAGACGCTGAGAAGACAAGGTATGAAAACCACGAATCAACACTACGAACCTGGAAACTCTTTCAAGCAACGTTTCTGCACACGTTCACGAGCGTCATCCGCAAGGAAAGCTCTGCCACATTGCTGGAGACAAGGGTGCAACTTCCTAATGAAAGCGTAACCCTCTTCGTCGAAGAGATGACCCGGCTCTTTCGACACACCGACTCCACCATGGCTTAGGAAAATAAGCTACGGTTCCTCATGCGCGGAGTCAAGCAGGAGCTGTTTGCGGGACTTGTCCGGAACCCGCCCCAGACTGTCAGCGAATTTCTTGCCGCGGCCACAACTATAGAAAAGGCGCTTGAGATGCGCACAGCGCAATACAACCGCCACGCCTCATAGAACTGCCTTGACGCCTTCAGCACCGACGACCTGCGCGAGACGATTCGAGCGATCGTACAGGAGGAGCTGCGGAAGTTGTTGCCTTCAACGCAGCCTCAAGCCAATTCAATCACTGACATTGTCCGCGAAGAAGTTTGGCAGTCGCTTGGAATCACAGAAGCACTGCAGCCTGAACTAAAAAGCAATGAGCTACGCCATTGCAGTGCACCGCAACGCTCCTCCACGCCCTCGTCAGGACACAGCCCCGTCGCAGTTCTTCCGCCAGGCACCGCCGCCACCACCGCCGATGCCATACCGCCGGCCAGCCGGCCAGCGCTACGCTTCAAGGAAGACTGACGTCTGGCGCACCCCTGACCACCGCCCACTGTGCTACCACTGCGGTGAGGCCGGGCACACTTACCGCCGTTGCCAGTATCGACAGATGGGGCTGTGTGGCTTCGCCGTCAATGCACCACGTCTGCAGCCAGGGGAATGGCCACGTGATATCGCCGACTACCTGACAGGAACTCAGTGGACACCACGAAGCCCTTCCCGTTCACCATCGCCCAGCCGCCGCATGTCACCGCACCACCAGCAGTACTCTGGCCCAATGCGGGGTCGGTCTCCTAGCCTGTATTTGGGAAACTAAGGGCATCAACCGATGGAGGTGCGGTTGCTGTGCGACGAACTACCGAAGATTCTCCGACGCCAACGCGACGGAGCTTTCTGAACACGACGCTAATCAGGCAAAGTCCTGACGGCCAAACCTCATTTACCGAAGATGACCTGACGATGCAACATGGAAGAAGCGAAACAAGCCGACGCAGCCGTGACCCGATGCCACCCCCTAACTGTAACACTAGACGGCGAACTAGCGACCTCAACGTTCTTATTGACGGCCACAGTGTGATCGCTCTCGTCGATACTGGAGCCGACTATTCCCCATCATCAGTGGACCGTTCGCTGCGAAGTTGAAGAAAGTTAGGACAGCTTGGGAAGGCCCCGAAATCCGCACAGCCGGAGGTCATCTCGTAACGCCTACAGGAATCTGCACAGCGAGAGTCACCATTAATGGCCGTATTTATCCTGCAGACTTCGTAGTTCTACAGCGTTGCTCGAGAAATGTCATCCTTTATGCCTCCATGGTGCTGTCATCAATCTAAGAACAAAGTTGATAACGTTATCCACAGAAGAAGCACTACTGCCGCGCACACCATCAGGAAACCATGCCTTGAATGTGCTGGAAGAACAAGTCACCATTCCGCCTCGATCCAGCGTCATTATTTCAGTCGGCGCTCCTAAATCACCTGACTTGGAAGGCGTCGTTGAAGGCAGTTAGCTTCTGTTGGTCACCCGAAATATTTGCGTCGCAAGAGGAATTGCAGAGCTGTGGGAAGGCAAAGCAACAATTATGCTCACGAATTTCAGCAATGAGTGCAAACATGTGAACAATGGAACGACGGTCGCATACATCGAAGAAATTGTGGAAGCCACCAGTGCTCTCTCCCTCGCCGATTTTGCGGAACCTGCTCAGAGAAACCAAGCCCCTCCCTCAGCTTTCGACGTTAATCCCAGCCTTCCAAACCATAAGCAAGAACAGCTCAAGGCCCTGCTACTGCAATACGAAGATTGCTTTTCGTCGGCATCAAAAATTCGGCAGACCCCAATCACGAAACATCGCATCATGACCAAAGAAAATGCCAGACCACTCTGCCAGAGTCCGTACAGGGTTTCGACGCGAGAACGTGAGGCCATGAAGAGACAAGTTGATGAAATGCTGCGGGATGACATTATCCAGCCGTCCAAGAGTCCATGGGCATCCCTCGTGGTGTTAGTGAAGAAAAAGGATGGGACCCTACGTTTCTGCTTCGATTATCGCCGCCTGAACAAAATCACAAGAAAGGACGTGTATCCTCTCCCACGAATAGACGACGCACTTGATCAGCTCCATAACTCCAAGTACTTTTCGTAAATGGAAATCAAGACTGACTATTGGTAAATCGAAGTCGACGAAAGAGACCGAGAGAAGACGGCGTTTGTTACACCGGACGGCCTCTTCGAGTTTAATGTGATGCCCTTCGGTCTTTGCTTAGCGCCTGCAACTTTTCAACTCGTTATAGACACAGTCCTGACAGGATTGAAGTGGCAGACTTGCCTTGTGTACTTGGACGACGTCGTAATTTTCTCGAGTTTCAATGAGCATCTTCGACACCTTGAAGCTGTACTTCAAGCCATCAAGATGTCCGGACTCACACTGAAGCCAGAAAAGTGCAGACTTGCGTACGAGGAGCTCTTGTTTCTGGGGCACGTGATTAGCAAGTCTGGAGTTCTTCCCGATCCATGAAAAACAGCCGTCATCGCCGACTTCCCGCCGCCCGCAGACAAGAAGGCGGTGCGCCGATTTCTGGGCCTGTGCCCCTATTATAGGCGGTTCGTGAAAAACTTTGCCCGCATCGCCGATCCACTCAGTAACCATACCAAGGCCGACGTGGAGTTCCAAGTGGGAAACGCCACAGAAACGTGCTTTCCACGAGCTTAAACATCACCTCCAGACACCTCCATTAATTGCCCATTTCGACGAATTCGCCGAGACAGAAATACACACTAACGCAAGCAGTGTAGGTCTCGGCGCCGTTCTTGTGCAGAGGGCTGACCGACTTGAAAGGGTCATTAGTTACGCCAGCCAATCGCTATCCAAAGCAGAAGCCAATTATTCCACAACAAAAAAGGAGTGCCTCGCCATCATCTGGGCTACGTCGAAATTTCGCCACTATCTCTACGGCAGGCCCTTCAAAGTTGTGGCTCTCGGCAATATGCAACTGATTTCACTCGCCTGCCACTAATGCTGTATTTTTTTTTATTCCTTAGTTAAAGATAGCTGGGACGCCCGGTATTTTGCAATTTTTGATTTTCGATTTAGAGATAAATGAAAAGAAACTTCCTTCTACGCTCCGTACACAACCAGTAATTAAATGCCTCTACTGATAAACACCTTTAGTTGATACAGCTTGCACACACTACTTTTTTCTTGGAGAAAGGAAAGGGGGTGCAGATTAGATGGGGAAGGTCTGATTGAACCAGCTCTTGTGAACACAAGGAAACACACTTTAAAAAACTGTACAAGGCTTTTGTCGTCTGCGTATATAACAACATACATACATGATCAACTGTACCATGAAGTAGCTTATATCCGATTAGCACCTACCTCAGCCCAACTTCTAACCTACGGCACCATAGTCGGGCCGAAACTCGAATATGCATGTGCCCTGTAGGACTCATAAAAACATAACCACATTACCATACTTAAATCAGTACAGAGCCATGCAGTATATATTATTTTTTGGACAATTCCTACAACTCTAGCTCATCGAAACTCAAATCCCAAGCAAACTTTCTTAGCCTTGCATCACACTGTCAAGTCGCCAGCCTTTCTCTCCTTTCACAAGTTCTTTCACAAATCACCCTAAGTCGATCTCATTGTTCCCGCACCCACCCATTGCCCCTCAAGCCAAACCAACCACTAAAAGACCGTATACCCCTTTCAAGCTCATACTGTCTCCCATACATCCTCCTCCTTCAACATAAGATCAAGGGACTGGAATGACCTTTCCATTACAGCAGTGCTTCATCTGGCCTAGCCATCTTCAAACCCATCATAGAAGAAAGTAGATATGCCCACCCTTCATGTGAAACTTCTTCCTTTAGGGGCCTTTGAGGTATTATAAATAAATAAAAAATATTTAACTCAAATGCCACAAACGAATGCCATAAAAAATTAAGAGTGCAAATATTTTTCAGCCTTTATAACAACACAAGATACTTAATTTCAGTTTTATGCGTGTATTTAAGCAAAGAAGTAACGACACTCATCTTTTTTTTTAGTTACTTCTTTCTATAATTTTTTGCAACAAGCTACATGCCCCTGCAGGGCTTCTTCAGCTAAAAGTTGCTCAACACTAACTTGAAGTGGGTGAGGTGCTAGGTATGTTCTTCCAACTGCCTCTTGGACACGCTCACGTAGAAACTTTGCATTGTTGTGTAAGTCCAGGAAGCGACGACAGTCACAAGGCAACAGGTATGCACGAGGTGCGCCATCACACAGCCAAAGGGCCAATGCACGGCCAATTCCGCCAGCCATTTGCGTCTGTGCGCCGTTGGTACCAACAGCAAGAAAGAGACGTTCCACCTGCATGCACAACCAATACAGGTGACATCACTTTCAGTGATGTCCTAGTATTCTCAAATAAATTAAAGTGGCCCTGCAACACTCTTTCAAGTAGCTACGAAATGGACTCCTTAAAAAAGCTTATTGCTTCACGAGTTCAGCACCGCAAAAATTTTTATAACCCGTCTCGTATGAGCGGAGTTACAAAGATTTGTCACATGCTGCGATTGCATTAATGCTCTCTTTTCTTGTTCCAACAAAAGTGCTGAACGCTAAGCAGGGAGAGATAACATGGGGAAAAAAAATACGTCATGCGCGCCTCGTGACCATGAGCACCTTTTCTCTCTTTTTTTTTTTTTTTCTTCGAATATGCGACTTTTCAGTGCAATCGTGCGCACATGCATGGACAAGTCGTGGCCTCATGCGGGGACCCTTGTAACGACCGAGCACGCCATGCTCAAATCGGCCAGTGGCTGTGACGAGTGATTTTTGAGCTTGTATTGTCATTTGTTGAGAAAAGAGTAAGCAATGTTTAGCTGACTTTGAGAATTTGTTGTGAACTCCAGGTCACGTGCTGCAATAGAATATTAGGCTCGCATGTTCTCGGGAGGCTAACTACCCATTGGCAGTGTTTTCTGCCCTTGCTAAAAAAGTGTTGCAGGGCCCCTTTGAGCCATACTTACTCATTAACGGCAGCTGGTTATAACAAAAAGAAAGAGGAGAATGAAGAATGGATACTTTGTTTTCATGCCTTGCTATTTCTTAGTATTATAATCCTATGCTGCTCCTAAACAATGAATAATCAAGTTAAACTACAAATGCTGCTGAATGTAATCTATATTCACAGGTACTTGTTACACAAGTTAAAAATGTATAGTAGTGTATAAGAAACTTCTGAGCTTGCATTTATTATTTATTTCTCTTTGTTCTTTCATTAGGTGAATGTCCAAGCTTTTAACCTCTAAAAAAATACTGAGAAGTGCCAGAGTGCTCTCCATAATTTACTATATATAACTTGCTTACACAACAAGCAAGCTTCAGTTTGAGCACTCAAGATGTGGACATGTAATGAGATCATCAATTTTTACTATCACCGGGGCGCTTCAACAATGCAAAAACAGCTAAAAGTAATGTGCGTAGCGATTTTGGCTGTTTTGCTGAGTAGTATCATTATTCCTAGCCTTACCATAACACAATATCAGCAAATTTCATTTTAAATTTTGTTAAATTGATATATAAATGACATCACATCTGGCATTTAAGGACCAACTTTTTTATTAATAACTTATGGGGTTTTAAGAGTCAAAACCATAATATGATTATGAGGCATGCTGTAGTGATGAGACTCTGGATTAATTCTGACCACCTGGGGTTCTTTAAAGGGCAACTTCAACATCATGTTAAAATGCCATATATGTTTATTTGCAAATCTTCATGCTTGCCATGTGCCATCATTATAGATAAAATGCAAGAAGATGCAAGATGTATGCCACAGTATACACTACTTTGAAAATAAGTTTCAGTACTTTCTATGTGAACACACAGTGCTAGCAACTAAGAACATGATGGTGTCCACAAGCCATCCTAACTAGCTTTAAGTGCAGTTCTGCTTTCACAGTCATTAGTCACCTTCTATCCTATCAGTAAATAAGGCCAACTTTGGCCATGCATCAGCATAACTGTATATGCTGCACATTTTTAATATCCACTAAGACTGCACACTGCTAAAACATGAACAATCAGACATTTCAGATTTACCATAACATTCAGCCACAACCCATATCTGTCAAATGCAATTCCAGTAAAGAAGGAAAGATCACAGGTTGATTCTAACCTATCTTTTTTTCACCCCCACGTCCCCATCACTTTCCCACTACTAACCAATGATGACTCCAGCCAGGCTTTCAGGGCCTCCAAGGTTAATGCAAATAAAATGAAATGGAAGCATGATGTTTCATGTGCCAAAATATAACTCTATTGTGTTTGCCCAAAAGACTATATTCAACTGTTTGTAATTGAACATTAAGTTAATCTCACCTTAGAAAAGTTCTGACTATATATCCATGTGGGCCCAATGGTAATTACAAATAGGGGCGCTTGAATAGTGAAATTTTTAATGGGTTTAAAAGCTTTGATATCCCTAAGCAACTCGGGCTAGATTCTAATCTATCTTTATTTCACCCCCACGTCCCCATCACTTTTCCACTACCAACCAATGATGACTCAAGCCAGGCTTTCAGGGCCTCCAAGGTTAATGCAAATAAAATGAAATGGAAGCATGATGTTTCATGTGCCAAAATATAACTTTATTTTGTTTGCCCAAAAGACTATATTCAACTGTTTGTAATTGAACATTAAGTTAATCTCACCTTAGAAAAGTTCCGACTATATATCCATGTGGGCCCAATGGTAATTAGAAATAAGGGCGCTTGAATAGTGAAATTTTTCAATGGGTTTAAAAGCTTTGATATCCCTAAGCAACTCAGGCTAGGAGAGATGGCACAATGGAGGCTCTGGACAATTTTAACCACCTTCTTTAAACACGCACTAAAAATGGCAAAATATAAGGAGCATTCCACTTCCTTCAAAATGTAACCATTGCACCCAGTATCGAACCTGCACATTTTTGGGTTATACCCAAGCACTCTAACTTGTAGACCACGAAGTGGCTGAAAGTTTATAACTGAACTGACCTTTAACACTATATTCTAAAGGCTGCAGAATAGTGAATTCAATATCCTTTTTTTTTTCATTTCTGAATAAGGTGAATCATTATTTGCCCTGTATTCTTTTTTTCATGAAGTTTGTGCACAATACTTGATGAAGAATTGAAATGCCCCCGCAACTTGATGTGTGATCAATCAGGAAAAGATGTCAATGAACTACACCTGCTTTCAGGAGTGGTACACACTGAAAACGACATTAACAAATAGAGAACAGCATTCATGATACATATGATTATATTCATTATGAGCTACTATTAGTGAGCTGCTATGAAGTGGAACCCCAGACAAAAAAAAATGAGAAAGGTTTTGCTCTTCCAGCACAACATATCTTTCACTTCTAGTCAAATGTTTCGTTCTGATGGTTATCCAAGTGCCTTTTAATGGAAAAAAGAAAAATATTTTTGAAGCAAAGGCATTGGTACACCGCGATTAAGCAAGATGCATTAGGAACCAGAACGATTTGTGCAGTTCCGTTGCCCAGCTAAACTAAGTCTTAAATACCTTTACAGAATGTAGCCTAACACCAAATGAGCATTTGAACTTCAACCCAAGAGCTCACTGAAAATTGAAATACTACATAATGCAAGTAAGAAATCTTTACAGAAAGAATGCTATATACGTATAACCAAATAACAGAACACAATAAATTTGATGTAACTGTACCTTTAACTAAACAAAACGTTCTCACCTCTGAAGTTTCCCCCAAAATACAATGATTGTCAGGTGTAAAGGTCTCTGGGGCAGTAACCAACTCAGCAAGCTCCAAGTGCTGCAGTCTTGGAAACCGGTGCTGGAACTGACTATAGATGCTTTCTGAAAGATAGAGGATGGGACTTTGTCTGTGACAAAAACATTCACATTTATGCAAATGGCCGCTCTAATTTTATAATTAACTACAAATCTTTATATTAGTCATTGCATGCTTTAGTATCCACACGTGTCTTTTTGTCATTGTGTCTCGTAGTTTTTGTAGTTTTGTTCAAAGCGAGTTGATCACATTTAACGACTAGCCAGTCCATTGGCAAATTTTGCTTCAGTATGAACACAAATAGCAATCTAAAGGCAGGAACAGATATCAGTGAAGCTCCTGCTGCAACTCTTGTTTGGCAATAAATTTGAGGACTATATCTATTTAGTCATATGATAGCTTAAGCAAGATAGATTTTTTTTGTCTAAAAAACAACAATACTGCTGGCATCATCATTCAGCACATTGAGGGTGTCAGCAAACAATTAAGAAACAGAAAAGGATGACACAACTCGAGTGAGTCATGTCGTGGCTAAGGAACGGCTCAGCTTAAGCTTTATGCACCTCACTTGCTGTCGCACTGCCTCCGAAATCTGCCTACCTTTGAATGGTCAAAAAGGTCAATTGATGACATCATCATGATGTCACAAATTTTGGTGATCTGTTATGTCATTTTGATGCAATATGATGGCATCTTTATGTAATATCATTGCTCGCTTAATGGACGTCATGTGGACTTCTTTCAGTTCGTGGACAAACGTAAACTGACACAGACAAATGCAGATGGATGCAGCAGGTCAGTTAAACCTGCTTATAATGAACCTCCATATAACGAAGTTTTTCTATTCCTTGCCATTGCTCCATAGAAGCGCATGTATTTGCGACCTCTGTGTAACAATGTAACAGCGGGAGATAACCTTGATATAACGAATTTTCCCCACAGACAGCCTAGAAATCTTGCTTCGCATTTTGGCATTTTGGTACAAGCATGCATCTTCCGCAGTTTCCCTGCTGCCAACGAAGCGTGAAGCGGCAGTGGCATGCACGGTGCACCAGTCGAGAGTGAGTGCTCGTTATTGCGCGCGGAGGAACACGGGGCGGGCAGGCGAGCCTGCACACCCCACGAGCCGGCGTTGCCACCGTCCTCGCCGCCACGGGTGAATGCGCGGGTGCGCATGCCCCCCCTCATTCCAAACTAAAAAAAATAAAAGAAAACTACTTTTGCACGTTGGCAGTGCCACGCTTCTAGTTAGCATCACATATGTGAGGCTGCACTGCATATGGAGGGTGCTTTATCGAATAGTCTATTGCGGAGTTCTTGTCTGTGTCCATGTCGTTCTCTCTTTGTTTTCGACGCCGTGCGCGTGCGCATAGCGTCACTGCGTGCGCATGCTGTGGCCTCCGACGACGTTAAGCTTTGCTTCTTTCTTTTTTTATTGCAATAGCAACTACATGGACAGTCTCAGCTGGTTTTTTTTGCCGTCGCCACTGCCGTCATTCCCGTATATGTATCCGTATCTCAAGAAAGAATCGATAACTCAAAAAAGAAAAAAAAAAAGCCGCCCACGCTTGGCACTCAGCTCGTCACAATGCGCCGACGCGGGCTTACTTTCCTCGTGAATGGGGGGGGGGGGGGATGTGCTAGAAGCTAGTGCACGCGCACTTATGCTTTAATGGAAAGAATCGCGCACCTTCGATTTTGACCGGAACGATTGCATTCAGTTGCCGGACGCACAAAGATCACTTTGCTTTCTGTACAGGCATCGTTTGCGAAAAGAGTGCACTTTTTAAACACAGCGAAATAACAACTGTGGCACTCATTATTTCACACTCATATCTGTACCTGTGATTACGTTTCATGCCTTGTTTTTTGTTAAACAGCACGTTAAGTGCCGACCGGTAAACGTCAGTTCGCTCTCATCCAGTGTATGTTCTCTTCATGCGTAAATGGTGCGTGAGCAATGCGCTGCACATTTCTATCTGCTTGCCATTCTCAGTGTTATATTCCAAGTTGTTGCTGTCAAATTGCTTTGCCCTTGCGGCGAAACTGTGACTTTTCTTTTCCTAATTTCGGACAACCGTGTCGTCACCACCGAGGGGATGTCAGATTAGGCGCTCATGGAACTCTCCGAGACCGTGGTGATGACAGATCTTTGGAGGTCGACTCGTCAAGCGCTTGCATTTTGCGCCACGCCGCAAGTTCGCAGGCTGGTAGCTTTCGCAATTAGCTGATTAGTTCTGGCAACACGACAGCGCGTTGAATTCGATGCAATGAACGCGATAGCAAAAAATTGTAATGTTATAAGAAGTTAGGCTGGCAGCCAACTCTTTTGGATTCAATATTGCGCAACTCCTACAAAACGCTGGTGTCAGCAAATACGGCCGCTCCAGGGAGAGGTGCTCTTTTCACACAGTCCCTTCGGGTTGAAACCGCACTGATACTCGCCAAGATAGCAATCGTACCAGTGATCACAACCGCCCTTAAAATCCAAGTTCATTATTGCTACTTGAGCGATTCCCCCCCCCCCCCCCCACCTCCCCGCGTTGTTTCAGGCTCGTTCAAGACGGATGGTTTACTTCCTGTTTGAGCATTCAACGGCAGTTCTGATACGCAAGAGATGTTACCTTATGCACTTTCCCGGCGATAGGGATGGGCCGACTCATTTCATTTCTGCTTCAGCAGTGCCCACGCGCTTTTACCCGGTCGTGAAGGCTACGATGCGCAGGGGCATGCTATCGATTTGTGCTTGTTACAAAACATGACAGCGACGGCAAAAACCCCCCGAGAGTGTCCATATAAATGCTATCGCAGTAACAATGCAGTTTTTTACTGTAAAATAAGTGTTTTAGGTTAGCTCTGCCTTCAGTCTCCCTTTTGTTTAATTTGCGCATTTATATTCCAAATTTTCGTACCAAACCTGCATATAACGAATTCCCCTTTATAACAAACTTTTCTGGGAATTCATCAATTTCGTTATACATAGATTTAACTGTATTTACAGCTCCACTGTCAATGTTTATAAAAATGAGCTGAAAATTAGTGTACTTTTCACAAGCACTTATGACACTAGAACTGCAGAATAATTAGTTAACAATTTTTAGGTTATACGGCTTGACAACTAAAAAGTAGAAATTGCAAACTCTTGTCCCCAATGTCTCAAACAAACTTTGAGAGTCACTATACTTGAAAGAGAGGTATGCAAGGCTCCAAATTAGTATCTTCAGGCCCCTGGGGTTCTTTAACATGCACTTAAACTATGGTATGCATAAGCTTTCCTTGATAGAAAAAAGTGGTGCATTAAGTTTAAAAATACACAAAAGTGTGTCACTGTCATAAAATATAAGATAATCATTAAGCTTTATTGGTATTTACCAAATCAGAATTCACCAATGCGGCTGGAGGTGGCTCGACCATTAGAAAACGCAATGCATTAAACAAACTTGTAGGAATATGTATGATGAGTCTTTTAGTCTTGTGTCATTAACTGTATTATGTTAAGGGCAAGTAATCAAATTAAAGAAAAAAGGAAACAAAATATTCAATATTGTTTTACAAGTTTCTAGCTGTTTCTCAGAGATCACAGATAAAATAAACTACTGGATGTCGACAGCACTTCTAGTGCACAAATTTTTTCAAGGCAAAAAAAGTTGTAGGCCATGCGTAAGTGGTCAAACAGCTTACAACTCATAGCAAGAGTTACAGACACAAAGAGTAGTATACCGCATCAGTCATTGCAATAGTTTATTCTCTCCCAGGTACTACATTTCCATCTTTCAAGGAAGGTCTTCGTGTATTTCTGCAATGCAGCATTTCAGTAAACATGTAGTTCATATCAACTCTTCCCCAATTTTCAGTGAACCTGAGAAAAGCCAGAACTTACGAAATTGAGCATAGTCTGGTGGTAGGCGCACGAATTCAAAACGGTCAGGGACGTCATAATGGAAGACTGGCTTAGCAGTCTCCTCAAATCCACCAAGCAGGAAGCCATCACCAAAGGTTCTACAGTAGACACGACCATCATAGTCCCACACAACTGTAGGTAGAAAGGAGACAATAACAAATATAAAATCTAAGCTGAATAGAACTGAAGGAACCCTAAGCTGCAAAAGTTCTACCCTGTTACAGTCATACAAATAAAAACCCAAGAAAAATGACCAATTTATTTTTAATTCATAGAGCATAAGCTCACCTCTGCATAAACCTGCACTGGTTATAGTCTTTTCCAACAAAAATTCTCCTCACCTGGAAGGCAACCACTCGGTTGGTCCAGAGCCTTAGTGATGGCAAATGAATGCTTGGCAGCATGAATTGGAACCATAAATTTTGGTTGACTTGTTTGTCCAAGTTCTCTAGACCACTAGAAACATGCATAAAAACAATGCCAAGCACCGTACATTATAGCAAGTGCAGCAGAGACATACTTCATGAAAATATAGGCCTTGGATTGCTGTCTAATCTTTGATATTTAATTGTAGTAAAAGCCTAAATTCCTTGAAGGTACAAAGAGGCACTAATTAAATAAATCAACCTTTAGCCTCTTCTAAAGCAGCATTTCTACTGCATTAAACAAAGCAAGAGAACTTCACGCATTCGTTTGACACAACGAAGGATCTTTTGCATACCTGAGGTACTTTTTGATCCACTGGTGCCTAACCTTTTATCATGGTACTGTCAACATGTCATATTGTGAGTGCATTTTACACGTGTTTGTGCTATCGCTAAATCCAAGAACACTTCGTTTTCTGCTTGACTAAGAATCAGTATTTTACACAAGTAATATGTGCACCCATGCAATTGCAGTATAATTCATTCTAAGCAAGCTATGCCCTAATTCTACAGAGCAGTAGAATAACAGTTGAAAAGCTGCCTTTAGTGACGCTTTTGTTACAGCATTCGAAAGAGTAGGTGCTGTGGTCTGTGGAGGCCAGCAAGACAAATCTGCCCAGATTGAGGGGCCACATTAATTGAAGTTTTCTTTGTTGCATGTGACAAAATATATGTTGCAGCCCATGATAATGCTGCTGTGTGTGCATGATTTAGTAATGCTATTAACATTCTAGACCTAACAATATAGTTTGCTACTCGATTTTCACCCTTTCTTCCCTTCAAGTATTACAAGTATTTAGAAAAAGAAACTGCACACACTTTTTAGAGAAAATATTTCTCAGTGAGCTCTTGGAAACAGCAACAGGAATAGTGGTGCACAGGGTACAAGGACAAAAGCAGCTAGCTTTTTACACATTTCTTTTCCTCAGAACACTCACTTCTGAGACAAATCATAATGAAGCAGTTAGAAGAAAATTTAACATGCAAACACTAACCATGCCACCGGCAAGGATGAAATACTCGCAGCTGATGCTTCCTAGTTCTGTTTCAGCTTGAACCACAACCCCCTGGTCGCTGACAACTCGATTCACATGGCAGTCCTCAATGTACGTTGCTCCTGAAGCCACAACCAGCATCAGCCAGATTAATTTCAACCACATCAGGCTTTTGAGCATGCACTGAAATCTAAATGGGTGCTTTTGCATTCTGGCCTCATTGGAATCAAATGGATTTGCATGCACAATGAATGACTGTGGCAGGTGTAGAAACAAGCAACAGAGGAGTTAACAAAAAGTCTTCTCTCACGAGTTCTGAAATACATGGGATCAAGCACTGCAATTTCCTTATGCTGAACATATAAACTGAGAAAAATATAGCCCACTGGTGTAATTTTATGTAGTAGATCCTTTACTGAAGCTCAATACTAAAAATATAACTTCTCATTATCTTTATAAACAGACGTGCACAGACAAATTCAAGAAGTCAGGAAAGAACATTTACAAGAGGCTTCATCCAGCCGATGTATTACAGAGAAATTGGCAAGGAGCATATGCCTTTTTCACAAAAGAACACTGAAACTGGTGATACCAACATCAATGCAATCACAGCAACAGTGCCTCAGTTGCTTATCATCAGCTTACAGTCACAGGTGAGTCCACGTCACTAACAAGTTCTGTCAATGGCACATCTATGCTTACACTGCACCTAAGACCAACCAAGATGACCGCAATGCATTGCACTGTTTGCATTTGCAGAAGGTCTGCATTGATGCCACATGTACCACTACAGGAGGCCTAACACGAGAAAAGTTCGACCTCTGCTGGCACAGCCCGTTACCGCAATACCCGCAAGCCTAGCTAGTGGGCCCGTGAGAACAGGTATGACAGAAAGAGTAGCTAAATAATTAAAGTGAGGGAGCCCACAAAACTGGCAGAGTATTCAAATCTGGCTTTAAAAAAAGTGATCTCTAGGCCTCTCCTAAATGTAAAGCTTTGTTTTCTATTTGCACGAGCTAAATGAATACAGCAGTCCATTTTGTCAATTAACAGAGACTTGCTTTATTCACTAAATTGAAGCAAACGTTACAGGTACTTCACAGTGGACACTACATAATTCACCTTTGAACAACAACAAAAAAAGTGAGGAGAAATAGAAGAAAAAAAAAACAAGACCCACCTCCTTGCTGTGCCAAGTCAGCCATAGTCTGGCATAGAGCCACAGGATCAACTATACCATCTCCAGGAACAAAAACCCCTCCCTTTAGGTGAGAGAGCAGACATTCCATTTGTAGACATATATCCTGTCTTTTAAAATGATACAGCTGCTTTGTTAGGACACTACCAGGAGTGACATCACTTTATTACATGCCCTAACTGGCTAAATTAGTATTATGCAGACACTCCAGAATAATCCAGAATCTACATAGCTCCAGAGAGAGTGAATTAAAGCTCACGCTTTACAAGGCCAACCCTTGTCCAGACATCAGAAACGTACTTATGTGACAACACTCAGTAGTCATTGAGATTAATAAAAATTGTTGCATTTGTCTCCTATTTACTCATTCATTTATTTGCAGGGCTGACATAATGCACTAAAAGAGTAGATAAAAATTGATCACCTGTTAACATGCATGGGTCAACATTAAGGTTAAGCTTTGACTTGTAAAGGACATTACATCTGTTTATTCTTGTATTATTTTTTAAAACTCTAGCATATTTAATTTCACAAAAATATATCACAAAACTAAACCAAGGTCAACAAATTATTTTCTATATATTTCATGCCCAAACCACCAATGCATCAATATGATGTCATAGATTAAAAAGTCTGCTTTGTTATTTGGGGTGTCTTAGCTCAATTAAAGATCTTGAAACTACTGTAGACTCTCAGTAAATAGAAATCTCTTAAACAAAACTGCTGCTTAGATGGAAAAAATGCTTCTGACAAGATTGATTTCGTACATGTATTCTACACTCCTGTTCTTCTCTCAGTAAATAGAACTCCTGTTAAATGGAACATGCTTTCCTGATCCCTTCATGTTACACTTAATGAGAATTTATAGTATTTAATTTTTGGCACTATTAAAAAACAATTTGCACTTTTTTTTACAAAAAGGAGTAAATAGGCCCCAGCAGACACTGGCAAAATCTATGATGATGCTACGGTGCAGGAACTTCAAGGAGGGATTGCCACTTGTCACTCATTCTTGCACCTTTTCCAGCCTGCCTTCAATACTTCAATAGTGATGTTTTTGATGATGTTTGAAGTTTTGTGGCGCAAGGGCCGTTTCACGGCCAAAGAGCGCCAGTTCATGTTACTAAGAATATGGACAATGATTGTGATAAGCGGCTGTATAAAGGCCATAAAATTCCTCGCGGTAAGGCGGGTAAAAACATACAAGTAATAAAATCATGACCATGCCGTGAAAGGTGTGTGTGGTGAGGATAGATGACAAGAGTTGGGGATTATAAAAAGCGATGGTGGATATGAATGGCATTAGCACAAGTGCCTCATTCGTTCATACCCTTGCGTCCAAGGGCCGTGAGGCAAGTGCTTTCTTGTGTAACCGCCGCAGCAAAAACCTCTCTAGAGAGGTCGTGCTACGGTATGCCCGGGTGTATGATATGAAAATTATTAATTTCTTTTAAAAACGCTAACAGTGATTTATGACTAAAAAGCGGTTCCCTACCGACGAACATTGCAGGGTGTAAAGGTATATGCTGTCGGTAGGGTAATGGAAAATGTCGTTTTCTTAGAGTTTCTAAGTGTTTGCACTGGATTAATATGTGAAGGACTGTCAATGCCTCTCCACATCTGTCACACAATGGTGGATCACCACCGGACAAAAGATGCGTGTGTGTCGTGTATATGTGTCCTATCCTGAGTCTTGTTAGTGTTACCTCTGTTAGACGTGGTTTTGATACTGGTGGCCAATGGCCAAGGTGTGGCTTGATAACGTGTAGTTTGTTTTGTGTGTGTGTATCCCACTTGCTCTGCCAGTAGTCCCCGAGTTTTCGTTTGAGAGACGGCTTAAGATCAAGGGCCGGGACTGATGTCGGTGTAATGGCAGTGCTTTCGTGGGCGGATGCAGCAAGCTGATCCGCCATCACGTTGCCTTGAATCTCACGGTGCCCTGGCACCCAGCACACAACAACATGTCTGTTGAGTGTGTGGAGGGTGCATAAAATGGAGTAAAGTGAAACTAGGACAGGGTTTTTTTGTTTTTTAAGACTGTGCAGAGCCTGTTACCACACTGAGGGAGTCTGTATAAATTACTGCTTTTTGTATTTGTGATTGTTTGATGTGTTTAGCTGCCACAAGTATCGCGTAAGCTTCCGCTGTGAAGATACTTGTGCCTGGATGTAGAGGGCCAGCATCCGAAAAGGAAGGGCCAACAGCAGCGTAGGACACAGAGGAGTTAGACTTAGAGGCATCTGTAAAAAACTCAGGACGTGTGTATTTGTGTTGAAGTTCCAAGAAGTATGTTCGAATATGGGCAATAGGCGCATGTTTAGTAACTTCTAAAAAAGACACATCGCAATCTATAGTCTGCCACTGCCACGGTGGCGGGTATGCTACAGGAGCCATTAAACTGTGTTCGAGTGACACTCCAGTGTCCTCAGCTAGACCCTTCAGGCGAACTGAGAAGGGCTGCCTCATTGAAGGCCTGTTTTGAAAAAGAATGGAGCTCGACAAGTCATTAATAGTCAGAGTATGAGGGGTGCCTCTTGTCTGCTTTCACCTTAAGGAAATATACAAAGGACATGTAGGTTCTTCTGCAGATGAAGCGACCACTCATTTGACTCAACGTAAAGGCTTTCTACGGGGCTGGTGCGAAAAGCACCCGTAGAAAGGCGGATGCCCGAATGGTGCACGGGATCCAGCATCTTCAAAGCACTTTGAGTCGCTGACTGATAAATAATGGCCCCATAATCTAAGCGGGTGCGAATAAGGCTTCTATACAGGTTCATGAGGCATTTCCTGTCACTACCCCACGTAGTACGTGACAACACTTTTATAACATTCATGGCTTTTAAACATTTTGTTTTTAAATACTTTATGTGGGGTACGAAGGTCAACTTGTTGTCCAAGATTAAGCCTAAGAATTTATGCTCAGCTTTGACGGACAGTTGTTGCCCGTTCAGTTGAATGTCGGGCTCCGAGTGCATGCCTCTCTTTCGAGAGAACAAGACACACGTGCTTTTTTGTGGGTTAAGTCGAAATCCGTTTTCATCTGCCCATTTGGAGACCTTATTTAAACCCAGCTGCACCTGCCGCTCACACATGGCCAAGTTGCATGACTTGAAGCCAAGCTGGACGTCGTCGACATATGTACAATAGAACATATTGCAGGGAATGGACAAGTGCAAAGAATTCATTTTAATAATAAAAAGTGTGCAACTAAGCACACCACCTTGTGGCACGCCTGTTTCCTGGACAAATGTTTGGGAGAGCACACTGCCCAGACGGACACGGAATGTCCGGTTTGACAGGTAACTTTCGATTATATGAAACATTCTTCCGCGCACACCAAGGTGGGACAGGTCTCTTAGAATTCCGAAACGCCATGTTGTATCATAAGCCTTTTCGATATCGAGGAACACAGAGAGAAAATATTGTTTATGGACGAACGCGTCTCTGATCTGTGCCTCGATACGAACAAGGTGGTCTGTGGTGGATCTACTTTCTCGAAACCCGCACTGAAATGGGTCGAGCAAATTATTTGTTTCAAGAAAATGTACAAGTCGGCAGTTTATCATTTTTTCGAAGACTTTGCACAAGCAGCTTGTAAGTGCTATAGGCCTATAACTCGAGGGTAAAGAAGGGTCCTTGCCCTCTTTCAAAATGGGAATAACAATAGCCTCTTTCCAGGAGGTAGGAATAGTGCCAGAAGACCAAATAGCATTGTACAAACAAAGTAAGCTTTTTCGGGTTTTGTTTGGTAGGTTTTTTAACATTTCATACATCACACGGTCAGAGCCTGGGGCAGAAGTACTGCAGGAGTTTAGAGATGTTCGGAGCTCCGCTAGACTGAAAGCTTGGTTATATGCCTCGTATCTAGTGGATTTGTGTTCGAGTGTCTGCTTTTCTATTCTTGTTCTGTATTTTTCGAAAGTGTCAGTATAGTGGGATGAGCTGGACACCTGTTCGAAGTGTGCACCGAGGAAGTTTGCCTGATCTTCCAAGGTATCACCCCGAGTGTTTAGGAGTGGAAGTGTGTGTACTTGTTTCCCTGCTATCCTACCGACCATGTTCCAGACTTTGGCCTCTTGTGTGTATGAATTGATCCCTGAAAAAAACTTCTGCCAGCTTTCTCTTCTGGCCTGCCGACGCGTTCTCCTGCCTTGAGACTTTATTTTCTTGAAGGTGTCAAGATTTTCGGCTGTCGGTGAGTTCCGAAGCAGCCTCCAAGCTCTGTTTTGCTGTTTGCGCGCGTTTTGGCATTCAGAGTTCCACCATGGTACACGCCGTTTTCCTGGGTGTCCATTTGTTTGTGGGATGCATTTTGTTGCAGCATCAATCAAAAAAGCAGTGAAGTAGTCGACAGCAACATCAATGCTTAAAGTACATATGTCACTCCAATCTATACGAGCGATGGTATGAAACCGTTCCCAGTCGGCTCTGTTTATGAGCCATTTGGGAACACGGGGTGTACACTCAGTTGCTGTAGTTGTGCTCAAAACTACGGGAAAGTGGTCGCTTCCGTAAAGATTACTGACGACTTTCCATTGAAGTAGAGGCACAAGAGATGTAGATACTATGCTTAGGTCTATGGAGGAGTAGGTCTTATTGGCGATATTATAATAGGTTGGTTCTTTTCGGTTTAGGAGACACGCGCTCGACGAGAGAAGGAACTGTTCGATCAGTCGACCTCGCGCGTCATACCGAGAGTCACCCCATAGCCTGCTATGCGCATTAAAGTCTCCAAGGAGAACATAAGGTTCCGGAAGTTCATCAATTAAAGAGTGTAAATCACGTTTTTGCAGCTGATAGCTAGGAGGAATGTAAATAGTGCAGATCGTGATCAGTTTATCAAAAAGAACCGCTCGAACAGCCACTGCCTCAAGGGATGTTTGGAGTTGTAAGTGTGTGCATGCAATTCCTTGATTCACTATGATGGCAACACCTCCGGATGATGTCATGGCATCATCACGGTCCTTTCTAAAAATAACGTATTTACGAAGAAAATTTGTGTGTTTTGAATTAAGGTGTGTTTCTTGTACACACAGCACTTTTGGTGAGTGTTCGTGTAAGAGTTCTTGGATGTCGTCAAGGTTTCTGAGAAGGCCCCTGACGTTCCATTGTATAATTTGAGTGTTCATGGTGAATGTAAAATAATGCTGTGTGTACGAAAAGCGAGTGGCTGTTTAGACGGGAGTTTGAGTTCACTTAACAGGGCCATCACCAGGCCCTGTTATTTGCTTTTTTGTTTTCTTGGCGCGCTCCAAGGAGCCACGCCGCTCTTTCGGCACCAAGGGTGCCGACGTATCCATTGCCTCCTCGGAGGCACTGGATGCCCGCACGTGCGGGCTGTTAGTTCGGATTTTGGGCCTCGCCTGGTGAAGGGAGGCCTTGAGACCCGAAGACTCTGGAGTCTCCGGTCTCTGTTTGGGAGTAGGCGGTGTAGCCTGGGCTACAGCCGCCTTGGGGGCAGGTGCCACAACCGCCGGCTCGGTATGCGCGGGCCGGAGGGGTGGCGAGGGCTGGTGCGGCGGTGCCCCCTGACGCGCCGCATCAGCATATGTTGCGCCGTAAAATGGCGACACTCTTCGTCTTGCTTCTTTGAATGTGATGTTTTCTTTGACTTTAATAGTGATTATTTCTTTTTCTTTCTTCCAGTTAGGACACGAACGCGAATACGCGGCGTGTTCCCCATCACAATTCACGCAGTGAGGCGTAGTAACACAGTTCTCAGATGGGTGGCCATGGCTACCACATCTTGCACAAGTTTCCTGACCACGGCAGTTCTGCGAGCCATGACCAAATCGTTGACATTTATAACACCGTCTTGGATTGGGAATGTAGGGACGGACAGAGAGTTTGATGTAGCCTGTCTCTATAGATGAAGGCAGTGTGCTAGATGCAAAAGTGAGTATTAAATGTTTAGTAGGTATTTCTTTGTTGTCGCGTCTGATGACGATTCGTTTCACATCCGTGACATTTTGCTCTTTCCACCCTTCAAGCAGTTCCTGTTCAGACATTTCAAGAAGGTCTGCTTCTGAAACAACTCCGCGTGAGGTGTTCATCGATCTATGAGGTGAAACAGATACTGGGATATTACCAAATGCTACGAGACTGCCAAGTTTTTCATAGTGGTGTTTTTCAGGCAGCTCAAGGAGAAGGTCTCCGCTGGCCATCTTTGTAACCTTGTATCCTGGGCCAAAGAGCTCAGGTCAGAGATTTAGCAACAAGAAATGGTGATATGGCTCTGGCTTGTTTTGTTGGGTTTTTGCTGTGCACAACATGGAATTTGGGAAAGCATTGTCTGGGTTGGCTGAAAATTGAGATGTCATCGGTGCGTCCCCTCTTAGGCGGAGGACGATCTAGGAGACGGGGAAATGCAGGTGTTCCCATAGTAGTGTACTTTTTTTCGGCAGCAATGGCGACCACCCACCATGGAGTCCAACCAGGGGACGCTGAAGCACTTAATAGCATAAGGCTGCAGACGCCAGCCGTACATTGCCACTATAACCAAATATAACTACTCAAGGTTGAGTAATTACACAAGGTTAACCCTTGCCGCCAGGAAAAATCGGAAGTAAATGGAAGAGAGAAGAAGACAGGACAGATTTAAAGACGAGAAAAGACTAAGATGTAGGAAGAGAGAGATAGGAAAAGGCGACTGCCGATTTCCCCTGGGTGGGTCAGCCCAGGGGTGCCGTCTACGTGAAGCCGGGGCCAAAGGGGTGTGTTGCCTCTGCCGGGGGGCCTTAAAGGTCCAATCACCCAGCGTCAGCTCAACCCCCAGGATCCCCTTTTCCCCGGGCATGGCAAAGCCACGCACGGCTAGGCGTGGGAGGGAGTAGAAACTCCCCCGTTAGCTCGGGTCCGTGGTGTCGCTACACACCAAACGCCTACTTGCGCAGGCGCCCCTGCGGGGATAGTGATGTTTTTTGCCAATATGGAAGGGTACAGGAGAAATTGTACTATTTTTAGTTAGTGTACTTTTAGAAGAAATCTATAGCCAGCTTTATTGAACATGTTACTAAAGTTTATGACAGTCTCTTGCACCGAGTGATAACACAGCAAGCAATCTGGTAAAAAACATTGGCAAAATAAATTAAGTAATGCAAGTATGGCAATATAAAATAGAACCTAAGAAATGCACTATTATACATAGTAGACAGTTTAGAGGTTATTCTAATAAAGCAAAATTTTAATGAAGTGGACAGAACTTCTAAAGTTCAGCACAAAGACTTAACACTTTGTAGAACAGCCAGACTTATCGGTGACACTTTTCCTGGCAACCTCACAGCACGATGGTAATTAAACATAAAAACTACAATAGAACTTTCATGTGAAATTACATTTGTGATACTATAATATTTGGTTGCATATTCATTAACAAGGCCAAACTATTGCTGTCATTTTTTTATATTTATCTCGCATTTCCACAGATTTTATTAATTATTATAGTGATTACAGAGACAAATATGGGGACCAATAAAAGCCACCAAAGAAGATTTTTGTTGATGCACATGCTTGTTCCATGCAGCCGCTGACCACATAGCTTTGCCTGGCTATTTATTCATTATATAAGCCATACGTAACACAAATTTTTTGACACTATAAAAACAATAACAACAATAATAACAATAACAATAAAAATACAAAGAATAACAATGTTTATTTTTTAGCACAATGCTCTGGAAGATGCATTCACTAACAGCAAACATTAACCAAAGAGAAAATCTTACCACAAGGTCTTTAGTCAAAAGATGAGGGTGGTACTCTAAAAGCTTATATGGCTGCTGGACTGTACATTCAATTCCTCTTGCCCTGAATAAAGATACTACAACTAATCACTAACAAAGCTCTATTGATTCAAGCTAAAAAATGTACAGTTCTAGTCAAAAGTTCCCAGGCCATACTTCCATAAAAATACATGAGATAGTGGCCTGAAAACATTTGCCCCCCCCCCCCCCCGTACATCAAAACATACATATATAATAAAATGAAAATACTTGAAAGAACTGTGCACAACTACAGTTTAAATACATATTCACATGCTTACCTATAAATATAATGTAGTAAAGAATAATTTTCTGCATACACAAACCAAATATTTCCATCAGTCAGACAATGATCAGCAATGCAGGGAATACAGTTGAAATGTAATTTTATTATGTCAATTTATATCATTATGGGCTTCCTTAAAGCTTTGTGCTACAAGATTGGGTGGATGCGAATAAAAATAAGAATATGCCGTTTAGAGAAAACATTGTGGTGAAACGTAATGGGGAAACAGTGCAGACGATGGTGCGTAGAACATATAGGGCACAGAGCTGAGTATTGATTTCTTTACTGGAAAAGCAGAGAACATTTAGGAAGAGAAACAAATATCAAAAAGTGGCACAAATGCTACCGAGTCACTCGGCCAGCTGCATTTCTATCAATTTTTATAAGGGTTTACAAGATGCGACAAGTGTGGATATCATGAACACGTGAACATGAGCTAGAAAATGGGAGAAAAAAAACGCTCAGTAGCAAACTGATTAAAACCGCTAAAAGATCTAACGGAAAATGTTTGAAAGCAAGTGACAACAAGGCTAGAAAACTACAGCCATAAATAATAAAACAGAAAACAAAACAAGAAAACAAAAGCATGTGACAATAAGCTTGGTGATCACAATTCAGGCTCAAGGTATTTAACTTCTGCATCAAAAAGTGCTAGTGAAGGCATGCTGACAATTATGTTTATGTCATTTTTTTCTATATTTATTTGCCTTTTTCTATATTCTCTGCCTTTCCTATAAAGCAATTAGTTGATAGTCTATATGTTTATCATTCTATCATCTGCCCTGCTTCAACAGAATGTACATAAACCAACTAGCCCACCTAAGAACCCTTGCACAGACAAAACACCTTTTTTACTTACAAGAAAGGTGCTGATCATCTTTGTATCTCTGCATTTTGTTCTCAAAGGGTAAAGAATGTAATCATTGTAATCATACATTTCTGCTGTGTTATAAGTGCACTGAAAGCATCTCATATTCACATCTGGATCATCCAAAATGCTACCTGATGCTTCTTCATTAGCAGCTTTACTCATGATATTTTGTTCCAGAACGTGTAGCCATGCAGCACCAGCGCTTACACAGTTGCCTTTGTAGACATGGCCAAGAGCAAGAGTGATCAGGGCTGGTTTTATTGCTATTTTCATTCACTTCAACAACACTTCTTTTAACATCATCAGTAAAGCAGCTAACAGCAAGTAGAAAAGAAAAGTGTCTAAACAACCCAACAGTCCTAGATGCACTAAAAAAATTTTGACAAAAGTCGCATGCTATTCATGCAGCAAACAAGTCTGGCCAAGCTATGCAACTATGTGGTAAGCATTGACTTTGTTCTGCATTGGCTTAAATGATAGAGAGTAACTTTCAATTAGCCAGATACCTAACAGTGTGTTCCAAGCTGCCCTGTTCAAAAAATGCAAAGAGGTGAACCAGTGTGCACTGACAAGTGGGCCTGTCATTCTGGAGAAGACGGCATACATAGGTAAATACTGTCTTTGTAAGCTCAGTAGAAGACAAGAGAATGACTCGGGCACATAGTACTTGAAAGAACATGCATGTAGTATGCCAGGTGGTAACTTACATGAATGTAGAAAAAAGTGAAGCATTAAGCAGATGACCATCACTCAAAACAAGAAGTGCAAAACTGTAGCAGTTTTTCTGTGCTCTTAAAAGTATAAATGTGGACATTATTTATATTGTGAAATCAGCCAATACCAATCAGCATACGAACCAGCAGCCACGTATCTTATATCGCCTGGTTGCATGCTTAGTAGACGCTTAATTAAAAAGCAAGCACTTCTTTGCTCTATATGACAAAAAAATGTAAATAATCTGGTGCATGCAGTACAATAATAATATATGGCTCATATGCTCAAAAAAGCCTTCTCTACACATAATGTAGCGAAGGCTACATTATGTAATCCTCTAATCAAGGCCCTTAAGAGAAAAATAAATGATGATGATGAAACAATGTTTTATGATTATGTTCAAAAAGTGTTGCCCTTTATTTAGCAAATAATTTTTTTAAGATAAGCTCCATGGCTGAGAATTAAGATTTTATAGCACACAAAAAAAAAGACATAAGCAAATCATGTTTTAATTGAATATGAAGTGAAGCAGCCTTTTAAACAGGAAATAATATTTCCATGTTTCACAGCAAATTTTTTTAAGAAAATGACCAATGCCACCTAATCATTGATAGACAGGGTAACATTTATTTTACCGTGCTTCAGCAGCAAGTCTGAGAAGTGATGTCATCCGCTTTTCTGTCCTTGCAACACTAAGTGAGCCACACCTTCTCCATCCTACAGACACAAGCAAAGGAGAAATTCAAGTTCAAATTGACAATTCATGACAACTTAAAGTATCGTAGCAAACATGTGTAGTGATGGAATTAAACTCGTAATTCAGGCTGCTGCATTACTTTATACATTTTTAAATAACATAGTAATTTCACATGATGTAGATTACATAGTGATGCAAACTGTACATAATTATTTTCTTAAAGATCATAGGCACAGTTGATGCAAATAAGGCTCCAAACAATCTTCACATTTTAGCACGCGAAATCATATTCCTTAGTATGGTACATAAAGTAATTTTACATTATATACCACGCAAAGTATAATTAAATACAATCTAGAATAGACTCTAGCGTCAGAATATTTGTCAATATATTTTTGCTTGCTTACTGTATAGTGCTTTAAACCATCTAAGAAAGACCGCTGTAGCACAAGCTCTGCCTCTATGTAACATAAGATGGGTGGAGACAGCAGCATGATAAAAAAAAACTCACCACAGAGGATTGATAAACAAAGTAAGGTTGTACTACACAGAAACTGCTAGAAGACGGTAAAGACTAATAATATAAAACTGCCAAAGCTCCTATTCATTCACTGATATTAAGGGAATAAGTATGGGAAAACTAGTTTTATGTCCACGCTGAATTCGCTGACATTTATTTTATGTGAGAAAAATTTGAAATAAAAAGCATGTAAAGTAATGCTAACAGGAAGGAGCAATGTCCCTATGAAAGTAATGGAGAATAAGCTAGCACTTTTGTCATGGGAGATCAATGTCACCTAATTCAAAGAATGAAAAAGCAAGAAAGCAATATAGCAATCACTTGAGCCTTATTCCTTAGCTTTTTTTTTTTTTTTTCAGTGCAGTGCTGCACTATAGCTAGCGGCGTAGTGAAGCAGTGGTTTTCTTCTACAGGTTTTCCTGCTCAATTTATTCCAAGTGCCCGTCATTTTAATCCAAGTGCCACTGAAATTAATTCAATCACCAGTCGATTTATTCCAGACACCAGTGGCTTCAATCCTGACTACATCGTGATTTCGAAGCAACCCAGAATTTTCGGGAATGCATAGAGTGAATATCTTAGAAGTGAATTTAAAGGAAAATATTATCAGGATGTGTAATATAAACAAATTAGTGACTAGTGACACACTGTGACTCGTGCGTGTACCCCTAATCACCCGTGTACGCACTATTCACACTTTCGACATGCATGTCAAAGCAAACGCCATCCACACAGTAATGACTTGATACCTATTGCCCAGGCCAATGACCTGATCACTAGTGACTCAGGTGACACCATTACGCATATCACCCATACATGCACTGTCTCAACCTGCAATCATGTGTATAAAACAAAACGTCTTTGAAAGGACACATCTTGATAATATTTTCCCTTAAATTCACTCCAAAGCTATTCACTCCACGCCTTCACGAAAACTCTGGGTTGCTTTGAAGTTGCGATGTAGTCAGGGTTAAATTTGCTGACATCTGGATTAAATCAATTGGCGGTTGGATTAATTTGAGTGGCACAGTATTAAATTGACTGGCGCCTAGATTATTTTGGTTGGCATTTGGATTAAATTGAGCGGGAAAACCTGTAGTTTCACTGGCATTTCAGTATGCACACAAGTGTAGTAAAGCCTAGAGCATTGAAAAAGTATTAATGAGTTATTTATATGGCACCAAGGCATTCTGACTTACAGCTACTACTCATGAAATACAAATGAAAGTGGTACATTTTTTTCATAAACTTGATTCATTTAAATGTGTAAACAAGACCACACAGAAAACAAGCTGCTCAAAAACAGCTTTGAACACTGTATAAAGCTCATTATCAGTAGGACTTGCTGACTTAATATATACAAATTCATTCATCCAGCCACCCATTATTCTACTACGCAATGTTTACACAATCATTCCAGATTTTCATTATTTTACATGCTAATCTTAAAACGTTGCTCATTGTTTAAGAAAGTATAAATTGAAACACCACGTCAGCGAGAGAGTTAAATGTGAAAGAGAACGTTTCTCATCATCGTGAAGTTATGAGACCTCAAAGTTTTTAACTTTGAGGTCTCATAACTTCACTTTTTGTGCACTAATTTCCATCATTCTTGTTACATTCATATTGGCATTCATTAGTGTATGCGTTCCGGTGCTAAATAAGGCAGTCACAAAAGTGCCACAGGGCCCCTTTAAACAACATTTAGTGCAAGTGTAGTCAAGCACATCAGTGACTCTACAATGAACGTGGGGATGTGTAGTCGCCATCCTCCACCATCTGGTTGACTCAGGTGGAGCAAGATATCAATACACCATAAATTCTCAAACCACACTACAGCAAACATAGAATTTAGATTAGAGAAAAAAAAAAAACAGCTTTATCTTATAACCTTTGAACTATTTGAAAGACAGTTGTTTTTACTATTTACATATATATTAAAGCATTCCAATTAACATAAAGAAAAAATATTTTTTTAATTGGTTGGCCACCATCTGGTTGACTCAGGTGGACCAAGATATCAATACACCATAAATTCTCAAACCACACTACAGAAAACATACAATTTAGATTAGAGAAAAGAAAAAACAGTTTTATCTAATAACCTTTGAACTATTTGAAAGATAGTTGTTTTTACTATTTACATATATATTAAAACATTTCAATTCATGTTAAGAGAAGATATTTTTTCAATTAGTTGGTTGGTTGGTTGTTAGGTGCTAACCAACAATTTTGTAAATGTGAAGATGACTAAGCCAGCTGAACTTCGCTATCCAGTATAAAAAAATGGACAACTTGATAAATTGATAAATACGGTACAATTTGCACTTCACAAAAAAAAACAATTGCCCTCTTCAGTACAAAAAAAAGGACACACCAAGTAAAAAAAATTATGCTGCTTTGTTATTGCAGCTGGCTAGGTCACTTAATAAGAAAAAAAATATCATAATAGTAAAATTCATGCTTTTGCTTTACGAGGATGAGAATAACTCGAACTAGCAGGCTGTAATAACACAGATATTCTACTCACCAATATCATGTCCTGCATCATGCAACTCTTGATAAAGCTTGGCACTGGAGCGTGCAAGGATTCCATCAATTGTTGGCTGGAGCTGGCCCACCAAGCCACTACTACGCCATGTTGCACCACACCCAATACTGCCATGTAAGCAAAAATACAATTTGAAAAGTTAGCACCCGTTGACATGTTACACTGTGTGTGGATATATCTTGCGTTTGAGTGTTAAAGAGAAAGCTATAGAGCAGCTTTAAAAAAGCCCTCATATCCAACTTTCAATCATATTGTGTTATGTGGGTTATTCACAAACAAGCTGGCAAAATTTTAGTGCATTGGATTAAGAACTTAATTTATAATTGAATATTTCTGTAAACACATGAGTGGCCTGAGAGTTGGGCAACACTAGTGCCCCTGCGAGCCGTGACATAACAAGCAGTAGCTATGCAAGTGTCGGCATTCGGGCAAACAGTACTTCTCCATGGTCAACTGCGCACAAAATCAAGATAATTTAGCTTTTTTCAGCTTGGCACCGGGATTGAACGATTTGTAACAGTGGAAACTTTGGTAGAAGATAATGGCTCCACTCCTTGCTGCACATGATGTCACACAGACAATGACAAAATAGCGGCAGCCGGCAGTGGGTGGGATTTGCAGCCGGTGACTTTCAGGCAATGGAATACCCAGGGGTTGAAACACCGGCCTGCGCCCCACCCCTCCTCTCCCTCCCATTTTTTTTTTTTGCCATGACATACAGACCCCATAATGACACTCCTCCACATCTGCCTGCCTGGCCCCCGTGCTCCCCTCCCCCATAAAAAAATTCTGCCAACGCCCCTCCTTCCAGGGCTTGCTTTGCCCCGAAACATTCTATTATGGCCCACTTCACAGATATGTAAGGCACAACACACCCTCTACTTCTTGTTTTCACCAGAAACTGCAAACGGTTGGATGACCATGTCATGGCCCCTTAAAACCTCTTCACACTGGTAGGTTAAACCACACTCTAGATTTTCCATTTTGTAGGCTAAACTATTAGACGAACATTTGAGCTAGTTTCTGCCTATATTAATTTTACTCTGGTACATAAAATTGCACTTTAACTGGTAATATATAACTACTCCATAACATTTTTCATCATCTAGTTTTTCATGAAAGAAAAGCCTGCAAAGTTATTCATTTTCAAATGTAGTCCCTTCTTTACACAGAAGCAATCAACCAACCTTGGCCATATGGGGACAAAATGCTAATGCAGTTATTGCAAAGATGCATGGCCACACCATGACACTCGTATTTCTTGGCAAGCATAGCTTCTCTTTACAGTAAGAATGACACAGTAACATTCAGGAAGTATTTATATAATCTAAAGCTTCATATTTATTTTGCTGTCCTTTGAACCTTCAGAGGAATGCAGACTGGTGGTACACTGCATGTACACATCCTTTAACAGAGATCTGAAACACATGGCTTTGACACCCCACACCGGGAGACTGATTATCAGTGCAACAGATTGACAAGTATTCAGTTAAATGGCAGGTGTCTTTACCCAATTAGTGAATTTCAATGTGACATAACTGCTTGATTAAGCAATTAAATTTTACAACAGCAGAAGAAATCAGTTCACTTGTGCATCTTACAGTGCACATACACAGCAAATATGATATGAGCACAACTTTTTATTTGCAAGATATTTATAGTTCACAAATAATATTATGTCAATATACTTTTCAAGTACAAAATGAGTACACTCACCGGCCTTTTTCAAGAACAACAATGTCTGTCCAACCACGTTTCACAAGGTTGTAAGCGATCGAGTTGCCTATCACACCAGCACCGCAAATGACCACTTTAGCAGCAGCTGGCAGAAGTCGCTCCGACATCTAATACAAGAAATAATTTATAAATAAATATATTCCAGGGAAAATGCACTTCAGCGATAAAGCACATAATTTCATTTTCTTTAGCAAAGTGGCACAGCGATTCTGCTAAATTATTAAAAACATTATGTTCTCCAGCAAATTGTTACAAGATATTTGAATAAGCTCTGCCCTTTTTCTTTTATTTTTTTTATAAAACGGAAGATACACATAAAAGTGGAACATGCATAAGAAATGGCTGACTATTCACACACACTGCTACCTTTTAGTTCACACATTTTGTAGAGCCCATGTCATTTGCACTGCGTACGAATTAGTGGAAATATTGAACCCATTAAGGCCCTTTCTTGCCTTCTTGCACCCTCTCCCTCACTCTCCATAGGAAGAGGGCACGATGCCATTATCAGGAAGTCAAGTGCCGACGGGCTTCAACGCGTATGTGTAGTCAGGCCTTAAACAGGTGGTGCCACAATATTTGTGGCTTGTGCGCTCTTTGCTGCAAGCTTTTACAGCTTCAACTAGCACGATACATGCACCAACATTAATTTATTCTCGCTATATAATATTGTTACGGTGCACCATCGACAGGAGCAAGCGTAGCACTTTGCGAAGACGATGAAGACGCCTGTGCGTTAGACACTTGCGCGAGAGGCAACTCAGCCATCTTGTTCGGCTGCCGATTCTCTGTGGACGCTATATTATAAACCTAGATCTCGCGCCGTCACATTTGGTGGACGTGCTGGGTAACCGCCTCGCAACGAAACTTCGCAGCGGTCGTCGTTTCAAGGGTCCTTCTACAACCTCTCCTGCGACCACAACCTTCGTGCTCGAAACCCCGTGGGATCCTAGCACGTTAAGTGTGGGTCCGGCGATTCAGATGAATTGGACGTTGAAGATTGGCTGGCAGAGTACGAACGTGTGAGTACTAGATAATGATGAGGCCTGACTCTTATGCTGGCGAACCTGTTGTTCTATAAGAGGGGAACCGCCAAATCGTGATATGAGAACCTTGAAGCAGAACTTGGGAGTTGGGCAATGTGCAGGGAGAAAATGTTGGACCTGTTCGGGAAGCCTATTGGAAGAAAAATGGCCGCGAACAAAATGCTCACGTCTCAGGCGCAGACCTCGACGGAGTCATATGTTTCGTATATAGAAGATGCATTAGCATTGTATCGCAAAGCCAATGCCGAGATGCCGAAGGCTGACAAGGTTGGACATATTCTTAAGGGGATTGCGGACGACGCATTCAACCTCCTCATCTGCAAAATTACTCAACAGTGGATGCCATTATAAAGGAATGCCGGCGCTTTGAGCTAGCAGATTGACAGCGCCTTTGCCCACCTCCTGAATACGGCTGCAACGTCTTGCGAAGACCATGCGAGAACACAGCCGCCACCTCCAGTTTCATCAGATCAGGTGACCCGAATTGTACGGTGCGAACTTGCAGCCATTACCCCTGCTCCGGCTCACACTGCTGCAAGTGACACGACCCAACTCACTGCTAACATGGTTCAAGCCATCGTCTGCCAAGAACTCGCCAGCATAGGTATTCCCTCGGTGTGCGCTTTGCCTAGCCCGCAGCGAGCTCCATGGCGTCCACCCTCGTCCTATCACGAACAGCAGTTTACAGTTCGATCTCACGACCCTGCTGCGTGGATAACCGCCGACAATCGACCAATTTGCTTTCATTGCCACCGCATAGGTCATGTCGTCCGCTACTGCAATTACAGCTGGTACTCGCCACCTCGGATGTCGTCTGAACCTGACTAGACAGCACCAGCTTTGCATTTGCCGCGCAGCCTTCTTCGCCAAACTACAGAAGGTTCAACAGCCGATCTCAGTCACCGCATGGTCGTCAGTCCCATTCCCTTCCAGGACGTCGGCAGTCATCTTGCTCACCGCAGACTCGCAGGCCGTCGTTCTTATTCAACCCCGCTCCTGCCTATCCGGAAAACTAAACGGTGCAGTGCCCAAAGTTGACGCTGCTTTATCTACTTCTTCCACAAATCCTCTCTTGACGCTTCCGACGAGACAAAGTTTGTTAGACGCTGACGGTGTGACTATTTCTGCCCTTATAGATACTGGAGCGCACATTTTTGTAATGATACCCCTACTCAACCCAATGTAATACCCCTACTCAACGTCAGTCCCTTGACTCAAGTTATTCTGCAAGTTATTCCACCCTATCCCCGCTTGACAGCTGCAATGTTACTGGTTTGAACATCGATGCTACATCCCCCAGTCTTGGCCGCAATCTCACTCTGCCTGCTGATGACAATAACAAAATGATTGCTCCTGATCTCACCACAGCGCAAGCTGCCGGCCTCCATCGTCTGCTAACATCATATAGAGACATTTTCGACTTTGACAACCGCTCTCTTGGCCAAACAACTGCCGTGACTCACTGGATCAACACTGGTGATACCAGTCCTATACGGCGGCATCCATATCGCGTATCTCACAAGGAACGCCAGGTAATTCAAAATGAAGTGGACAAAATGATTACTAAAGACGTCATAGAACCATCATCCAGCCCCTGGGCCTCCCCAGTCATGCTCGTTGCGAAGAAGGATGGCAGCTGGCGCTTTTGCGTGGACTATCGTCATTTGAACAAGTCACTCATAAAAATGTCTACCCTTTGCCTCGGATTGATGATGCCCTCGATTGCCTCCATGGTGCCCAATACTTCTCGTCTTTCGACCTTCGTTCGGGCTATTGGCCAATTTCCGTCTACACCATGGATCACGAAAAAACCGCTTTCATTACGCCAGATGGCCTCTACCAGTTCAAGGTCATGCCGTTCGGACTATGTAATGCGCCGGCAACTTTCGAGTGCATGATGGACTCCCTTCTCCGAGGATATAAGTGGTCCATCTGCTTATGTTACTTAGACGATGTCATCGTCTTTTCACCTACCTTTGACAGCCATACCACATGTCTGTCGGCCATTCTTTATGTTTTTCAAAGAGCCACTCTTCAGCTCAATTCTGCAAAATGCCATTTCGGACGTCGCCGAATCACCATACTCGGCCACCTTGTCAGTGCCGCTGGAGTTCAACCAGATCCCGACAAGCTGCGAGCAGTACAAGAGTTTCCTGAACCGCGTTCAACCAAGGACGTTCGAAGTTTTGTAGGGCTATGTTCCTATTTTCGGTGATTTGTCCGCAACTTCGCCGACATCGCTCGACCACTTACTGATCTTTTAAAGGACGTCCCCTTCTTATGGGGCGTTGAGCAAGCGGATGCTTTTTCGGCTTTTATCCATCTGCTGACTATGCCACCAATACTGGCCCATTTCGACCCTGCATCAGCTACAGAGCTTAGAACCGATGATAGTGGCCATAGAATTGGAGCAGTCCTCGGCCAACGACAGCATGGGAAGGACCGCGTGATTTCTTACGCCAGTCGTCATTTTTCACCTGCCGAACGGAAGTTCTCCATCACTGAGCGTGAATGCCTAGCTTTAGTGTGGGCCGTGACAAAATTCAGGCCTTACCTATATGGCCAAACTTTTTCCGTTGTTACTGACCATCATGCTCTCTGTTGGCTCTCATCGCAAAAGGACCCATCTGGACGTCTCGGTCGCTGGGCGCTGCGCCTGCAAGAATACGCGTTCGTGGTCCACTGCAAGTCAGGACACCTGGACACAGACGCAGACTGTTTGTCACGTTATCCGGTTGAAACGCCCGACTTGACAGACTTTGAATCAGACCCCTGCGTGCTCTCCATCCACGCTTTGGGGGCTATCTCCACCAAACAACGACGTGACCCATAGTTACTCTCCATCATCAAGCGTCTGATTTCTGCTCCGACAGATCCTTCCATTCGCCTGTTCGAACTGCATGATAACATTCTGTACCGTCGCAGCTTCAACGCCGATGGCCCGGAATCACTACTCGTGCTTCCCCATCACCTGCGTTCCAGCGTTCTCGAACAACTCCACGACATGCCTACAGCTGGTCACCTAGGCATCTCTCGTACCTATGATCGTGTGCGACGTCGCTTTTTCTGGCCCAGACTGTATCGTTCTGTGGTTTGCTATGTCACTCCTTGCGACCGCTACCAACGTCGCAAGCGCCCCTCTGTGCTACCGTCAGGCCTCCTACAGCCCATCGACATACGGACGGAACCATTCTTTCGAGTTGGCCTTAACCTGTTGGGCCCGTTTCCTACGTCCACCTCCGGGAATAAATGGGTTGCAGTAGCCACAGATTACGCCACACGCTTTCCCATCACTCAAGCACTGCCGACAAGCTGTTCCACTCACGTCGCTGACTTTCTCTTGTATGAAGTCATTCTTAATCACGGCGCTCCGCGGCAGCTGCTTACTGATCGAGGAAGGTACTTCCTTTCACGTGTTGTGGATGCCATTCTCCGTGTCTCTGTGGACGCTCTATTATAAACCTAGATCTCGCCCCGTCACAATATACCGCCTTATTAACATGGACAATTTTCAGTTCCTGTATGTGAGGACCGAGTTAGGCCGATACATAGCAGTGTAGCTGACTTGGTCACATAATCACTAAGTTTTGCACGGGTAATGCTGAGTATAGTCTGCTCTCGTACACATGTGCCACACAAGCACCTGCGAAACAAATGCGTCGCTAGCAGCAGCAGCCACGATGCTTTGCCGGTATGTACGCGGCGGAAGTCCGAAGGTCCCTCACCTGACTACAGATCTGGTCTGACGTCACTAAAACTTTCCTTTAGAGACATCACCAAAACACCATTAAGAGTAGTGGCTTGTGCAGTTGACACTTGTAGCACACTGCTGAAACACCAAGAAGTAACAAAAAGTAACAACTGTGACAGTGGTTAATTCGCACTCATCCTGTGGATACATGAATGTTCTTTTCTAGCATCCTTCTTGGTGTTTAAGCAGCACGCTTCCAGTGTCGAGCTGTGACAGTTGTTCATCAACACTCGTCCTGTACACTTTCTTTTCGTGTGTCGTTTGTGCTTGAGCAACGCGTTGCATGTGTAGAGTTGCTTGCCCTTCTTTGTGTGAAGTTCTGATTTTTTACTAACACGTTCACTGCTTCACCCTTCCTACGAAACCAACTGTTTTTTTTACATGCATATTTGCAAAATTAGACCATGTGTGCCCACGCCACATTACTTCTTTGGAAATGGGGAGTTTGACAGGTTGACACACCAATCTACCACATGAGAGTGCACTGCTCACGAAACTCAAGAAGTTTCAAGGATGGCAAAAAATTCCACAACCTTGAAGAGCCTAAAAAATGAATTTTTCAAATTCAAGGATTTTCAAGGATTTCAAAGACCTGTACGAACGCTGTTGCCATACAGCTACATTTTTTACCCTCCACTTGAAATTTCGCATCATAATGACGATGCATGGTCACTGGCTGGTGTTGCCGCCTCCTAGGGCTCACAAGAAGCATTGAAAATGATTGTGCTACCTTCTTGCATAGATAAACAGATTAATTTCTTATGTCAGCGACAAACCTGATGGGCCAACGCCCTTTTAAGCTTTTGGTTTCATCATGTGGTCTCAAGGGGGTATGCAAAACTCGATTTTTCTCTTTATCAGCACTCCCTTGCAGGGGTGTCAAAAGTTGAGTACTATCTTTATTAGTGCTGCTCTTGGCTTTTTTATCATCGAATCGATACTCAAGAGGTATTCTCAATCTCCTTGATTACCGAATTTACTCTGCCCAAGGCAGCCACAAGCAGCGAAGATGCAGTTTGTTTGTCAGCACAACTCGTCACTCCAAGAAGAAAACTGAGGTGCACGTTATTATAAGCACATATGGTGATAAGATGCTGTGCAAGACCTGTATTTAATATAATGCTTATAATATAATAATAATATAAGCATTATATATAATATAATGCTTAGATCTTTTTGCAGTTCTGAGTAATTCTGACACTAAAATGTGTTCTGCAATATTTTAACAACTTTTTCCAACTTTAAACACTGTATAGAATGAAAAAGTGCAATAAAGTAATTTGGCCATTTGTGAAAGCTTTTGTCAGAAATGTTCGACACCCAAAGGAGCTGAATAATAAGAGTCCTAAGTTCAAAGACAATGGATTTAAATAATTGAACAACAACTTAATAGTAAAAGCACAGCACATACAGATCACTTATAGTCTATAACAATCACAGGTTCAATTCATAGCATGCACTACTATTGCTACATGCATTAGATGCAGCTTCAATTAACCATTTTGCCCAAGCCGGTTTGAGGCTCAATGCTAAGTCATGGACATATGAATAATAATATAACTGAGTGCAAAAATATCACAAAATGAGGACAGGACAAACCCACTACCTACTCTTTCCTTGACCACATCATTTTTCTGTGTTGTTACATCTTCAAGCACAATCAAACAACTTGCCCATAAATATATATTGTTAGAAAAAAATATATGAGAAGACATTTACTGGCTGTACAGAAGTTGAGAAAGGCAGTACTTAACCTTTTAAGGGCTACTTTTTTTTTACCACTATTGACTCATTCTCTGACATGGATGCTTCAAAAATGTGTATTGAACAAAAAATGTGCTTGCAAAAAAGAGTGGAAAACCTCCCTATATTTTCTTGGCACTGTGCAGTATATCTTTATGGAAAATTTATTTTCAATAACATTGCTGACAACAAGGTGCATATCATTAAAGATGTTATAAAAAGGTTGTTATAAACCGAAAAGTGATGATCCATGTTGATAAATTGCGATCATGATTTCTTAAGGGATTTGGTTGAGTTTTGGATTCTATCATAGAACAATCTACAGAGAGAATGGAACAGGTATGGTGTGGTAGAAAATTGTTGTGTGTGGCAGAAGTTAGCAGGTTGGGAAGGAAACAACAAAGATATGAAGGAGTCTGTCTGGGTGCCAGTGGACTCATCCATAAAAGTGAAAAATTATCGCCACCCTCAGAAAAGTATGAATTACAAATGAAACACGTATCGGTTTCTTGAGAAGCTTCACATCTAAAGAAACAATCCCACTGGTCTGAGGATGAAACCTGGGACCAATGTCATTTCGGGAGCAGTCACTCTACAGTTTAAGCCAAGCAGGGGGTCTAGAAGATCACAGAGCAATGTGAAATTAATGAATATAAACCGTCGGGATACATAATATAGAAAATCACTTCTAAGGAAGCTCAGTTCAGCAAAGTAAAGGAAATCTGTAAAAGAGTAAAAAAACTTGGTAGCATCCAGGTCAACTCAGATAGCAGACAATGGAAAAGCATTGGTACATATAAAATTTCCAGACAAAAAGTTTTTTTCCCCTGAAAAGTTTTCTGAGAAACTTATCTTCACACCACATGAAGATAAAAATTTTTTTCCTTTTATGAGACTTCATTCACCTTGCAGATTTTGACAGGACTGTTTTGCCAGAATAACTTGAGTTTGAGTTTATTCAACCACGTGACAAGTAGACGAAAATACACTGTATACGTGGTTTGATGCGAAGGGAAAGAAGCTGCATTTCACAGCTGCATTTCACAGCTGCATTTCACAACTTTTGAGGCCTTGTGATAGAAGTACATATGAGTGCACTCATTTCCAGAAACACCAAAGTGCCCAAAAAATTTTCAATGAATAGAGATAATAATGAATAAAACTGAGATTTTATACATCAAAACCACAATATGATTATGAGGCACACCGTAGTGAGGATCTTCAATTTAATTCGTGCACCTAAATCCAAATATGAGTGTTTTTGTACTTTGCCCCTCAAAATCTGCTCACTGTGGCTGGGAATTAAATGTGCCTTAATTCTTAGCCGCACAACACCCAGCAGCTATGCCAACATGGTGGGTAAGTACAGAAATAATAAAATGAAAAGGTTAAGGATGTGAATATTGCACCAACAAAGAGGATGATGCAGAGACCAATTACAAGCTTAGAAATTGAGGTTAATGTACATAGATTGCAGCAGTAGTACAGTGCAGGCTGAGAGGACAGCACAAGCAGCTATGGCATGTTTTACAAAGAGGCAAACTTGCGCAGCATTAAGGTTGCATACGATGAAATGCAATATTCACTTACTGGTCACAAGAAAGATGAATTCAACCCATCACAAAGAACCTGCCAACAACTGAGTGTTTACAGTAGCAGTAAATGCTACAATGCTCACCTTAGCAGTCACAGTCGGCACGACTAGAGTCCCTAAAATTTTGCATCACTATTCTACAGCAACAAAACCAACACTTTTTTGTGGAGTCGTCACAAGCAATGCTAACTTTAACTTTACTGTGATCAAAAGCAGCAAGCAATGCTGAAAATTACAGCACTAAACTAAATTTGCAAGGTGATAGATACAGGCGAGATTTTAGTGCCAATTAGCCAGAAGTATAGCTGGATTTTTTCTGAATACCACAGTCATGATAGCCTTCATTACAGCTAGTTAGGACTCTATACTGTATTTTACACACTTTATGTATGAGGCAATTATTGAAAAGGCTGTTACAATAAATTTCAGTTTGCAGACATTTTGTTAAAAAAAACTCTCACGTTCAAAAAATATATGCCCCTGCCTAGTCTTCCAGTCAGAATTAGCCCAGTAAAAAATGTCCAGCCAGCTCAGGAAAAAAAAAAAACATGATAAAAATTTTGAGGGGCCATTCCATTCTGTGGGTTCCACACATGAATAGACAAGCAATGACAAATCATTGGAGAAATGTTGATAAAGCCAATGTTTTGACAAATGGCTTGTCTTTGTTAAGTCCGCAAAGATGATTTATGATGAGTTCAGGCCTTCACCTTCTTCTGAAAGTGCGTGTTGTTGGGGTTAAACAAGCGCACTTGTATTTATTATTATTTTTTAATTTGGCAATGGTAGTGCCGACAACTCTGTGGTTGATGGATTCGGTTACGAACCTTTTACTTTCGACCAAGGTAAAAGCTACACACACAAGACCGCTACTGGGCGCACTGTATTGATATGGAACTTCACTCTTTTCAAGTACAAATTAAATTAACCATTTCTTGTTGTGCAGAACCTTGCCATGCTTTTTATACGGTAAAGTATATCCAACGATGATGAGAGTGGCAGTGTCACCACGGCTAAACCACGCAAAGTGAAGGATCATGACCTTCTCGATTTCATACATCGGTGTGTCAGGAGGTATACCCTCCCCCCTCCCCTCCTCCATACAAAGGATATCGCAATACCGTTTTTAGTTTGTGTGGAACAAACAACCCCACAGTCGGTGACAGTCCTTGCGGAATACTTGAAGCCTGCGGCATCAGCCCGGCCAAGCTCTTTTTTTTTTAAACTGTTGAAGCACAAACAAGAAAAACACACAAAAACCCTAGCCGTATACAGCTTCGCTGTAAACGAAAGTAGCAAGCGTTAGCCACCAATAATTCTGCAGCCACCTACACGATTTCCTCCGAGGGATTTTGCACAGGAAACGGGGAATTGACACTTTCTTCGCGCCTACCAGCACAATGCCCTAAATTCCTGCTTTGCACCGCTCATGACAGTTATCATTTTGAGGTGCTACGCAGCGATGCCTAAGTCCATTGGATATATTCCATGTCTTATTGATGTCGGTGAACGGCTGCAAGCGGATAGAGCAGACGCCTCTCATGTCTTAAACGAAGGTCATGACCGTCAAGATGCGTAGCACGTACTGCAATCATCAGCAGCAAACAGACTTACTTTTGGATATTAAATAAGACGGTTCGCCGGCCACAGTTTTTCTCAAACTTTTCTGAGGCATGGCCATGAATGGCAAAGACGTTCGTACCCCATTGCACGCATACCCTGGCACCCGTGGCCACCTTTGTTTACAATCACTGTAAATATCACCACTGTCTAACTTGTCGCCTGCACCGGTAGTGTGTACAAAAAACACATGCCGTAAACGTATGGCGTCTTCCAAAGGAAGTTGCGTCAAACACCACCCGAGTTTCACGCCTCATTACGGGCCAGCCGAACACGTAAACCACAAAACTCGAATGTGCTACCGACGTTACTTCCGCTACAGCAGCGCTGTATGCGAGAGACGTCATTTAGCAGACGACAATTTCCAGCGTCCTGTTTCTACTGGTAAGAAGAGAGCAAACAGCAAAAAATCAAACTATGAGAGACACTTGCGAGACGCTACATGTCCAGTGGGTGCGTATACGTTCTCCAGGAGGTTGTGCTGCATCGATTCTGTACCAACTCAACGAAGGTTGTGGTAATCTTCGCATCGCCTTCGGTGTCCAGAGAAATCCTGGCAGCAAAAGTAGCCTTGTGCGAGTACGGTCGGACGATGTAAGCTCACGCACGTTTCCCGTGCCATCCAGTCGTGTTCTGCGGCAGAGCAGCTGTATATTACGCATGCAATGATGGAACGTCACCGCTTCGTCTGCCAGCGCGCGCGAGCTGATGGGATTGCACCATGGGAGGGCCGCCGTGGCATGACCTACTACACTCCTGACCTGCCCAGAGAGCACCTCTTCCAGCGCCCACGTTCTAGTTCATACCTTCTGCCGCTAGGGCCGTAACTTAGGAGCACTGTGGCGCTAGTCAGCACCTGTTCGCTGACGTCAGCTTGAGTGTTCGTGGTCATATTTCGGCCAACAGAGCACTCATATTGCGTAATTATTATGCACTAATGAAAAATAATTTTGAAACAAATATTTCAAAAGTCATTCACAAATTCTTTGCAATTAAATGGACGCAACATCACATATGCTGTCCTACACTATGTAAGTCTACGGATTCTCGCATTTGTCCACCAGTGTGCAATAAATTTTTCGTCACACTGAACAGCTTACTTGACCAGTCATCTAAGTGAAAAAATAGTCACATATATGCCGGCTGTTCATCACGGAATGCAGCCGTTCTTACTCTAGCGCCGTCCAAACAGCCGTAAAGTAGCAGACGAACAGGTTATAGGTAGCGCCACCTACGGCGAGCGATTGAACGAGAGCGGGGACACGCGCTCCCATAGGAACCCCGCTATCTGAACAGGTCAGGAGTGTAGTAGGTCATGCGCCGTGGCATGCACTCGTGTCGTGACCGGCCCAGCCGAGCATGCGGCACCGCACGCGTGGTGCCCTGACGAACGTACGGCACGGCACGAGGACAAAGACAACGCCCCCGGTGCCACCCGCCGAAGATGGCATTAATTTCGGCTACGGAGTGAGTGAGAGAGGATTGTTGTGTTCATTGGTGTAAGGCTGGGTCATCACCCTGCACACCAGCTTGTATTATGTCTTCGCACTTGCATTGGTTTTCACTATAGTTTCGCCGAGATCCCTCCTATCACGGAGGAAGGAAAGGTAGGAGAGGGCATGCCCAGCTGGCGCAGGGCGTAAAACATGTGGTGGAAATGACGTCACAGCGGCCATATTCACTGGGCACAATGGCGGCGTTTTGTTATTGTTGATGTAGTTCGGTGCGACACCGTTCAGGCGGTCCAGCAGCGGTGTGCGCGTTTTCATGGGCCTCGCACCTAACCGTGGCGTGACACCAAAACAAAGTCCGTGCAATTTTCAAATTTTATGCCACAGTATTCTCCGTGAAGTCTCAATGCACGTAAAAGTATCGGCAACCATTATTTTTATGGCTTGCGCAATCAAGGTCTAATTTTACAAGCTAGACGTTTATTTTCACGAAAGCGAAAAACAACATGGAAAATAAACACGACATATGCATTAAGGTTGGAGAGAACTGCAAGTTAAACGACACTCAGCTAAAGCAAGTGAATAAGGCAAGTAAAAAGAACAGTAAATATACGATGATACAATAGGCATACATACACACATATGACATTGAGATTCGATTGGCAAACATAGATACAGTCACAAACCAGTTCACGAAAAATTGCTTTCTGCATATGTGAAACACAACCAGACAGTGACATCACAGTTGTTAATGGGAGATTTGTAACAATGTAAACAAGAACAAGACAATTGTCTAAACTTGATTGATTGATATGTGGGGTTTAACGTCCCAAAACCACCAAATGATTGTGAGAGACGCCGTAGTGGAGGGCTCCGGAAATTTCGAACATCTGGGGTTCTTTAACGTGCACCCAAATCTGAGCACACGGGCCTACAACATTTCCGCCTCCATCGGAAATGCAGCCGCCGCAGCCGGGATCCGAACCCGCGACCTGCGGGTCAGCAGCCCGGTACCTTAGCCACTAGACCACCGCGGCGGGGCGATCGTCTAAACTTCAAGAACTTCATTTTCTCTCTCTCTCTCTCTTTCTCCAGCAATGAGAAAATGCCGTCTGGTCAGTGTAAATAATCTAATTATCTGATTTGTCACTTCCAGTTTGTGGTGTCCACAGCCGACCATATTTAACCTGTTCACAGACAGGCAAGAGTTAAGGTCTGTTATGCTGTCACTTTTCAACTTGTTAAAACTAAAGCAATATGTGAATGCATCTTCCATAGCTTTGACCAGGTCTGTTAAGGACTCGGACGGGTGCAGAAGGCATGATTCTGCTGGCAGCAAGCAGGAATTCGCAGAGTGAAGCAACAACCTGCTACATTCTTCGCACTTTGTCTTTTCCACCATCTTCCGGGCCACATAGCCACTGACGTAATAAATGATCCGGGAGTCACTTTTGCGTCCAATGAGATCAATGTGGTCAGGAAGGGCTTCCCAAATAACAATAATTTCATGAACCTCATTGAGGCGCCCCACATCTAGCAGCTCATTCAGCTTATTCTGCAATTTTATATAGTTATTATGGATGCGCCCTGACATAGAAGACTGTTGAGAACTCCAGAAGGTATGTTTCCACTGGAGGGTGACTGCCAAACTGTAAAAACTGAGGCAATTCACAGAGATCAAAAATTTTGCCGGAGAGGGTGATCATTCGAGTCAGACATTTGCTTCGGAATTCCAAAAAGATTTTAAGCGTGTCTTGGCAGAGGCGAGACGTCATGAAGTATTTATAGCCCAAGGTTTTCGTGACATTGTGCCGGGTGGAAAAGATATAGGTGCTGGTTAGAGTGACGCGGAGTCCTTCGGCAGTTCATTCACTCAAGAACCCACCCCCCCTTAGGTGCAGCTTTATACCAAGTTGCTAAGAACCCGTTGATAACATGCTTGTAGCTACGGACGATGAATCTTTCGTCGAAATGAGCTTCGCACACAACGCAATTTTTTTCCAGTGGCTAGTCAGCGCGAGGAATCGTACGCTCCCAGGCCTTGAGCTGTTCATCGTCGGCAAGAGCAGAGAAGAGAGACGCTTTCTTCCCTTGTTTGCGGGCCGAAACATATCCCGCATTGCATCCAGGTGCAAAGCAGCTGTCTTTGCTGTTTACCCATCACTGTGGCTTGGTCACATTGGCACGTATTGATCCAGAACAAGTCCAAATAGGCAAAGCGCAGACGTTGTGACTTGCAAGCGCAACGTCTGCGCTTGCAAGTCGAGAGCACACGAGCAAGCGCCTAATGTGCCGCGCTAGCAGCTGGCGAGAGTCTCGACCAATCACGGTGGCAACTTAAATTGCGTGCCGCTCCGCGGCGAAATCACAAGGCGAAATGAATTACCAGCACGCCTCCTTTCAAGGCGCGGCCGGGACGATGCTGACACCTCTCCTTCTAGCCACCATACCCCAGTGCTTTGAAAAACTCTGCGCCATCATCCTGAACTATAGGGTAAAGTCCTTTAGAGAACATTGTCAAGTGTTCGGCAGTTTCCTTCTCCTCTCCACATGTACTGCATACCGTGTCTACCCCTTTGTATTTGGCCCGATATGTCTCGGTTCGCAATACTCCCGTCCTGGCTTCAAACAGTAGAGGACTACCCCGAGTATTACCATAGATCCTATCATAGATCATAGAGCACGCGGCTGCCTCTGCTGTCCAGGGTGGCACGAGCGTTTTCAGCCACAGAACACCTGTTTTGAGCACGTACGACCAACCCATGGAGGCATTGTATCTCTAGATTGGTCCTCAAAACATCCCTAGATTGCAAGAAAAATTCTTAGATTATATTTTTAATGTCATTATTCAGACTAATTGAGTTATAAAAAAGTATTAAGATAGTGTGCTCTGTGGCCAAGTGCTTGAAAATGGCACCTGTTGCCACCGAAGACGGATTTGCACGTCGAATTCGCTTTGCACACGCATTGAAGAATATATGTGATCATTCGATCAACCGCAAGTTTGTCGCGCCTTTCTTGTACTTGCAGCTTGGCAGCTGAGGCGCTATTCTTAATTTTCCACATTTGCAATCCCTGTTGCAATATTTTCAGGTGATGTAAGTACAAAGCGGAAGGTGTGTAAGTGGGCGCTCTATTACTGGCTGATAGCCCCGCCGCGGTGGTCTAGCTGGTGGCTAAGGTACTCGGCTGACATGAGCTTCCTCCATGTCGGCTGCTGACCCGCAGGTCGCGGTATCGAATTCCGGCTGCACTTTTGATGTAAGCGAAAATGCTGTAGGCCCGTGTGCTCAGGATGTGGGTGCACGTAAAAGAACCCCAGGTGTCACACCGGTCCCGTTAATTAGGGAGGCGATCGCCGGGCTAATTCCAAGGGCCGAAGTATTGGCCCCCCGAACCGCACCACGAAAGCGTGGACAATTTAGAAGTGGTCCTTTTTGGCGCGCCAGCGGACGCCGGCTGTGGCCCAAAGAACAAGTCAGAGCCGAGAGTTGATAAACAAAACAAATATTATATTCTCAAAAATGGCAGATCGAAAACAATACACAAGAATGCACACTCCACAATAGTTACATACAATACGTCACCAATCAAACAACGTACTACACAGTACAATCAGCCACACTCAAAACATTGGGCACAGACAACGATACGCTCTACAATGCAGTCGCATGCATTGAACAACCAAGACACTTAAAGACTAAAGAGATAGAAAACCTATCCAGTCCAAAGTTCTTGGAACAAAAGTCTGGATGATACTCTTCCGAGAATCACTCACTCAAAGTCCAGCGTTGTTGTCGTTCCGCGCCCTCGAAGTTTCTCTTCCAGGAAACCTCGCGTCTTCAATTGGCCACTCTCCAAGCTTCAAACTTCTTTGCCCGAACACGTCGGCTTCACACACGCAGCTGTCGCCACGCGTCTTCGCTCGATAGCGGTAAACACACTCTCTTGCCTGTAGCTCGAGCCTTCACCCCTCAGGTGGAAATCCTCTTCATCTCCTGCTTCGTCCCTACGGACAAAACCTTCGCCGACTACACGGCGGAATCCCTACGCACTCTGGCGCTAACTTCCGTCTTCTCCTGATCTCTCATCTCGGCTGCTCGGTTAAATACCTTGCGCGCGACATTCCAGAAGGTTCTCGTCATTTCGTCGGCGCGATACGCAGCGAAGGCTGGGAAGAGGGCGAGACGGTTGGAATGCCCTCCGCGGCCGATGACTCAGCTCGGTATGACCACGCCCCTTTCGTTCTAGAACTTTTGCGGGCTATCTCGGCCGCCGATGTGGGGTGAGGAGGTTCGTCGGCGAAGCCACGCTTCCAAGGGGAGAGAGCGCGCCCGGGGAGCCTTGGATGTTTGTTTTCTTCTTTTTTTCTTTTGACCTTGCGTTACCGCAAGAATTTGGCGGCGCGCCCATTTTTAGCGCTCGTTCTGTGACACCAGGTGTTCAAAATTTCCGGAGCCCTCCAATACGGCGTCTATAATCACATGGTGGTTTTGGGACGTTAAACCCCACGCATCAATTATTCCTGGCTGATATAGCTACGCCTTTCCTCTGCAATTTCGATCAGCTCCACGTTTGGCCAAATATATTCGTAACTTTTACGCTCAGTTTTACGCTCTGTAATATTTCTTGGTATTTGAGATGGAGACATCGCTCGGTGAAGGAACGCAGTCAGCGAAATCTTGACATGTGTTTATATTCACTACAAGACAGAATTTACTTTTGTTTCACAGTGCAGCAATCACTCAGGGAGCTCATGATATGCGCGTGCTCAACTCTTACGACTACATATAGCTCAATTTTCCGCAATATTCAGACTATAACAATCTCACATTACAAAACTGCTATCCCCTTCACACAACTCATAAGAACACCAAGGCTATCTTAAATATATAAAAAAAAACAACACATAGCCTAAATTATCATTTTTTTACAGCCTTTCTGGTTGAAAGAGAGTGGTCACTTAGTAATGCCTTTAATCAGGCCGTGAAATGTGACATTTCCACAGCCTTATGAAATTCCCTAGATTCAACAAAAAAGACGCCAGATCTCTAAATGAGGTAAAAAATCTCTAGATCTTAGGATAAATCTCTATAGGGTTGGCATCACTGCAGCTTACGGAACACAGTCAGATTATACGAGTTGCGAAACTACAAAATACACGTCCAACTCACAGAAAAAAAAATTGTTAAACATCGCTGCTTGAGCTGGCCCATAAATACACACAACGCGCAGCTTGAAGGATGATAAGACAAAGCCATTTCGTCCAATACAGCCATGGAATACATGGTGATCGCGTGTTTAGAAAAAAAACTGGCGACCGATTTAGAGTACTTGGTACTCTACTATGGGAGAGCACTAGGTCAACTAGGCCGTCCCGTGGGCCTCACACTGAAGAGTAAAGAAAAAGTGAGTAACGATTTAGAGTACTACAGGTACTCTACTATGGGAGAGCTTAAAGCCGTCCCGTTGGCTCGCCGCGCTGCTGAAGAGTATAACAAAGTGCTTCATGAAATACACGACAGATTCGACGGAGGAAGGAAGTAATCAATATCTACGTACACGTTTGTAGAGCGGGTATAGCGACAGATTGCTAACAAACAAATTTATCTAAAATAGATTGTTACATTAGTCTTTAGCAAAAAGCGGAGATGATTCGACCAGAAATTGTAAACTTTTATTTCAGAATACACATAATACCTACTTTAGGCATGCCTTGAAGAATTCTATGAGCACTTTTTGAACACGAGTCTTTGAGTTCTCACAGAATCTATGTGGGTAACTTGAATCAGGGGAAGCTTTCGCCCCGCTTGTTCCGTAAAGATCGCCTAAGTGCACTACTTAGGCACACGTGTTGAGTTGTTTATCCCCAGGAAAGCCTGTTGCTCGATAGCGCGTGTGTTGTTCTTGAAGTTCGTGTGCGCGCGGATGGTGTCTTGCCGGCGAGGTGTGTATGATCGTGTACTCCTGTCACGCTGTCTCTCTCCGTCTGTTCCGGTTTTTACGACCATCGAACGTATCGAGATTGCTGGTTGCTCTGTTGCTTTATTTGAAGGGCCTCGCAATTTCTGAAGTCGATCGCGTTGGCGAACTCTTTGCATGTGGGTATATGCACTTGAAACAAGTAGCGGATCTGAACGAGGCAAGCTTGCGCTCTGGACTTCAGGACGTGTGTTTTCAAGTGAACACGCTGCGTAATTAGTGCGGGGGCAGTTGAACATTGGGCTGTTGGAGGTCGAATCCCGCGTACATTATACATTCCCACCACTGACAAACGTACGTCCTTAACACGAACGAAAGCAGCCTTGCTATACTCAAAACATTATAATTCTCCTCCATAAAGATGTATTCTTGTCACTGTATGTCCACACGCTAGCAATTTGGCGTAACAGGCAGTTGCGATTATTTTAGGTTACCAGCTCACATCCAAGGACGTGCTCAGTTTTTTTTTCTTCCATTACATATAGTTCACGTGTCCTGGCCTTATCGCATTACAATCACAGGCACGGGGCACTTTTGATAACGATCAGGGTCGACTTGGGCCGCATTTTTTTTTATCACGATATACAATCACTGTTGCTACTCGGTTCAAAATAATTCAGATCGATTTTGGCGTAGCAGATCATTTTAATCGCGATCCGGGAGCTAGATCACAGTGCGCAGATCGCGAATAATAGTGACAATGAATGAACATACAACACAGTTCAAACCTGACCGCGATAAAATTTGCCGTGTGCCACGACGATAAGCGAAATGCTTTCGTTCATGCGAATTTGCTGAACACTGATACATAATGACAAGAAAACGCATCTGGTGCCGTCTTTGGAACTTAGAAGTGTGGCAGCTTGGGCTAGTTGGTATGGCATGACGATAGTTATAGCGGGAGAACAAAACGACGACACAGAGACAAGAAGGCCTTCGTGTCCTTCTTGACTCTGTGTCGTCGTTTTGTTCTTGCGCTATAACTATCGTCTTTGGAAGCTCTCGAAGCGGTAGATGGAAGTAAAAACAAGCACGGACGTTAAGTGACGGCACGCCAGGGCTATACACATCTCGTCGGCAGATCATGTGCACCGCACCGTCCGCCAGCAACATCAACAAACCACGCGTGCTAACCCCGTAAAGATAGACAGCAACAATTAAGCTCGCCTAGGGATAAAATGCCATCGCGCACGGAGAAAGGAAAGGTAGGAAAGAGCATGCCCAGCCGGCTCAAGGCGTAAAAAAATGTGGCGGAAATTACGTCACAGCGGCCATATTCACTGGGCACAATGGCGGCGTTTTGTTTGTTGATGTAGTGCGGTGCGGCACCATTCAGGCGGTCCAGCAGCGGTGCGCGCGTTTTCATGAGCCTCGCACGTAACCGTAGCGTACTGCAGGTGTTCAACAGCATCCATTCTTTGTGCCGCATTGTTAGATACCCGATTTCCCCCCGGTGGTGGTTGTAACCAGGTGTCTGAACTAGAAACCACAGAACGAGCGCGCGTGTACGTACTCCGAATTCGCAGCGTCCGTCAAAACTGTGTCTAGCCCACAGCCTGACCGAAAATTTCATAAAGCCTAAAAAGAAGTGCAAAAGAGGGAAAAAGTGATCTGAAAGAAGCTGTACAAATTTCGTTGCCTGGTTCGTCGCGTGGCAATGTCCGAAATATTATCTTTATTTTCACAAAAAACGCACCAAATAAAAAAAAGCTTAACGTGCAACTTGCCGTGTTTATCGTAAACGCCGGCAGTGCAAGAGTACAACACCCATACGCAGAAATTTCATCAACCGTATCGCGGCAGGACAGCGTGTTGAAATGCGTTCCGTTGGTTTCGGATAGCACCGGCGCACGCGGCGTGCAGGCCACGTGCTTTCTGAGACAGAGAGGGAGTCGCGCCTTCTGCTGCGCATTTATATGTAAACAAGAGAAGAGAATTTGCCCTGTCAATATAGCCGATTTGCGGCTTCATCGCGGCTTCACAACGAGTGACGTCAGGGCCTCTCCTACCTTTCCTTCCTCCGTGCCTCCAATGATCCCCTCTTCCTCCCCTTTCAAACAAGAAAGCTGCGTCGGGAAATAACGTGTTCAAATCGACGCGTTCACTCAAACCATTTGGCCGTTTCGATAATGGTATTGGTATATAATGGTAGGACAAGCATAAGTGACTAGTCATAACATGAAAATCATGGCATGAATGTCATGATTTACATTTCATGGTCTTGCTGCTCTTGCGGTAGTTTCGTTCACATGACATCTTGCAATACTGGTATGGTATGACATGAATTCAATGCCAACATGTGACAGACCCAAACGAGGAACTCATGACATGCATGTCATGTAAATCATGTCTACACGGCACGCTCATGGTGCGCTTGTGGTCGTTTCGCATAAATGGATGACGTAGATATATGACTGGTGTGCATATGCTAATCATGACATGCATGTCATGTAACATGACTACATGCCACGCTCATGATGCGCTCGCGACAGTTTCGCTAGCTTCACATATACCAAATTTGGTATTACGTGACATGAATCGATGACGAAGGTATATGACTGGTGCAAAAATGATAATCATGACATGTGTGTTGTTGTTGTTGTTGTTGTTGTCTTTATTTCAGAGAAATGTATGTCTCGGATACAAGGGCAAAAGGCAGATGTCCTCTGCCTGACGGGACCCAAGTACCCGAAAGCACCATTCAGAGCATGGTCAAAGAAATACAATATAACACACTAATAATGCATGCATAACATTGTTTTTGTACAGAGTAAATGGAGTACATAATTGTACAGTAATAAAGAAAGAGTCATAACACTGCAAATAACGAAACCAGAGAAACATATGACTGCTATATACAGAACTTATCAATCTTGAGAACAGGATAGAAGGTAAGCTTTGATATATTTTTTGAAAGATTTCAGAGACAAGGATTTCTGCGCGATGTAATGTAAGGACATGACAGCATACCACAATCATGAAGCATTCGCGGCCGTTTCTCTAGCTTCACATACACCTGGTATTAAGTGACGTGAATGGACGACGAAGGTAAATGGCACGTCCAAACATCATAATCATGACATGAGTGTCATGCAAAACATGACTACAAGCTATGCTCATAGCATGCTCGCGGTCATTTTACTAGTTCTACATATATTAAATTTGATATTACGTAACATGAATGGACGACGAAGGTAAATGACACATCCAAACATGATAATCGTGACATGAGTGTCATGCCACTGTAAATGCTTTTTTTTTCGCTCTTTTACAACACGAATCACGTATAGTGACATAACATTGGAATCTCGATGAAGTCCCACAACCACCACCTTGTTCTTTAACATGAAAGTGTTTTATGTTGGGTTTCAGTGAGAATAAAGTCGCATCATTTCCGTCACGGAACTGACACGCAGGTAGCCGAGAAGCTGACCACTACGCCACAAAGTTTTTTTTCCTCCTTATTTACTGAGTGCCACAAAGAAAACAGGTTTCCTCGATTTGACAGGAATGCTGCCACCATCAGGGAGCTGTTCAGCTACATGCTTTGCTCAAGCACTGCAGGAGCGTTTTGGCACGGAGCAGTCGTGACTGTGTTGTATCATAAACATGGGTTAGCGAAGCACAATGCTTTCACAAAGTGTTTGATGCACATACTACAATCAATTGCTCTGGCATTTGAAAATATGAGGGTGCTGTAATATATTGAATTGCCCAAAACACTGCATAAGTGAACTAAAACCCCAGTAGCGATGCGGCAGTGCATGTCAACATAGGTGCATCCATGTCAAAGACCGTAATGCCAGCTCACTAACAACACACATAGTGTAAATTGTATTTCTTAACATCCAACATAGTTGCAGCAACTTCACTGGAACATGTCATATTTTTGTGCCAGGGATATTCTTATGAAAGGAGAATCAAGTATACCTTCCAAAAATTTTATTTCAACATGGACAGAAATACTCAATGGCTACATGGAAGTGCACAAATTTAGAGTTGACATAATTACCATTATTGCAGTGAAATGGCTAATAAAGAGCTACAGTGTAATTTGTGTAGAGAATTTATATGCAAAGAGAGAGTATATAAAACATTTGCCTTTTGAAGAAAAGGCAGCTGCCTGATTTTTTGCCTCATCAACAAGTCCATTAAAAATTACAAAAGCTTTATTTAGCCTAACACACTAAAACAATGGGGCTAAATACAGTGCATTTACAATAAAGAAAACACAAGTATGCTTTTATACCCGTACACACTTCACAGAAAGATCCATAATTATTATTAGCAACCAATCTGAAAGCATTCTATACTAACATGCTTATTCATCAAAAACAAATAACAAGACCAATTAAGTGCTTTAGAACCATTTACGTAGCTAGGAGCATTACTATGCCAATATGAATTATTATGCCTTTTTTGGGATTACATCTGCACAAATGTTTATACAGGTATGGCTATGCCTAAATACAGATCATTTGATGCGCAGTTCAACACCAAGAAGCTCTTCAGTTTTGGCACCAATCTGTCTGTGAATGGAATTGGCTTCTTCTTGGACAAGCGCCCGTTCCATATGTCGGTACACTATTCTATAGCAGTGGCTGGTCCTATGGGTTTTTGGATGAATGAAGGTGTCTCGATGCTCCACACGTTCCACAAGGTCACCACCACAAGAGCGAACGATGTCAAAGAAGTCATTCGCTGCAAACTCAGGTGGTGCCCAAAAAGACATGTCTGCCACGCACGGAGGGTGGCAGCTTAGTTGCTGTAATTTAATAACAAGTAAAACTCATTAAAACAGTTTCATTAAAAAGCAAAAAAAAAAAAGCCTTTCTTAGCCACACCTGGAAACACAAGCAGAACTTCATGAAAGCAGTTACAACAGTAGAACAAGATGGTATGGCTAACATTGTGGCTCAAGCATGCAGATAAATGAGAAAGTTAAGGAATTATACCGCCACTGACCACATTAACACTCGTAGCCATGACTCTGATGATGATACAGTGACCAACATGTCATGTGAAAGTAACGATGTATAAGAGGCAGCACAAGTATGCATTACTGTTGCTTTTGAAGCTTAGCATGACTAGGATCCTTCAAGTATCAAAGGACTCTGGCTTGACTCACCCTAAAGACAACTGGCTTATAGGGGTCGTTGTGTTCAAACTGAACAAGAAAAGCAGGGTCAGTACTCCAGAAAGCACGGATGTCAGGGATGTTGTACAATGCCATGGCGAGACGCTCCAAGCCCACACCAAAAGCCCAGCCAACTTTGTGCTCCACACCGGCTGTGTTGGAAAAAAAGCCCACATTCTAACAATTTGTTTACCAGTCCAACTTTACTCTTTTCTTCTCTGCACTCTGCAAATCATGTCTATAGCTTAATGAACACACATAACAGTAAGTGAATGTGAATTTTTTATTCAAATACAGTAACAATCGCTATAAAGATGTTGCAACTGACAGAAACATACATTCCTTATACCTGTTGTGTACACACAGCATTAAAACAAGATTATATTGCTAAAAAAAAACAAAGCTTGCACTCCCATGCCTCTCACAGGCCACCAAAACAATGCTTGTCAATTATGATGCCGTGGCTGCAATTTCTCGTTGCAATAAATATACATGATGAATACCAGGTTAGTGCAAATACCAGCTTAGAAAAATCACTAATAATCAACCACATGATCAATGTCACATGAGACCCTGGCTTGCTGGCTGTGTGCCAGCCAGCCCACTGATAAAAACAATAGAATATACAGAAGTTGACATTTCAAATGACTGTTCCTGAGTATCCCACATTGCACCCTACCAGAATACCTACTACAAGCTGCCAAGTGCAGAAATTATTGCTTTGCATACCAATATGGTCTGTGATCTTACATTTTCTATTTTATTTAGTAGTATATACCCAATAAAGTAAAGCATGCCAATCATAATCCTTACTTTATTATATCCACTCATTTCTAGTAATCATGTTTGTCATATCGAGCTTTACAAAAACATATATAAGGTTTTATAAATACATACATTGTAAAAATGCTGATATATTACCACAGCAAATATAGAAGGTGATTGAAATGATTTTAGTGTATGCAGTGTTGCTTGCAACAATTTAGTAAAAGTCTTTGAATAATGAAGCTTCAGTTTATGTCATACTGGACCCGTGTCAGCACATGATGAATTTTGTTGAATTTCTTATTTTTGCAATACTACTGACAAATCTCATAACCTCTGGGAAAGCTTGACCTTCACGAGAGCTAGCCTGCTAACCACATTCAGTTAACCTAGCCAGCCAAAGCTTTGGATGAAAAACAGCAAAAGCAAGTAGTACTCACAGTCACGTTGGAAAGAAGTAAAGAAAACAAATAAAAGGGAGTCACCATTAAAAAGGATTTCTTGTTCCATGATGCCACAACCCAACAGCTCCAACCAGTCCCCTTGAAACTTTGCCTCAAGCTCCCATGATGGATGAGTGAATGGGAAATAAGTAGATACCCAACGAAATTCCGTTTCTGTTCATAAAAGAAGAAATAATAAAGATCAGCAAGGGTGCATAGAGATGCTGCTGTTTATAGGATATAAGACACTTACCCACACAGCAGTTTTGCAGCAACAATTAACCACATATATTACAAACCTAAGCACCTTGTACTACCTTACTGAACCCTAAGATGTATGATAACTGGAGTGTCCAGAAAAGCACCACATTTTTTGAAAAGTTACCTATTTTTTATGTATAAAAAAATTACACTCAGTTAACTGTCAATGCAGTTTTGAATCAATGACAAAGCTTTCAAATCTATTTTTTGCTGAATCATGCTTCTAGCTAAGAAGGTGTTTGATTGATTTGATATTTCTCATAAATAATGCACTCAGTGTGACTTGTTTGAAAGCTTTGTTCAATGTAATCATCTGAAGCTACTCTGATACATGAGCCTAATGCTTAATCAACAATCCCTTTATATACTCAACATTGCAAGACCGTCACGGGAAGCTTGCTTGCCCTACACTGAGCCATAACTTGTTAACTAGGCTTTACCCCTATGAATCCTTTGCAGCTTATGAAATATCTCATATTAGAGGTATTACATATGAGGCTGGGGTTTACAATTCTAAATTTTTTAAATTAGTGGCTGCATATATTTAATGAATAGAACAACTCTTTAGTTTGTCCATAAATATTGATGAGCAGGTGATTTTGACAATGTGATGGGCCAGGCTATGTTGATGGTCAATAAAATAAAAACGCAGAAAATATAGTGCAGCTGGTGCACTGGTTATTTGAAAGTGATACGCTGTATGAAGCCATGACCATGGCGGTGGGGCGAAGATTTATGGTGCATGATGATGCGAGCTGTAGAAGAAAATGCAAAGAAGGTTTAGCGAATCAGTGCAATGCTGGGATAAAAGTGTGTTTAAACCAGACAGAGATATTGGTAGTGATACGCTGGTGTTATAAGAAAATGATGAATAGTGGAACTTTGCTGCACAATTCTAATTGCTTTAAGAGTACTAAGATATGTTTGATGGTGTGACCAGATGGGAGAAGGAAAGCTTGAGGTGTAAAAGCATTTTAAATGCTTGCACTGTAATGTCGGACAGTGCATGATTTAGATGGTGTTTAAGGAATCACAAGCTTTACTTAGCAGAGGCAGTAATGTGTGTTATGTGATGTGACCAGTCTAAGCCACGTAAAAGGGTAACACCAAGGACCTGAGATGTGTCCACCTTTTCTATGAAAGCATTATTATTAGTATTAATATTAGTATAATAATGCAGGGTACATATCTGGGCTCATGCGGGCAAGTGAAACAGATTACTTTAAATTTATAGGGGTTAAGAGTGATCAGCTGTTCATTATACAAATGTTGGACTTCGTTAAAATTTTATTGTAGAACGGTGAGATCTGAGTTGTTAGAAATGGTATGGTAGATCACACAACTGTCTGCAATCATAAAGATTTGAGAGAAAACATAAAGGGGTCATTAGTATAAATTTTACAATTTAGCAGGCCCGAGACACTACCTTGAAGAGTGCCAGATGATACAGAGATGGGGCTGAAAGTAAAATTATTGACATGTAATCAATGTGATCGGTTAGTAAAAGATCTAATGGAAAATGTCTGAGTGCGGATTCAACAAGGAGAGTTTCAGTAACAGCTGTCGGTGGGGTAACTTATCGAATGCTTTTGCATAATATAAATGCATATCATCGACCTGTGCATTAGTATTAAGGTTAATGTGTGCAGGGTCTGTCCTTAAGATAATTCGAATGGGTTTCGTATCGTAAAAAAAACATTTATCGATCCTATCAATAAATAATTTAATTTTTTTTTAATTCATCAAAAAAATTCGTCAAAATACACCAATTACAATGTGATTGTCATACTGAAAGCCAGCAGCTGCAAACTCTTTTAGAGATTTAGTAACAACCCGTTTGATGGCGGGAACACCATCAAAATGGTGGCCTTTTATACTTCTCTTGAGATTTGGGAACAGGAGAGGAAAAAGTCTGCCGAGCTCACATCAGGGCTGATGCAACCCTGCATGACTATGATGTGAGCCTGGCGACAAGGCTAGGCTCATATCATTTATCTTTCATTTTTTTCATTGAAGAATGAAAGATAAATCTGTGGCCATGCCATTTTTGTCCTCATCAGATAAAAAGAAGAGGTTTCTAGATTATTCGCCTTGAAATGGGAAGACAAGTTTTGATTTCAGTGATAACATGCATGAGTTCTGTAAACTACCTTTGTTTATATAGTCTACTTGGCTTTGTAATCGGTTCGCTGTAATTGTATAAATAGCGTGTGTGATCACAAAATAAAGCTTTGAGTTGAAATTTAGAGCTGTGTTTGTGTCTTCTTTCTCGGTCCCTGTTACACTGCGCTGCTCTGTGTAATGAATGGGAAGCATTGTAATCAAGTTTGATGAATAACTATTTGCATAAATCAGAAACAATATGTGAAGCTTGGCACAAGTTTGCCTTTTTCTCACAGCGATATAAACATAGACATGTATTCTACACATGCTGTGGCTCCCTAAGGTACACAGCAATGCAGTTTGCAGCTGGCCCAAATCTTGATGCTGGTGTTAGTCTTCGTGTGGCATGATGCCATGGAGCAGACTTTGGTAGCAAAACTACTATAGTGATTTAGGCAGTTGCTATGGGCAGCAATATCTTTTTTAATTACAGTGCAAACATGAATCAAACTTTCAACTATGGTAAGCTGCATCTGTGAAGCGGCAGCAACAGCGATTTGGAAGGTGAACTGGCAATACTAGTGACTGCAGATATAGCTTGTTCTTTGATTATTGTGAAAGAGTAAATATTCAATCAAATATAATAATTAACATGAATCACTTTATGACATATCTTGAAATTCCAGAACTAAAATAAATCAATGCTAAAAAACAATGACTTATTGCAATCTAGAGACTAGCCTCATTTTTATGACATTCCTTCTCAAATCTGCTCTAAAATATACCTCTGTAGTATACTCGTTCAACGACTGAAAGAAGCATCTAGAAGTTGTATGAAATGATAGCGAAATGGCTTAACATGTGTGGCTTGTGGCATGCATACAATGTACATAGCAGACAGGTTTCAGAGAAACTAACAAGTTAGGCGTTGTATCTTAGAATGCGACTCCTACACCACTACTCTGCACTCCAACCCCTACAAACACATATGCATGCCTTTTCAGTTAATATTCCCTAACAGTCTTCCTGCAGACAATGTGGGGCATCGTGAAGTGGAAGACCAATGAACTTGTAGCTATACTTGAGGGTGAACATCTCAAAGTTGCTGCCCACGTTTGGATTGATAACAGATGAACGTGCCTCAGAACAGTCCAGTTTACCTATTATAGAAGTTTGAAAAGTGAATTGAAGCAATCATATTTAAGAAGCCACTATCAAGACATAAGCATTATTTATGCAATTAGTGATATAACATGCTTTCTCAAACCTGCCATGCCTAATAGTGCATTGCTAAAAGAAACAGAGTATAATCAGCACCGCTGTGCCTGCGAATTTCAGCTCTTCTCACTTGAATAAAGCGGTATATGTGACAACATTGTGCACCAAATAGAAAGCATAAAGACCAGTCGTTTAGGTTTAATTCATGCAGACATTACAACATACTTTCAAACGCCATTACAGAGACAGTAAACCCGTATCATTGACATTTATTAAGCTTAGGTTTTACATTTCACACACTAGGCTTGAAAAAAAGTTTCTTACCTGGACCAAGCAGCTGCTGAGCGAGCCCCTGCAAGCATGTCTTAAGACTATGCTCTACAAGTTTGACTGCTTCACGTGTATGCAGACCCTGCTTGTCAGACTCGCGGGTGCCGCTTTCAAACAGGGACAGACCATGATTGTTTCCTGAGAACAGCTGGAACGAAATATTCCTTGTATTTCCCAAACAGCTATGACCCATGTACAGGGCCGCTAGCCAGAAAATGGTAAGTACATATCCCCTTCAGCCAACTCCCACAATAATATAAAGCCTTGAAACAAATGTATAGTTAGGGGTGCTTTAAACTGCTTTACAGCAGTGCTTGAGAAAAATAAGGCTTTCCACTTGCTAATGATAAAAAGTGACCAAATTGATGCAATATTCCTGGGCCTTTTCAAAACAATTAATTGGGTAATTGCTATAGCTTCGAATTTTCTGAGATCAGGCATGATCAAAAACTGGTTAAAAAAACTACTGGAGTAAGCACTACCAATTCAAACATTATGAAGGCCAGTCCTCTTGGAATGTACTGTTATATAGGTTTCCCACAGCAGAGTGTAAGCACTGTATTTTGTTCAGATTTTTATGAGTGGCACCACAAAAAATATAAATTCAACCATGCAATTGTTTGTAGATGACTGGATCCTATAGAAAAAAAATCAATGCAAGGCCAATTAACAGAAACTAACGCTTTATCAAACGTAGAAATGCAGTGTAATTGTTGGCAGAGAGCACACAACTTAGCGCCATATTTCAAGACAATCAATTTCGGGGATAGTGTTGCTTTGCATGTTGGAATCTCATATGTTTAATGACTAAAGCTACTACTTGCTCACTTTACTTTACCAAGCCAATAAATGCAGATTTAAAGCAATATTACATCGATATCTCCAAAAGTGATTGCCTCAGACTACCACAAAATACCAACAAGCCCCCCCGCCCCCTTTTTTTGAGAAGTTAGAAATATGCGCCGATGACTGAGCAAGCACTCCCACTCCCATTTATTTCCACCTGTTCTACACCACAGAATCCTACAGCCGTAGTTCCTAAAACACAAGTTCTGAGAGTCTTCAGATATGCGCATGATTTCTTAGTACTTTTACAGTGTAATGTCTCAGCGCTACATTCTGAGCTGTCACAAATTGGCGGGAGATTTGAAAAACATCTTCCTCCCCCCCCCCCCCCCCTCGTTATAGCACATTGAATTTGACATGAGGGTTCCCTCCGGTTCAGTAAAAAACAGTGCATTTGCATTCAATAAGGCACTTCATAAGAAGCACTTCTTAGCAGCTCTTCTGCTGCCATCTTGAATTTGAACTGTAACGAAACAAGCCCCTTCTCCCCCCCCCCTTCCCCAAATATTGTCCAATTATCCTTCACCGCAGAGGGTGCACCTGCTTGGGATTTTATAGATTAACCTCTAGGCAAGACCCGCCGAGGTGGCACAGTAGCTACAACATTTGCCTGCTAAGTACGAGGTCACAAGTTCAACTCTGGATGCGTCTGCCACATTTCAGTGGCAGTGAAACGCAAAAAGTTCATGGTATTAGATCTGGATGCATCCTGAAGACACCATATGGTCGAAATTAATCCAGAGTCCCCATTCTACAGCATGTTTCATAATCATGGGAATTTTCACATGTCAAACTTCATAAACTTTTATTTAGATTTCGCTGTGATGCCTCCTGGTATTCGTTATTTCTGAGTGCAGTCAGAGAATAGAACTTGCTTCCCAATATTGCTACATATAGCCCATGCAGTGAAAATTCGCTCTGTAAGCTTTCAAATTAACATTACTGTTCATTAATGATATAAATCTAAATAATGTAAAAAGCACCTTGATTGCTCCTTGATATACCAATAATCTTACACTTATATCAAATGCCATATATATGCTTATATGAAATTATGTTTTTCAAATAATTTTTTTTTATGTCTTTCTGTGCTTGTTTCCACTAATGATAGCGTAGCAAGTGTGCAATGTGAAGGGTTGTACAGGTTTGAAAGGAGAAAATTCAAGGATACTCACAATGTGAAGGACCTGTCACAGGTTTTTCAAGGACTTATTTGATTGATATGTGGGGTTTAAGGTCTCAAAACCACCTTATGACTACAAGAGACGCCATAGTAGAGGGCTCTAGAAATTTCGACCACCTAGAGTTCTTTAACGTGCACCCAAACATGAGTACACGGGCCTACAGCCATTTTGTCTCCATCAAAAATGCAGCCGCCACGGCCGGTATTCGATCCCGTGGTCAGCGGCTGAGTAACTTAGGCGCTATTCTATCGTGGCAGGGCATTTTTCAAGAACTAACAAAACATCATCCAGAGAGGATTTTTTATCTGTAGCAATTGTATGAAAATTCTGGCTAGTTTTACTGTATTATAATATACATACATTCTCATTATACTATATATATATATATATAGCTCTCATCACATCTGAAGTAGTTAACAACACACAACAAATAACGGTGAAAAAAGTAACTTAAATGAAGGAGACAAATTGAAGTAATAAGATAAGTGGAGAGAGAGATAGCAAGACAATGAATAAGAAGGTGTGGAGAGTGACATTAACAATAGGACAAGCCATAAGAAAGCAATACAAACACCGGGAAGCAGTGGAAACTGAAGCCCCAGTGAGTGTCTTGGTTTATTAGTGGTGTTTCTGTTTTCCATGTAAGTGCTGCAAAATAAAGCACATGCACACTTGCTTAAAAGTGTTGCTTCTGAAATTCAAAGTTTGCCAGGTCAACACTAATTTACCACAGAAAGCCGTTAGCATAGTGGACTGACTGCATTAATTCCGAAATTCTAGGGTTTTCGATGACAGCAAAAAGGTCCAAGACATTCAAGTTCCTTGAAAATTAACTTTTCAAATTTTAGGGGTTTTACTAGTTTTAGGGACCTGTACACACGTTAAATGTGCGATTGTTGATTAGTGTAATTCTGGGGTTTCGTGTGTGAAAAACGCAGTGTGGTTATATCATTTGATGGTTAGTACCGGTGATGAGCAAGAAGTGGCATAGTTTGAAAGTTTTTACCTTAATTTGCAGAAATTTGTTTTAAGGTTTGGGTTACATCTACTTTTTTTATTTTTGTGCGAGCCACTGCGTTCTTTATAGTGTCCCATTTCTCGCTACAGCCTCTGATAAAGACTGGTGTAGTCCGTATATATAAAAGCCTTGCAATCGTTCCCTTTTTCTCTCTCTCTCTCTCGCTCACACCGTTTTGATACGCTGCGATTCGAACACTTGAGAATACAAGAGCCTTATGCAAATGACAACTAGGCACCAGTCACACCCACGCCAATGTAGCCATTTTGCATATATGAATCATTACACTGCTAGACTGCGACTACACACAGGAGTCGAAACAACTGACAATTGAAACAAGACAAATCGTAGCACTGTGACGGCTATCCTCGCGCAGAGCCATTGCCAGGCAGTGACGTCCCAAGCAGAAAGAGCTCATAAGTGCCGTCTAAAAGCACTCACTTCGTCTGCAGAAAACAGCCTGACGCCTTCGATCTGGTGAAATACCGGGTAGTGATGTCTGTCGATCTCGTCTCTCCGATACACATCTCCGGCAACAAGAAATGCGTCGAGGCCCGATTTGACTAGATCACGCTGATGAGCCGATGTGTGCGCTCGCAACATCAGCTCGTTGTTGATGTAGTAGCTGTCACTTTTGCACCGCGATGGATGAGAGGCTGGTACCAACAGACTGTCGAAATTCTGCTCCAACGTCACCACGGGACTGAGTCGATCGTAGACAGAAAATGATGGATTTCCCCGCCGGTTCGTGTACTTCTCGAAAAAATCGCTTATTCTCCTTTTGACCAGGCACAAGGGATGGCAGTCCTTCAGGTGCAACTTTCGCGTAGTGTGCTCCAGGATGCGCGCCGTGAGGTTGCATTGGTCGCTTGGTTCGTACTGCCTGCCGTCTATGATGACCGGATATTTGGAGAGATGCCGAGAGCCCTTTGCAGCACTTGCAGTAGAGCACCTTGCATTGAAATCCCGGCGAAGGCACGTAAATGAGAGAAATCTTCGAAGGCGAAATCTGCTCGCAATACGCATGTTTTCGCAACCGGCACCAACGTGTGCGACCAAAACCGTTCCGAAACCAAAACATCGATACTGATGGTGATTGAATGCTCAACATTGGTCTAGACAGGTCGTGGTCGAGACCTGGCTGGAAGTAAAAGCTTTTGCATTTTTTGGTTGTACCTATCAAATGAAAACATTTTCAAGCTCAATCAGAGTTTCAAATACGTTATTTTTAGATACATGTGCAAAGTCTAACTTTTTATTACTTTAAAATGCTTTTCTGAATTAATGTATTTGCTCATATTAAAATTTTTGCAGGAAGTTTACGTCTCTAACCAATGTGTTTGTAAAAAATGCCGCATTGTTTACAAGTTTTGGGCATTTGGGCTAAAAATAAAACCCATAGAGTTGCCAACAACGCCACAGTAGTTTCGACATGTGCGCAGCTGTGTGCGCTTCTCGGTGAAATGGCAGCCTCCCGTCGCCAAGTTTTGAGGCTTTACAAGGAGTTGATGCGTGAATGTGGACAGTTCAAGAGCTACATTTATAGGTAAGGCCCGTGTGCATTGAGTAGGTAGCTCATAGAAAATGCAAACCGACAGTTTTCTTCGTCCACTATAACACAACTTCCTGGTTGTAGAATGATGTTTGCCCCCCCCCCCCCCCCCCCTTTGTTGGTCGTTCTGAAGTTCTCTGTACTCATCCAGTACGATACTTGCCTGTTGTTCTTGGAATGCTGGTTTCTGCGCGGCGAATGGGTGTGCATGAGTGCATACCTGCTGAACTGCATGTGCAGAGCGCATACTGAGATCTTCCACCACAGCGGGCTTTTTGAATCGCTTTCGTGACATGGCGCGTGTAACACCATTCGCACTGTATTCCGTTTTGCTCGTTCTGTTAGAACACCTTTCGTCTACTATGATAGCCAGGTTGAGCCAAGATTCAGGGCAAATGCGTTCTTGAACCCCATAGTACCGTCCTTGCTTTACTCATTTTGACGCCTAAATAGACCGTCAAGTTCAGAGGCCGTTTTTGAAATGATCGCGAAAGGTGACAATATCGCCTTGCGGGACATATGGTCCGAAGTGTTCAGTTACTGGACTAACTGCTTTCACATGACGTCGTCATTGCTCTGGTTGTTGGCGGTATTGAACGTCTTAGAACGCAAAAAAAAAAAAAAGTGAGCGCGCTGTACTAGCGCAGAGCCACTCGAGTGTAGTCTTTCGTGTGTACCGGCTTCTACAAAGTAGCTGTAATCTTGGCTCATCTTAAGATTTAATAAGTTCTTTCAACGTTTCTTGTGTAATTGTTTAAACCACAGTACAGTCCCTAGTGCAACCTTGTCTGAAATGTTTCTGTTGAGAGTTTAACACTGTGCCCTCATAGAATTCAACTGTCGTGTGCTTCCATAGCAACACATTTCCTGCCCTCAGTAAATCTCGTGAGCAACACACAATTCATGCTGCTGGCGCATTCAAACCACCAAAACACGTGCTCAATTGCACAACCAATTACTGTAAACACACCAAGGTAATGCCCATTGCCCCGCCGCTGTGGTCTAGTGGCTAAGGTACTCGGCTGCGTACCCGCAGGCCGCGGGATCGAATGCCGGTTGCGGCAGCTGCATTTTCGATGAACGCGAAAATGCTGTAGGCCCGTGTGCTCGGATTTGGGTGCACATTAAAGAACCCCAGGTGGTCGAAATTTCCAGAGTCCTTCACTACGACGTCTCTCATAATCATATGGTGGTTTTGGGGCGTTAAACCCCACATATCAATCAGCAATTTGGCAGTTGTGGCCTTTTGTGATCTTTTAAGAATACAGCCCCTGATCGGCACATAATGACCACTGGAAGGTCGCAGTTTCAATCCCGGCTGTGGCAGTTGCATTTCAATTTTCAATGGAGGCAAACTACTAGGGCCTGTGTGTGTGATGTCATTGCATGTGAAGTAACTCGAAATGGTCAAAATTTCCAGAGTCCTCCTCTATGATGTGCCTCATAATTATATTGTGTTTTTGGCATGTAGAATCCCAGATAATTTATTATTATTGGCACACCAGCATTGCAGTTTTTAGGTCTCGGGCCTACTAACTTTACAGGAAAGGATGAGCATGCGTATACAAAATTAAAACCGTGTAGGGATCTGAGGTGTGCTCGAGCCAGGCACAGCAGTTACATTAGCTGGCCTTGCACGGGATGGAAAGGGCAACAAGTCTTACCCAATCAACATAACAACAAACGTAAGGTAATGCGAAGGCGTCGCCAATGTTCGACTTCCCTCGAGGTTACCACAACTGAAATATGTTAGTTAAATGTGTTCATTCAAAGTCATTCCAATACTGTGATATCGATGGCTTGTATGTCATGGTGGGCCTAGTTTTTACAGAATGTTTTAGTAATGAGTTTTCAGGTCGACACAGGTTTCCCTAATGTTACATAAGTGAACTGCTTGCCACCTCCCAGTATGCAGTTTAGCTCTGGTTGGTACTTTGTGCCATTTGCTGTTATTGTTGTCAGTGGCCTGATTGCTACTGGGGCTTGCAAAAAAACTTAAAATGAGGCAATACGGGCAAGGCAATATGAGCTGGGTGTATTTTGAAATGAGAAAAGCATAAGTACAATTACTTTTAAATAAAGACTTGGAAACATAGATAAAAGAAAAGGGGTTGTCTATTGTAAATAGACAGCAAGCTGTCATCAAAATTAAATAACTAAGCATGGTAAATTGGCTCTCAAAGATGGAACCATAAAATACAACTGAAAATCAGAAATGTGACAAAATGAAAAAATAAGTATGATGGTACAAGGTACAATGCTTGACTATTTGAAGCCTGAGCTGGCTACTCGAGGATGAAAATATACCAGAGTGAAAATTGGGCGACCTTTAAGCTTTGTCTTCGAGAGCTGAACGTGATAGCAATATCTTCGAACTTGCTATGCATCCACTATGTGGCCTTAAAGGAATAGGCCCAGTAACGTTGGCCTTTCATTGTGGGTGACCTGCTTTAAACCATGAAGGCATTATGATAATCGCATTTTCTGGCACGCGATGTCAATGCACGCTTGTACCACACATTATTAATGAAATATTTCATGTTGTACAGTGAAGTGTGGATACAGGATGCATGTGTTTGTAAAGCAAGAAAGCTACTTTCACTGCATTTCCAAGCAGAGGAATTTACTTTTGCTGTATTTGCAAGCAGACACATGCTTGACCAACACCCAGAATGCTTTATTATAATAATTTATTTAATTGCATCCTGCTCGATTTTTTGCTCATGCACAAGATGATTTGTCGCTAACAACCACCGATACTGTCACTGGAATTTCTGCTAAACCATCTCTTGAACGTTATCGCTTTAATATTCACATTAGGATGAGGCATGTGTCTCCTACATATAAAATTAAAGAAACCGCTCAGCATATTGTAATTGAACGTAGGGATATTCAACCAGTAAGATGCATAGATAATTTCCATCTATTAAGATGGATAGGTGCTGGGATTTAAAATTGGTGAAAAAAGGAAAGTGTAAAGATTGATAAAACTAGAGTTATTGCAAGTGTAGGTAACAGTCTAATGCAAATATGAAGGCATAAATAGATGAAATATTAGAAAGAGGTAGCCCAAAATCCTGGACTTCCACAGATACAATAAAACCTGATTAGAACGCACCTTCTAGGCAACTGTCGACCACCATGCTGGTTCAAATGAAATGCCAATTATGTAAGTGCTGACTATGTCATAAGTTAGGCTTTCTTCTTTTGGAAAACTTTACTCTGTAGGTCTTATGCATTGAGACGTGTGAGAGATGCCTTCAAGGAGCACAAGGCAGTGCAAGATAAAGACGAAATCAATGAGCTTCTGGATGATGGATTGAAAAACTTGGAAATAATCAAGCGGCAGGTACGTTCGCTTTTCTGAGCATTTTAGAGAAATCTGCACTTTTATAGTTCCAATTTAATAATTCTACATTCTTCTTTCTTCATGAAAATTGACTTTCGTAACGTGTGCTCTCAATGAGCTGAATATCAGTGCAAATCTGTTTATAAATAACTGCTGAATAATCATGACTGGTGGTCTTGATGTTAATAATTTATGCAATGATGGGTGTGTTGCATAAAAATTGCTTTCCTGTTAATGCCCAATGTCTCTAAGATGAGGATGAAAAGCTTGTAAGAGCATGGGAGCTCATGCAAGTTTTTCATTCCTGCCGTAGTGCCATCGATTCTTGCATTTTGTGTTTCACATTTGTTACTATGTGGAATTCATAGTGCCTTTATACTTCTTGAGGTAAAAGAATGAAGTAAAGAGATGCTTAAACACCCAAGTGATCGTAGAATGAAGTTAAACTTGTGACTCAGGCTTGTTGTATGGCACATTTTCGATAGCACTGTATGCATCTCCTTCGTTGCCTTTTTTTTAGGTCCTGCTTATTTGTGCTGCCATAATTAAAAAAAAAAACGTAGAATGACCTCATCATTGGGCTAGATTACTTAGCAAAACTCCTGCCTAAAAAAGCTGTTGTATGTGTAAGAGGAGTTGAAATAGTTAATTGCATGCTTTTATGGGAAGTATTTATTTAGGGGAAAGATACTTATTAGGGATGGTACAGCTCCAAATGGGATTATAGCAGAGTATAGTAGTATAGATATTTAGTGGCTGCCAGTCCTCCATTGCATGAAAAAATATATATAAATTGTAATGAATCTGAATAACGGACGCTCTACTGCTACTGAAGAAGATGATGATCGGTGGCAGTATTAGTAGCACGCCGCTCGCCGGTAGCCATACCTGCCTCTTAAAGCACCTTTTGCCAAGCTGCATCTGAAGCTTCCTCGACGTACAACACCTCCATTTTAAGTGGTGGAGGAGCTGGGGTTCCCATCAACCTGGAACTTCACAATCGGGCGCTACCCTCACCGTTCACCATGACTGCTCCTGGCCCTTCCAAGCTGCCCCACCACCGACAGTCTACTGTACTGGCGTGCCTCGGCAACGCGACCCACCAATTTTTCGCTGCAACGACAAACAAGGCGTCGAGGACTGGCTCGTCGGGTATGAAATCGTAAGCGCTTCCAACAAATGGAACGCCTGCGACCAGCTCACGAACGTGCGCTTTTACCTCGCTGATGTGGCCAGCTTCTGGTTCAAGAACCACGAAGGCGAAATCACCAACTGGTCCGCCTTCAAGACCACCATCGCCACGGTCTTCGGTCGTCCCGCCGTGCGCTGGCTTCGCGCGGAACAGCGTCTGCGTAGTCGAGTCCAGTGCAGGGACGAGACTTTTACAAGTTATATCGAAGATGTCTCTTCGCAAGCGGGTCGATGCATCTCTAACCGAACACGAGAAAATCAAGCACATAATCAGAGGAGTTGACGACAATACCTTCCAGATGCTCGTCGCTAGAAACCCACAGACTCATCGACGTTGTCCAGCTCTGTCAGGAGTACGACGACTTGCGTAAGCGGAGTGTCTCCACGCGCAGGGCCGCTGAAGATACAGCTGAAGTTTCCACCCTCATGCACGACGTCGCTGCTGATCACATCGTCTTACTGCCCCACATAACAATTCATTCGAGAAGAAGTCGCTTGTCAACTTTCTCTTGTGGCCGAATCCGTGCCTTGATATCGACCGCCACGGTCCCTCGAAAGCGTTTGCCGCAGCTGACGTCCGCATCGCGCCTTTGTCTGCCGTCCTAGTGCCTGTGTTTTCCCCTGCTGCCACGAGCTCGACGCACCTGTACCAACCATCTATGGCTAGTGTGCACCATCGAACCATCGTCCTCCCGTTTGCCGTCATCAACTTTTCCAATGGTTCGGTGGTACTTTATGCGTGCAACATCTCTGCTTGTCCATACATCCTGCTACGCAGCGAGTGTCTGGGGAGCCTCGAGACCTTAGATTGTATTTTCGAAGACCCGATGTATCCAGACAAGCCATTTCTACCAACTTGTGTCATCACACCCGCAACTGACGCCAATGACCCTATGGATGTATTCCGCAAGTCCATTGATTGCCACCTCACGCCTGGGCAGCAGGAACAAGAACAGCTGATCAAGCTCCTCCAGCGTTTTCGAGCCTCGTTTGGCCACAATCAGCCTTCCTTAGGTCGAGCGTCATCTGTTGTTCACCGTATAGATACCGGTTGAGAGACACCATTACGACAGCGTCCATATCGTGTGTCAACTGCCGAACGCCGTGTCATCAATGAACAGGTCGACGATATGCTGGAACGTGGCATAATCGAACCGTCAAGGTGCTGGTGAAGAAGAAGGACGGATCCATCAGGTTCTGTGTGGACTCCCGACGTCTCAACCGAATCACGCATAAGGATGTCTATCCGCTGCCACGCATTGACGATGCCTTGGACTGCCTACAGGGAGCGGAATTTTTCTCCTCTTTAGATCTGCGCTCTGGATACTGGCAGGTACTCACGGCAGAGGCCGATCGCGGAAAAACAGCTTTCATCAGGCACAGTGGGCTTAACGAATTCAGTCATGCCCTTCGGCCTCTGCAACGCGCCAGCTACTTTCGAGCGAATGATGGACTCTATTCTTTGAGGTCTCAAATGGAACGTTTCTCTTTGTTATTTAGGTAACATTCTTGTCTTTTTTCAGCTGATTTTGCAACCCATTTAACCCGCCTCGAGAAAGTCCTCGCGTGTATCTCTGCCGCGGGGCTGCAACTGAATCTGAAGAAGTGCCATTTCGCCGCTCGAAAGCTAACGATCCTTGGCCACATGGTTTCGATAGACGGCATTCTTCCTGACCCTGCCTAACTTACAGCCATTTCAGCGTTTCCCAAACCGACTGCCATGAAACAGCTCCGAAGCTTCATAGGCCTTTGCTCCTACTTCCGGCGCTTCGTCTGCAATTTCGCGACGATCGTCACTCCTTTGACCAAGCTCTTTGCCGGCTCTAGAGACCTTTCGGCCTGGTCGGCCACCTGTGACGATTCTTTCAATGAACTGCGCCACCTCCTCACGTCGCCGCCTATTCTGCGACACTACGACCCATCGGCACCCACAGAGATCCAATCCACACCGACGCTAGTGGTGTCGGGCTAGGTGCTATTCTTGCGCAGCAGAAAGACGGCTTCCAAGAGTATGTGGTCGCCTACGCAAGCCGAACTCTTAGCAAAGCCGAAATCAACTATTCCATCACTGAAAAGGAATGCCTCGCCATTATTTGGGCGATAAAAAAATTTCGACCCTACATGTACGGGCGCCCTTTTGATGTTGTGAATTACCACCACGCCCTCTGCTGGTTGTCGTCACTGAAGGATCCAAGTGGTCGCCTCGCCTGACGGGCGTTACGCCTTCAAGAATATGATATTTGTGTGGTCTATCGCTCTGGCCGGAAAAATTTGGACAGAGACGCCTTCTCCCATTCGCCCCTACCCCCTGACCCGGCCTGCTGCGAAAGTCTCATCTGTGAAGCCACTGCCGTCACCATCGCCGACATGCCGTCTGAGCAACGCAAGGACCCTTGGGTTGCTTCGATTCTAGACATCCTGGCTGGGCGGACGGCTTCTCCCCTAGTCGCACGTTGCGTCGGCAAGTCGAGCACTTCACCACTCGTGACGACGTGCTGTACCGACGATGCAACTACGCACCCGGTGGACGTCAGTGGCTACTCGAGATTCCACGTCATCTGCGATCCGAAATTTGTTCCACGTTTCATGACGACCCCCAATGTGGCCATGCAGGTTTCCTGAAGACTTATTCTCTCATACGGCTTCGATGTTACTGGCGTGGCGTGTACCGTTTTATACGACAGTACGTTCGGGCTTGCTCGACGTGCCAGAGACGAAAGACTCCCCCTCATCACGGCAGTGGTACCTTATTACCCTTACCATGCCCATCCCGACCATTCGACCGTCTCGGCATCGATATCTATGGTCCCCTTCCCAACACTCTAGACGGTAACCACTGGATTATAGTTGCCGTCGACCACCTCACACGGTATGCCGAAACTTTATCCTTTCCCTCGTCTGCAGCAAAAGACGTTGTGACTTTCGTTCTTCACAATTTCGTATTACGTCATGGAGCACCTCGAGAGTTACTGAGTGATTGTGGTCGCGTATTTTTGTCAGACGTCATCACAGCATTGCTGCATGAGTGCCACGTCGTTCACCGCACTAAAAGCGCCTATCATCCCCAGACCAGTGGAATGACAGAGCGCTTCAACCGCACCCTTGATGACATGCTGTCTATGTACATCTCGTCAGACCACTCAAATTGGGACCGATTACTCCCGTTTATCACGTTCGCCTATAATACCGCCATTCAAAGCACTACTGGGTTCTCTCCTTTTTTCCTCTTTTACGGACGCGAACCTTTTTGCATTATGGACACCATTCTTTCATACAGACCTGACTCCGCAGAGTCCACGACTCTGTCTCAAGCTGCTACATATGCTGAAGAGTGCCGCCAACTGGCAAAATCATTCACAACCCAAGATCAAGGACGCCAAAAGCACCACCTTAACGCATCAGTTAACACTACTTCTTACGATCCAGGTGCACTCGTCTGGCTGCATGTCCCTTCTCCTACACCTGGCCTCTCTACCAAGTTAGTCCCCAAGTATCACGGCCCATATCGTGTACTACAGAAAACGTCACCTGTGAATTACCTCATCGAGCCACTGGAACCATCTTCTGACCAACGTCGTCGTGGCCAGTAAATTGTCCACGTGTCGAGACTTAAGCCCTGCTATGACCCTCCTGTGTTTACTTGTCCATAAGGCGCCAGGATGGCTCCTTATTTCGTAGGGAGTAATTGAAATGAATCTGAATAACGAACGCTCTGCTGCTACTGAAGAAGACGATGATGATCGGTGGCAGTAGTAGTAGCTCGCGCACGCCGCTCGCCGGTAGCCATACCTGCCTCTTAACGCACCTTTTGCCAAGCTACCTCAAAAGCTTCCTCGACATACAACACCTCTATTTTAATATATATAGAATTAGTTTTTCTAAACTCTGTAACCAGCACCTTAGACCATTTGGGGTAGGGAATACTGGAGGGTTAAAAAGTAATATTGTAATATAGCTTCTGGTTTTTAATGCCAGATTTTACCAAATATTAGTTTTGAGTGTGCCTTGCCATACAGCATGTTTGTTGCTGTTTAATGTGAAATTTTTGTATAAAAAGATTTTGCGCCATGAGGCACCGAAGGTTCTGGGTGGAGGGTCACTAAGAAACTATGATTTGTCTTACTGCAGGTGGTCATCGGCAAGCTCTACAGGACTTCAGACTTGGTCATAGAAAAGCAGTTTACAGCACAGCAGTGATGACTCTGTAGAGCCACTCTTTTGTATAATTTTTGTATATTGTGTACTGTTCCTTCATCCTGGCAACAACCCATCCTGGTGTGAGTAGCAGTCAAATAAAACCTTGCCATTTTATCGCATGTTGCTTCATATGTGTTCAACTCATTCATAGTATAGCACTTATTTCTGGTGTTCAAGCAGTTCAAGTAAAATAATACCAGCCTGCCGGTATCGCTACTTAATAATGGGTATTAGAAACCTTATCTGTGCATCCAAAAAGTGTCAAGTACTAAAGCACTAATGGTTATCGATTTGATATACCAAATGTATAGCTTTGTTGCATAATTTTGTAGTTACCGTTACTACGGGTTTTTGTGGTTCGTGATAGAATAGCACTGCCTCGAACAGGAGAATCATTTTATTTATAAATAGATTTATTTCCCACTAATTTTGAGAAATATGCTTACTTTGCAGCATTTAATGTGAGAATGCTCCGTAATCTGTGCTTTACATGTATATAGGCTTGCTTAGTTTGCAAGTTAATACCTTACTAATTTTCTAGTGAAACTTTCAGTGTTAGGATCAAGGAGTGCATGTAGGCAGGATTTAGGGTGGCAACAACGCCGACAGAGCCGCCATGTTGTTTTGGAGCATGCATACTTGTGCTCTGGCAGACACATGCACGTGTCTATCATGTTTTCATGTCAGTTTAAAAAGAGGCAGCATCTGCATCGACTTCAACCCAATATGGCACTCACCTGACCAAAGGATGTTGCCACCCTGTTCTGGGAGGAGGTGGCACAGACTACAAGGCACCCTAAATCAGACAGACACTTTGTGCTATCATGTAATGTGGTATGAAACACCGGGTTGGTGTTGCTTTAAATCTTCAGATTGTAAAAGGCAGGCATTACTCCATGTTTTTTGCAGCACCTTAGGTTTTGCTTCTATGTTATGATCTTGCTCTCATTGGCACCCACGTGAGCACATTTTCGCTAGTATGTGTTCTGAGGTTGGCATAGTTGTCTTTAATAAGATGTAACAGTCTCTCTTTATTACGTTTGTCAACCAATTGTATTTGTAGATAGTATCGTGAAATAACAGAGTGCTAGCAACGAACTTGCCATCGGTCGGACGTCTCTCTTACATTCCAAAGAGGACCAGTGACTATACGAGGAATGTCTGCAGTGCGCATGAGTTTCGAGCCGCTGTCACCAAAGACAATTGAGCAAGTGAAGCTAAACATGTGAACGATGGCTCATCGTGGGAGTGGTTCATTGGTCTTCCCTCTTCACTATCTATTGGAAGGGCTTCAAGTGTTTTAAGTCTTGCACTCCTTTTCTCAACTTACCACAATGTCCCTCGAAATGCCCCACCCCCAATTGATGACCAGGACAGCCATGCAGGATCTATAAAATAGTGTGTCGTTTCTAGTCGTTTGACCTTTTATAATGGAGCAGGAATGAAAGGGTGCGAGAAAGCTTCATTTTGGTGAAGAAATTTGTTCGATCACACTGAAATACTGGCGGTATCTCATCAGACTGCATGCCAATTTGTTCTCGATTTAAAGCAAATTGGACCGTGCAACTCTGCTTATAAAGCTCTCTTTCAGGAGTGTCATGGCAAAGGAAAGTTTAAGTGCTCATTGAACAGTGATCAACCTGTGTTTTTCAAGATTACCAATGTACTTTTTGAATTTCTGCAAGAAGAGACTGCAGTGGGAAGAGTGGTTAGTGAGGGTCTGCTAGAAGAGCATGCAAAGAATTGTACTTTGGAAATCAAGCTGGAGAAGTTGTAGTGCCTCAAGTCAATATCTGTCCCTTTGGAAGAATAGGTTCAGTGGTCATCACTTTTTGCTGCCCTGTTAACAGTGTTGGCAGGGTAGCAAAGGTTGTAAAAACTTTGTTTTACAGGGAGAGTGGCATTTCGTGTGAAGGTTTTGATCGTGAATAAATTCAGTGCTAATAAATGCGTGTTCATTGTTGGGTTGCTACACATTTGTCAATTTTTTTCTTTTTTTAACTGCACACTGAAAGTGAGGTCATCTCATATTTTCACTCAATCTTAGGTAAACCTATCTCTCATAGTATTAGCAACATCTTGCTCAGTATTGCCAGTTATTTGGCTAACGTTGCTTGCATTCAATCAATTGTTAATGCAGCCCTTATTGTTTTTCGTCACATGATTAAAACATTTAATCTGTTTTTGAACCTCAGCTTCTGCATTTATGACCTTGACTTCTTGGATGGGTAATTTCAACCTCATCTCTGCAACCTTACTGCAGCAACATTTACCTCATGTGAATGTTCGATACTGTTTTGTTGCTTTAATCTGGACACCATAACTAATCATAACAATTTGTTAAATTGTTAACTTACCGGTATCTTCTCATCGCAGAGGACTGATATATCCCTCCTATTCCATCCTGCCTGGATTATCCTGGTCGCTTCTCGTTCCACATCAGCTTCTTCATGCAGTGTTAAAGTAAGGTACTTCAGCTGAATTGTTCTCTTGTGTTATCTAGATTAGCTCACTACCGAAACTTTTTAGAATGAACTTTCACATCAAGGCATTGGCCCTCAATTATGTGGTTCATGTGAGGTTTTTCATAATAGCTTCACTCATTAAGGGGATTTAAATGCCAATCAGTTCTCCCTATCTACCTTACTGATACGCTGATAACCACTGTGGCACATTAAGATTCAATGCCACATGCTAATTATCTACCTAACAACAAGGTGTCTATCAACCTGGAGAAGTCAGGGAATTCAGACCCTTGCCATCTGGAAAAGTCGAGGAATATCTAAAAAATATGGCCTGGCCATAGAAACTGGCTGTAGCGTGTGCGACCATCACAAAAATAAGCATTACCATGGATCACAGCTTAAAAAGCCACTCCTTCGGCTGCAACTATACAGTGAACAGCTAAAAGTTATGTGAAAAAAAAAAAAAAAAAAAACAGTGCGCAATGTTGCTTCAAGATCAATATACAAAAAGATGAACCTACCAAAAGGATACAAAGTTTACTGACACTATGACACATGCTATCGAAGCCTTGTTCACAAAAATAGTCGTAAGAAAGGCACAGCGTCCCACTAAAGTTTTTATTTTTTTAATTTTGGAACCCTCTGCTGTATATTTGTTGATCTTGTCAGTCCTTTTTTTTTTTAAACAAAATGAAAAGAAATGAAATGAAGTATGCCTAAATACGTGACGTAAGCACCGGAAGTACATTGTTGGAAGTGTCCATCACTCCTGTTGAGCATATGTGCATGTGCTGGTATTCCAGGCGCAGGCATGATGCAAGCTTTCCTTTGGTCAGAACACGTACACTTGACCAGTCATTTTGGTGGCCTGTAGAATCTACATGTTTAGCGAGGTCATATGAGGTCAGGCGTTTCCAGACGTCATATTCGTGTTTTATTTAGCTCTTTCCTTGAAATCATTGGTCTCACCGATGTACTGGTTATCACAATTGTAGCAGCCTAAAGTAAAAAAGATAGTGGAAATTTCGCTTGGAAACTTGTCCTTCACTTTGTCGAAATTGTTCCCTAGCCTCCATACTCGTGCATCCACTATGTTAAGGTCTGTTTTTTCTGCATATCACACAGCATATCCAACTTACCAACCACATTATTCATGTCCTTAAATTTGTGCATGTTTGTCTTGACCATGATTTGGCTCGGCCTGAAGGCCTTCTGCTTCGGCTAGGACTGCCATTAGCAGAGGCTTGCCAGGCTATGTCATGCCTATTATTATTATTATTATTATTATTATTATTGGCATTGCAACGGCAAACGTCCTCAGCTACACACTTATTTCTGGCAGCTCGCGTTTCAAGGGTAGAGCTGGGTAGCTTCATGTAAATTTTTCACTTTCGTTTCTTGAGATGGTATTATTAAATCTGTGATTACTTTTTAGTGTTATAATAGAAAAGTACATAAAGGAAGGTAACCTGCCGGCATCTGTGATAAATCTATGGAATCGAGGGAGCTGTTGCGCCCTGACAGATTCATTCTTGCCAGCACAGGTTCAAACCTCGTTGCTTTAAACGCTACCCCTAGCTTTCATTGTAGGCATCTGAGGACTTTGTCGAACTCTAAGCGTCAGAGCTCAGAGAAATAAAACATCAACATGGATGTGCTCATCAAGGAAAATAAAAGATTGAAAGAAAAGTATGCAGTACGGCTCTGTTCTCGCGACGTTGTTAGTCATTGTTCAATGCAAGGTGCACAGAATACACGAGTAGTACTGTTGTTTTTTTTTCCTAAAGGTACATACTAGAGATGTGCCATTTAGGTGAGGATGCAAATCACTAGTAAATACAGCAATCCACTTTGCATCATATCCAATTCACATCTTAAATAGTAAGTAAATACAGGTCGATCTAATCCAATCCACACCTTAAGTGGCCTGAGCTGTGATCATTATAGTGAACTAGTATATATTCCGCTAATAGAACCGACTGGGATCGGGCGTCCTCTTTTTACATAGATGTGACTAGATGGTGCCACTTCTATGTTTCCTAGCAGCTTTGTCTACATTGTAGAACTGTCGTGGGCTCCTTTAAACTCTTGGCTGCGGTTAATTTTAACTTGTGTGTTTGCTTTCTGGTTCTTCCAAACATTAAACAGCCAACTTGTTTACTCTTTGACTTGGAGGTTTCCTTTTGGCATACATATTTTTTCATATTTACTGCACGTGCTCAGAATCTTCTAAGCACTTGTGGTACATTTATTTACTACTTATTTTATAGGAACGCCAGATTTTTTTTATCACTCGAGGGTTTGTTACCAGTGCACAGAATTTTCCAAGCAGACGTAATGGTCATGGCACTTGCTTTCAATCGTCATGGAAAACTAGGAAAAGTCAGGGAATTTTTAAAAAGCAAATTGGTAGACACTCTGAACAACTTTCCTCTGTGCAGACACCTTATTGCAAAATTTATTTGCTAGAAATCTAGTGGTCTTTCATCATGAATGAGAATAAAGGATCTTTTGAATATATAACTGAATGTTCAGGGCATTAGAATCAGTTCGCAAGATTTATCACGCTATAGTCAATCTTAGGTATCAATGCCTCCATGTATGGTGCGATTTCGTATTACAGTTTTGATTCATAGTTTATTACTCAAGAGTGCATATGATTTGATGGCACAGGATAAGCATGTCTGTATATGAAGCCTTGCTGAATAGCTAAAATTAGTCTTCATGCTGCTCAAAAAGAAAAAAAAAGAGTATTTCCGCTGGTAACAGGGAAATGAAAGACTTTCACATTGCTCTTCATCAAACACTATTTGGATGGCAGCGTTAATATAGATTTTTTCAGTCAAGTTTATTACCTAAAGGCCCTCCCTTTTTGGGTAGTGTTGCTTGGAGGGTGAGAACCACCTATAAGCCGTGAAGACATTTTAGCACTGAATGTGATCAAGAGTAGTGTCTTGAAAAGTAGGTGATGAAAGGATGGTGTATTTTAGATGGATTTGATTATGTTGTACAAATAAATGTTAATTTCTACCATAAACTTTGCTTGGCTATAGAACAAAAAATTTATGGCGTAAATTGCAGACAAGAAGAAGACAAGACAGGATAAGATGCTAGCAGTATCCTGTATTCTCTAGTTTTTTCCAGCGTTCTCAGTTTGTGCCATAAGTGTTTCATTTTGCATGGCTATGCTTCAACTTGCCATGCTAAGAGTGCAGTCCAGAACTTACAGGTACAAGCATGCTATGAAAGTATGTACAGGAGTCTGAAAGAATGGCATTTAAGGCATTGGGTGCTCACTGAAAAATAGGTAATGCCTGTGAAGTGTGCTCTAAATATCACTCGCAGAACACATCTGCTGAACCATGTACGGTGCTCATGTGCAGTCTGCTTCCTCAATTTTGTTCCTAGCGTCTTATGTATTTGTTGAATATCCTTTCAGTTGCATTTTTTAATTGAGAGACTAGTGTTCGATCTTTACATCTTTGTAGTAAACATGAATTTCAACAAAAGTCAGCTTGCCCAACTTGTAACCTTTATAGTGATACCAGTTGTGGCAATATTGCTGAATTGATGCATTGACATATGCCTTCTGTATGCAAATGCATTATGTACTTAAATTTAGGGGTACAATAAGGAATCTGAGATACTTAAAATTTCTGTTGTCCTCCACTATGGTGTTTCTCATATTTGTTTCATGATTTTGGCATGTAAGACCACTGAAGTTATTAACATATGTTAATATACCAAGCTTATCTCCTCTCAACAGAGCTATTTTGAATAACTGGTATATTTAATGTACTAGGAATGATGACAGATGGAAATGGAGCTCAAGTAAAAAAAGAGCTGGTTGAAAACAAAAAGCCTGTAAAAAACATTTCTTGTGTGGGTGCTGCTTAGAACTCGCAAATGCCTCATAATGTCGTTACTGATATAGCTGTCGGGTCTTGTGGACACCCAGCTGACTGCAAGCACCAACCTATAAAGGCTTAGATACCAACTAAAGTTTATGAATCTCTGCTCTATTGTTTGCTTTATAACAGAGATTGCATTGATATGCACAAAGCATAATCATCATGAAGGTAGTATTGCCAGATTATTGTTAACATGCTGCATTGTGGGTGTACTCCAGGTTTCAGCACATTACCTTTTGAATTACGGTGTTCCACAGAATTTCCCCATGCAGGGGACTACAAGTTGTGGTTCTATAGTCATAAACACTGCGGCTAAGATGTAGCTGCTAGAAATCGAAAAGCCCTTGGGATCATCAAAACACCTTTTAGTTCCACATTAGGGCATGGAAGGAAAAAAATTTTAGTTTAACGTTTACATAACCTCACCCTATCCCCACTTTTTTCTTGTTTCAGTTTTTCAACCAGAGGGTGTCATTGCGATCTGGACGACAGGGCCTTGAGGTTGCTGCTTCCCTGCGTACAAAAAAATATTTGGGCAACTTTTAGAGATGGCATAGGTTATAGTAAAAGTTTGAATAAATAGTAGGACTTTGGACTAGGCTGTTGAGTTTATATTATCTGTGGTAGCTATGTAAATATGCTGGAACAGAGTTGCTGGTTCCGAATGTCCTGAGTGTAGTTCATACTAACTGCGGGTCCTGCAGACATTCATGAAGTGAAAGAAAAAATAGAGTATTTATGACTAAAACACATAACTTCCAGCAATGTAAAGTTTGTTTTATATCATGCTGAGTATTCTAATAGATGTTGAATAGTGGTAACATTCAGTTAAAGCTGCTTTTTCATATACTAGAGGGGCCCTGAAACACTTTCTGAGTGCAATCAGAAAACAAAAATGATCGGTAGTTGGGGTGCGGCTCTTGAGAACATGCGAGCCTAACATTATAGTGCTACACACAATCTAGAATTTATAATTAATTCTCAAAATCTGCTAGAAATTGCTCCCTAATCTCTACAAATGCCATATATACGCGCCCTTGATGGTTGGTTGACTTAAGCATTACCAGCTACATAATTACTGTGGCCACCGCAAGAGGCCGCCATGTAGCTGCATTCGTGCTTGCAATCACACCGAAAGTAAGCCGTGTGAAGAAAAACCAAGGAAAAAAGTGCTCAAGATGCATTTCAAGGGATGAATCTTTTGTCATCCCACTCACCTAGTAGCTTTCAGTGCACTCGCCGGCATGAAAGCAGAAAGCCCGCTCATACTTGACAGATTCTAAAAATCTTTACAGCATGTGATTCATAAAGTGTCGTGCACTATTAGACTATTTCATGGTAACTTTGAAAGTGTTGCAGGGCCCCATTAAATATAGGCTTTTGCACATTGTATTCACTTTTAGAACAAATTGGCAGGTTTTGTTGCTCTCGTATTATTTTTAAGTACTGCTTTTCAGTGTGTGGTGTAAAATAAGAAGATGGTTATTAATATATCTACTAACCTCAATAAAATTCCTAAGACTTTATAGATAATGATGTTGAAGGCAGCAAAAGCATGTATACTTTTAAACACATACTTGGGTTGTGCAAAAAAGACACGGACGAAGGAGAGTGAAGAAACGGGCGCAAACTTCAGCTGTGTAAATGGAAGACCAAAGGGGCTCTTTAAGAAAAGACAAAAGCCTGACATGTGCGTATATATCACGACAACAACAAGAAAGGATACCCGTACCTATAAAAATCTACAGTGATAACGCCAAGATACAGTAAATGGTGATTAAAAAATCTAACCAAGATCAACAAAGGCATGTGCACAGACGGAAACCGGAAAAGACAGTGGACTGTCCCTTAATACGACTATGTTTCAGTACCTAAAACCATCTGCGAATTCAGCGAAGGCATGCTTACGCATTTGTTACTTCTAGCGATGAAGAAGGCTTCCGTAATTTCCCTTTCCATTTTGTCGTTTGACTTGTTCAGGATTACTGTATCTCTTAAGTTTGGTGTACATTCTCATCGCCTACGGTGCAAATCTAGGTGGCCACCCGTCTGGGAATGGATGGTTAGTCTGTGCTCTCTCACCCTTTCATCAAAGCAGCGTCTCGTCTGTCCAATGTAGCAAAGACCACAGGACAGGGCTACTTTGTGGACTACACCTGTCATGCACTTAATGAAGATATTAACGTGCCACGTTATACCTGCATCTTGGCAAATTATTATTTGTACATCTTGACGAAAATTTCGTTATGTGTGCCAAGCATGCACTTAGACACCATTTTTGTGTTCTTTTGGCGAGAACCAAGGTGGCAGGCATTTGAAATCCATACATTACCCCTCCAATTTCAAGTGGGCATTGTAGTAGACAGGAAAGTGCTATGTGGTTAAAGTATTGTTGCTGGGCATAAGCCTTCGAAACAACTTCAACTCTCATTTGCTGTGAGAATGACTGCATTAGATTCCAACTCGTGCATACTGCGAAACGCACTGCATTAGTTTTCTATTCCTACTAGACCATGCTGCGAGATGACATTGCTGAGTCCATTAAAATTGTTTTTAACTATTGTAATTACAGTCTTTCTTGAATGGTTGTAATAAAGTACAGTAATTTAGCACGTGTCTGTAAAATCAACCATTTGTTTAAATTGTCTTTTTTATTTGTAGTGCTGTTTGTATTAGCTCTAAAATATTTCGTGCAAGGTGTCTATTTTAAAGCCATACAATGGGCAGTATTTATCAACAACACCACGACCTATACAGTGATATTACTCTGCTGAAGAAGCATGGTGGCCCAGTATTCTTATATATTTCGGCTGGGCTTCTCAACCTCAGCAATTGTACATATGTCAAACAGATTGTGAAATGTGAACATAAACTCCCCCTCTCCCATCCCCATTGATGGGAAATAAAATTATTATTATTATTATATTATTATTATTATATTATTATTATTATTATTATTATTATTATAAAAAAAGATAAAACCAAAAATAAACATAGAAGGTTGTTCACCTTTGCACTTCCTTCAGGCTTGACACCACTAGTACGAAGCTGTGTGAATTATTTAAAAGTAGTGTGCATGGTAAAAATTTAGACAGCTTGTTCTTCGAGTATTTTAACTAAAGCATCAGGGAAGGACAGAGTCATTAGCTAATAGCAAGCGAATTCCTGGAAATTGCTAGGTGGCTTGAGCTGACCACACTTATAAGACTTGGGAATGTCTGCAGAAAAGTTTAAAGCAGCTACCTAAGCTCATTTTCAGAGTATTGCAGTGGCTAGCCAAAAAGGGGGTTGGGGAGGTTCAACCTGCCACTTGCCCACCTTTTTTTTTTCCTTGCTTCGCGCTGACATATGATTTAGAAACTAAGTGCTGCTCCTATCACAATATCATTGCTGGGCACTTTTACAATGAATAATGTCTGCATACAGAAAAATATTTGCATACGGAAGGCTTAGTGAGATTTTGGACAGGAATCTCGGCCGCGAGTGTTTTAAGTAGGCTCGGCGATGGGATTAATAAATTAGCAGTGGTCATACTTGCACCCACCGGAACAGATCTCGCTGGTGTCAACCACTACGATAATTTTCAATAGTCAGGGGTTCGTTTTATTGGAGAAAGCCAGGCAGGCCACGTTAAGTTATATTACTAGGTGACTGTCCATACGTGTGCTAAGATATACTCAGGCCAGAGAATAACATTTCTATTGTACCTTCGCACGTTCTGCTAACATCTAAGAGCACGCACACACACGCACACACGCGCGCGATCGTGACGGAATATTTGGTTGATACATCTAACTGCACTTGTATGCCATTGTACAATATATTTATACATATCTTTACTCTGCCCTAACGGCTAAAGGTACTCCGAAGTGTTGCCCCGCCACGGTGGTCTAGCAACTAAGGTACTCGGCTGCTGACCCTCAGGTCGCGCGATCGAATCCCGGCTGCATTTCCGATGAAGGCGGAAATGTTGTAGGCCCGTGTACTCAGATTTGGGTGCACGTTAAAGAACCCCAGGTGATCGAAATTTCCGGAGCCCTCCACTACGGCGTCTCTCATAATCATATGGTGGTTTTGGTACGTTAAACCCTACATATCCATCAATGATAATATCAATTATCACTCCGAAGTATTGTCTGGTCACGAAGGTGCAAAACCCGCAAACGTGCAGGCCAATCACAGCCTTAGAAAGGCCTACTCTAATACTCATCATGTAACTTGCGCTGATAAATGAAAAGGTGGTGGTGAAAAACCTAAAACAGTGTAATGAAAAATGCACTGTGCGCAGCTGTAGTGAGCACTTTATGTTCCTTACACTTACGCTGTTTGCCGCACTGCCTTCTGACAAAAGGGGCACACCGAGAAATTTCTGCAACTATAGCGACAATATGGTGCCCGACAAGAAATCCACAGAATGGAAAGACATGGGTGGACATGTTATGTAAAATTACAAGCAATACACATAGTAATTATACTTTTTTTTTACAAGAAATGAAAGAAACTTTGTGCAAGCAATGTCTCACGTCGCAAACAGACACGTTACATAGCGAAATATTGTTGATTATCGTTTTCAATTGACACAAAAATTATCCTGCACATTACATGTCCTAATATATGCCCCATATGTTGCTCAAAATTTGCGAGAATTGCCACGTGCCAATTTTGGTTGTTGCATTGCCGTTGACACCTTTCGTATCCGTGAACCACATCTGCAAGTGAAAGGTGCCACCGAAAAGCAAGGCGTGGGCAACGGGAGAGAACGGAATCACTCTGACATGCTGTCATAGCGATTTTCAGCAGTAAGTCTCGTACAGTTGTACTTGCTTCCTTACAGCTAGACGAAAAGTAGCGCATACTGATTTTTGCCAAAACCGCCTTTTTTACTACCCGCCAGGGTGGTTCGTCTTATGGTGCTCCATTGCTGACCCGCAGGTAGCGGCATCGAATTTCTGTCGTATTTTCGATGTAGGCAAAAATGCTTGAGGCCCATGCACTTTGATTTGGGTGCATAATATCCATAGTGCCGAAATTCCCGGAGAGCCTCACTATACGGCGTCTCTTGTAATCATATCGTGGTTTTGGGATGTTTAACCCCGTCAATTGATCATTCATAACTATGTTTTTACTGCTGTTTGGAAAATCTCAATCCAAGAATAACTTGAGTTAACTTTCTTTCTTGATTCTTAACAGGCACCTATGGTTGATGCTACACACACATTCAGCTGAAGCCGTATATATTCCCTGTAAAGAACAGAGAGTATGTCGTCCGAGCGGACTTGTTTTCCCCGTGTATGTTCTGAGAGCGATGCCAAACAATCTTTCATTTGTTGTTGTGGCTCTCAGGTATATCTTTAGGCGTCTCAGCGATGAAAAAGAGCGTTCCGCTTCAGCTGTGCTCACCGGCAGAGTTGCCGGAATCTTTAGAAGACGGTGGACGTTTGGGAAGAATACCTTTGGACACTTGGCAACCGCTTGCATCGCAGACATGCTCAGCGTTTCTCGCTTCTTCCATTTCGCAGCCCATGCTGTCAACTCCCCTTGCAATGCTGAAATTGAGATAATGTTCGAGTACACGTCAGCAAACTTCTCGGCAGTGGGAAGAGTGGCAGCTTCGGGAATATTCTGTGGCAGAAGGGAAGATAGCATCTTCGAGGTGTGCCAATGGCTTTTAAAGCGCTCATTGAACTGGTCTATTAAATAGTCCAGAAAAGGCCAGCAATACCGACAGCCTGAAGTGTTCTTC